ATTCATGTGCGCATATGCTAGTAGATGATGATGCCTAAGCTATTCTGCTGCAGCTTACTCTAACGTGAATATATAACAAATCTTTAGAAGATATTTTCAACTATTCCTGATATTTCCAGCTGCAGCATCAGAATTATGTGTATGTGTGGCTCATCTTAAGCCGTTAATAAAGATGATGAGAAGAGGATGAACCGTGAGAAGAACGGTCAACTACCGCCAGCTGACCTCTCTCTGTATTCATTGAATAGAAGCACAAGGCATATTCTCTCTCTATCTCTTTATCTCTCTCTCTCTCTCTCTCTCTCTCTACCATTTTGTATTGCTTATTCCAACTCTACTCTATATTGAAGAAGAAGGAAAAATACTAGAAAGAGTAATGGATAATAACCGAATGAATGGAATCATGCACACAAGAAGAACTTTTCGTACAAAAGTGAATTAGAGGGGATGAAAAGGATAAAACAACAATTGATATGAGCATCATCTACCAAAACAACAGTCTTAAGCTAGATCTGATGAAAATGAACATGAATAGAATCAACAGATGACCAATGTTTCTCTCTCTCTCTCTATGTCTGACAAGTCTACTGTCAACAATCATTTTGGTCATCGAACACCATAAGAAATATCTTTCCTGGCTCTTAGATACTTCCTATGTAAAGTCATTTGACCTTTGATTAAGCCTCAAGCATTTATGCTATGATTTTCATTAGTATACTATTAGAAGTACAATCTAGATACATGTAAGAGGGTGTCTAACAGAATCAACAAGACCAAATGAGATTTGATGTTCAAAATACTCTTTGAGAGGAATATCTTTGCAATTACAATCACATTGAATAAGCTTTAAATGCTCAAATGTATTACACATCTGTTCAATGTTTTCATAAATAAAAATAACAATATGTGTCAAAAACACTAAGATGTACTTAGCCAAGAGAACCTGGCACATTCAATTTGAATGGAGATGAGCACAAGAGCAATCAAACAATAACTATCGTAATTGACTGAATCATGCATCGTAAAGTGAGCAAAAGTAAAAAAAGTACTCATTCTTGACCAATAATTTTTAATCTTCAAGTTCCTTCTTGACATCATCCTCTCTCTCTTCCTCTCTCCCTTCTCATCTATCAATCTCTGTTCAACTTCATCTCTATTGATGATGAGCTATTCAAGATTTTTTTTGTCAAAAATAGAAATGAAATTAACTGCTTACATCAAGAGATATCGGACATCCTTAAAACAAACTTGAAAGAATACAAAAGACATGATTGCTAGTGGATTAAGCTTAACACACACACACACACATACACATACAGAGAGACAACTCTCAATTAAGCATTATGTAACATTACCTCAGTAGCAGATTGCCAACATTCGAAACTGATTGGCTTTTGCTACCAATAGGCTGCCAACAGTTTGCAAAAAGGTCATAACCATCTGCTTATGTTTAGGAGAAGCAAATATACAACATATCACTAATGCATTACACGCATATTGAAAAATGAGAGTATTGTATTCATATAAATCACAATAGAGAAAGAGAGAAAAATAGAAAAGAAAGAAGAACCTGAGTTGTACCTCAGATTAACAGGATAGCAAAAGCTGACGAAAGCCTTACTTCCAAAAGGCCACAATTATTTTGAACAAAATTTTCCAAAGCGAAAACAACAAAAATCGTTTTGTATCTGATTTGTAACGAATTTTATTCGAAAAAAAAAGTACAGTCGAAGCAGCAGCACAATTACACGATTATAAGAGCAATGAAAGCTTCACAGATGCTATCTGCGAATGGCAAAGCCAGACACCCTCAATCGTTATCAGTATGAAGTTTGAAAAAGGTAAGCATATCTTGTTATATATTAAAAATATAATTTGAAAACAAACAAAAAAAATTATTACCTGAAGTTCGAGAGTGACTGCTTCTCGAGAGATGCAACCGCACAATGCGTGGCCTGACAATTGAAATGAACGCCAATAGTCTGATAGCTTAAATATGCTAATGAAGTTTTTGGCGCTTAAAGGAGTGAAATACAATTTGAATGAAACGACATCGTAAACCCTCAACTGAAAACAATAGCGAATTATGAGAAGTACTTATAGGGTAATAAAAAATTGTTGAAGAGAGAAGGGAGGGCGAAATTACAGGTTGGAAGAATGAAAGGCAATGAAACATATGGAGAGCACACTGCTGCATTGCAAACACAAAAAACGTCATTGGAACTAAGAAGACAATTAAAATTTCTTTTGTTCTCATAAACTACTATTAAATGCAACTGTTCATGTTAAGATATGTTTTAAAAATAAATTTCAAATTAGATTAGCTTTTCATCAACGAAAACTCAGAAGATCAGCCGATGTGTGATGAGTTGAAACACACAAAGGTTGTTGAGTTGATGATGTTTTTTTTTTATGAAGAAAGTAAGCAATTGAAAGATGAATTCTACAAGAATGGCTGTACTTGCATACTCACAAGAGAAATGAAACAACGTTTCGTTGGAAGAAGGGACAACCATCACACACTAAATGCTACATATTTCCTTCAAAAAACCAATTTTATAATTCGAAATTCATTAAATTTTATTTTCGAAATAAGAAAAGTTGGTTCTTTGAATGTCTTCAAGTAAATTCAAATGATTGGTTGGTTACTTCATTCTGAGAAAGTCGAAAGCACTATGATTCAATAGATGTTGATGAAATAATTTAAAAATGAATATCGTTCATTTCAATAATCAGAGATGAGAGAGCCAAACGAAGGAAGCTGTTCGAAGAAACTGCTTCATCTTGTTGGCTTTATAGAGAAAAATGCTCAGCCGGAAACGAACTGATATGCTCTAAATGCGTACACTAATACGGATACCGTAATCCCCTCCATATAAGCAGATGATCTGGCAGCATATTGGGAAATCGCCAAACAACACCAAATATGTAAAGAATAATATGAGAAGATACAAGTTTAATGTTCTAATCGAATACAAATAGAAGTGACTAATCATAAAAATGAGCAAAAGAAATGATTGAGAAGTACATGAGAAAGGCAGAATGAGGAAATACTTCAACTTTCATTTTCGGAACTCCTCAACAGATTCGTTTTTTTGCTGAGTGGAGGAGTTTGGTCAGAAATAGAGAGCTGATCATAAGCTCTTGTTGATTTGCAACTCAGATTGTAGTTTCTTTTTGGATGTTTAAATATCTATGACCTAGGTAGCTATTTTTTAACGAAAAAACAATCTTAGTCATTGATAAAGTAAGAAAGTTAACCGCCAAATATTTTTACGCAACTGCCTAATAAGCCGATTGTCTTTGGAGAGAGGTGAGGTCAGCAGAAAAAGTGCACACAATGCAAAAAATGATGTTGGGTGGCTTTGAGAAAAAAAAGTAAAAACGTATGTGAATGAGTTTGAGAAATGAAATTAAAAAAAATAAAGCTGCGACTAGTAAAGTCGCACAGGGAACAAAGAAAGAAGTCAGTGTTTCATCTTAAGAAGTTGAAGAGGTAAGGCAAGAAGACAACAGGATGACTATATAAAGTCATATGAAGCTCACAGACTATTTCAAATGCATAGTCAACAGAGAAGACTATGAGAGGGCAAAAGATGAAAACGCAGAGGGAACGATAAACGAGCGACGAAGTGGAAGGAAGAAGATAGTCCAGCCGTTCACGATATGATTGTGTGAAAAGTTAGAAGACAATACGATGAATCTTCTTTAACGTTACGTCGGAACCAAACTTGGTCTTCTTCAAGCTCATCTTCGTCCTTGAGCAAATGAAAACATTATGAGTTGTAGAAGTAGGAAGCAAAGAGATGGCTGTATAGAGGTGTGAGCAAATAAAATGAGATTACGAACGTCATCATATGTGCTCATCATCGTTCTTAACGATAGTGAGAAGCAACATCACGGTTTTGTTGAACTTCAAGATTGAGACAATCGTACCTGGAAGTATGACAGGCAGATCGGAAGAAAGGAGGAGGCTTTTTTCTCACTGGAACTTGTCAAAATATGATTTACACACTGTCGGCTTTTGTGAAAAAACAAAGGAGATGATTACAGCCGAGTAAATGAACTTAAAGAATATTTTGAGTGGCAGCAAAAGAACCGTATGCCAAGCAACAAGTGTCCCACTAAAGTTTTGGTTACACATCTTCTTTCTCTATCTTCATCTCTCCTGGCTATAAGGAAAGATAGACGATGATTAAAAGAGAGAAAAGCCTATGCACACTGGCCATTATAAGTCCTAACAAAATAAATGTCATCAAGAACATAGATAGATGGCTTTGCTAATCACTGACGCGTGTGGATTTCTAGGATAACAGGTGCCCGTTTCTTGAATCGAATAATTCAACAAATTCAATGAAATCAGAAAATCGCCTCAAGTTTATGAAACAAATAAATAAAAAAAGTCTCTGATGCGTTATCCTTCACTCCTATTCCGTATTAGCTCCGCTAATATCTTTTGTACAAGCATATAAAAACAGAACAAAGTTCGAAAATGGAAAGCGAGAGCCTAAATAAGGGAGTACAATATCATAAGATTTTTGAATTTACGTGCCAAATAGGTTCCTTTTCGAGTTTGGACCTTTCTTTTACATTACTTCTTCGAACATCTCCATCATTCTCTCGGTATGGACCGTTTCATGCTCGCTCCTTACTGTTCACAAACTTTAGTAGAAGGAACAAAACCTCTTAGTTCAAGAAAAATGCATATTCCTCTTTCAAAACTTCATTTCGAAGAGCCAGCATAATTGCAACTAATAAGTGGTATGAATCTGCCGACGAAAATAAAAAATTTCTCATCTAATTCTCCCTAGACTTCCAGGTTAAAGACGTATGAGACGAGCTTCACTTCCCACTAATCAGTCAACAGTGCTGCAAAATGGGTGAAGCATGGGAGGGAGACGGGAAATAACGAACATTAACAGAAAAAAATATGATTTATTTTTAATACCTATTATATATGCACATGTTTTACTTCAATCTTTGGGTTAAAAAAAATAAAATTACAATTCTAAGGATGCTTGAGAGCTACTATCTATCTGGAGAAGACCATCTTCTTGATCATCACAACTTTCTCGTATAAGATCAGAAAATTCCATTTCAAGTTCTCCTTTTTGCACGGAATTTTCCTTTTCTTCTTCCTTGGGAGACAGCTTACCACTTAATCGAAGGCTTTTATTTATGTTTGTGAAGAATGGAGATCGCAGGGCTTCTTCACACGTTATGCGGAAATCGGGATCAATTGTTAATAGGCGTTTTATTAATTTTATTAGAGGTTGGAACTCCTTGATTTTCATTTCAGGATTGCCGAGACAGCCCTGAAAAAATAAGACAAGTATAATGAAATGGATTTCTGAACTCACAAGATCATCGGTTGGAAATAAACATAAGTAGTATTGACTGAATTCTATGCTGAAACTTATTAAGCGAATAATTCGATTAATAATTATTTTCTTACTTCGTTTCTTTAATCATATGGTACGGTACAGGACCACAATAAGTACATATGTTGTTTAGTTGGACTGCTTTATCTTGAAGAGTGTTGCCGTCTGAAGGGGCACTGAACAATGTGATCCCAAGGAAAATATCGACAAATACACATCCGATAGACCAAACATCGACTTTTTCGTTCCAAGGAAGTTCTGAAACAGATATGGTATGATAACGTTGAAACAAGTGAGAATGTGGTTCGCTCGTCTACTTACCAAGTATTACTTCAGGGGCTCGGTAATTTATAGTTTGAATTATTTCATTGTTGAATTCAATGTTTCTCACAGTGTTGAAATCTGATAGAACTATCGATGGATCTGAGAGTAATTGATACTGAAAGAACAAAATAATTAGAAGGTGTCAAGAGTTAGAACACTTACCTTTCCATTCCTATCAGAAAATTCCCGCCACTTATCCGTCTTGATGAGTATATTCTCTGGCTTAATATCAGTGTGCACCAGACCATTTTTGTGCAAAAAGTCGGCAGCTAGCAGAAGCTGATGACACATCTTCGTGGTGTGAAATACGTTCATTCCTCGAAAACCATTTTCAGACTGAAAAGACTTTCTTAAACAATGTGGAATAATGGACCATACCAGAAACGTATACAAGTTCCGTCCATAAACTGGCATAACCATGCACTTGTAATCCATGAACATGAAGTTAGTAATGAGTTCAGTGAAACACCTAAAGCACGATAAAATGACCGAAATAGTTCCAAAAATACATACTCTCGCACATGATCTTCAGCTTCTTTTATCTTTTCCATACAGACTATCTCGTTCTCAGTAGGTAGTTTGAAAGCATCGGTCATCCTGATTACTTTCAGAGCTTTGTTAACCTAGAAAACTTTATAGCTAAAAAATGAATGTTAAATAAACCTCTGGCTCCGTAGAATCATGGCATTCAAGAACTCTTCCAAACATCCCTTCTCCAAGTTGCTTAGTTATGCGGTCTGTAAATTGGGTGAGAAGGAAAGCAGGATAATACAACTAACACTGAGAGGTAATAAAGGCTCCTTCTGTGAGATCAATACCGTCATCGCTCATTGCATCGTCAGGATCCATCAAGAAGTCGCTGTTTAAAAAAATCAAGCAAATAAGTTATTTCGAAACACTGATAACCGATATATCCAATGAGAATGACACTTGGAGCAATTAAAATGAACATCGTAAAAAGAAAGAATGTCATAAGTTATGCAACAATGAAACAGTTGTGTTATGAAATAGCACCTGGCGGTAATTGAATCTTTAAATCGATTCGGGATTATTATGGAACAGGATGGTATAAAAAATGAAAAAAAGTTGTAAAAAAAGAACGCATTGACGTTCTCATCTATAAAACACAGAGAGAAATTCGTTTAAACATCTGAAATTAAACTATTTGAATGCTTGGACATCACTGCATACTCATTACCGTGGTTTTTTCCTTTTAGGTCTGATTGGTAGCTGGGAAAGTTCAGCTGCGTCGTCTTGTTTAGTGGATCCATTATTATGTATCGAATACTTAGTATAAAACGGTAGCTTAAGAGCTTGTTTGCATGACATCCTGATGGACCATTCATAGCACATCAACCCTCTAATGACTTTGTATATATCATTAAAAGACTGATTTTCATATTCGGGATTGCCAACGCAAAACTGTAAAGATAAAAGTTGATGGACAACGTCCCACCTTACTACTTGGTTATTTGTAAAAATTGTTTTTTTAGGATAAAGGTTAAACTTAGGGCTGAAAAAAGTATATTTGAAATTCTTGAAAAATATGCAATCAAACTCTGCTCTCTCCGTCATTGAGTAAGGGACGATTCCGCAATATGTCATTATGTGAGTTAGTTGGAAAAGGTCTGGATCGGATGTGTTCCGTTGGCTCGCGAAAAAAGGTGAACCACAGAACACCTCGCACACCACGCATCCAACAGACCAGCAATCAACAAATTTGTTCCATTTCAGACCTACAAATGTTTCATAACTGACGTTGAAAGGTAATACAAACCCATGATTACTTCTGGGGCTCGATATATATCAATTTGAATCTTATCGTTATAAGTTTGTGCCTTTCGACATTTCGTTAAATCACAGATAACTATCCGAGTATCTTCCACATAGAAGTACTGGAAATGGTAGATTATGAATATCTCTTCGTTGATACTTACTGTACTATGAGCATCAGTTATCAGATTGAACTTGTCTGTTCGGAAACGAATGACTTCACTATTCAAATCGGTATGAATTATGCCTTGATCATGAAGATATTGCACAGCAGAGAGAATTTCAAATGATATCTTTCTACATTGCACTTTGCTGAACCCACGGAAGGTGTTATCTTCCTAAAGTAATAGAACTTAATCATTATTTAAAGATTGAATCATACCAATACTTCATAAATACTTGGCCCATATCGAGGTAGAATCAAAGTGTGTATATTGTCATCTCTCTTGATACTTAATATTTCAGCAAAGTAACTAAAATTAGAATATATATGAACAGATAGTTTAACACAATCAAATTACATGCTCAGATGCGGCGGCGCATTTTGAACAAGTTCGTAAACTTCCACAGGATCTAAATCTGACTCCTTTCTTAGACTAGCATCGTGAATAAGGACTAAGTTAGACATATTCTAAAATAAAAGATTAAAATAATAAAAAAAATATGTTTTAACCTTTGACGCTTTAAACCTTTGCCTGTATTTCGGAAGGCTGTCTGAGGCATAGAAGGAGCCTTGTAAAATAGAGCTGCCTATAAGACAAAAAAAATAATTCAAATTTTTTCAAAAAAAAAACTTTCTGATGCAGGCGAAGTTTCTTTAGGGAAATCCATTAGTCATTCAATTGGATAATTTGTCTGAAAAGAAGTTAATTTTGAATTTCCGGTTTAAAAATAACACTGCCGGCCACTTCGTTCCAGGATCCAAAATGGAACCGCGTAAAATTACCTGATTGCACGGGTGTTCGAATTTGGAGACGGGAGAGAGTGCGGCAGGTTAAAACGGGAAAAAAGGTAAAATGACGCTCAAGTGTATTTATGGAGTGCCCAAATTTTCTCAAGTTTTTAGGTTTCGAGCACAATGCTGGTAAAGTTTGTGTCAAAGTGGCACACGATCAGTGCTCAGAACGTTCTAGTTACTTAGCGTGAATCAAGTTTATATTATATTTTATACCTTTAAAGGACAGTATGTATCATTAAAGTTTTCAAGTTTGAACTTTGAACTTTTCTAGAACTTAACTGTACTATTTCGAAGTTTCGATTAATATATCGTTATGTAGCCTGTAGTTTACACTCCCCAATCCCTTGTAAAACATGCTCAAACCCATTGGATAAGAGTATCAATGATCGAGATCACATTATTCAATGTGGAAACGTCTGAAGCGAATAAACTTCAATTAGGGTTATGTATTCGTACACAGCTGTAACAAAAACATTAACATTGCACTCCATGTGGTATAATATAAAGAACTTTATTATAATATCTGATACATGAAAGTCTGAATGAATGAAACCGGAAGGAAACCAAGAAAAACTCGGAACATCAGATGTGTTAGACTCTCAGATGCGTTATTCTCAAGCACGTTCGACAAGTAAGGAAACAGTTGTGTGTACAAGATACTATTAAGTCAAAAATGAATTTTGAAATACGAATAATTTCACAGTTGGTAGGAAGAACTTGTAACAAAACTTTTGAATCAATCAATAAACACATTCAACAATGAACGTGAATGGTACGAAAAAATACAACAACGGATAAAGCTTTCATAATTTCAGCGTGATAAGAGTGAATTCTTATAGAAACCGGGCAACATCTTGGAAGGAGCCTTGTAAAACATTGCTATGTTGGACACAGAAAAGTCCCAAGATTTTTTTGGAGCACACACGAACTTCTTTTAAATCTAAACATTTTCGAGGCATCTGACGTTGATGTTCTGAAGTTGTATCTGAGGTTCGCGTAACATTTTCAAGGAAGTGAGCTTTTCGTGTTGCTACAGCTCTTCCACTGTTCACATGTGACAAGCAATTGTAAAAGCTAAAAATCATCATGAAAGCGGAACTTGAGCTTATATGAACTGACCTTTGTTCGCATTTACAATAATATAAATGATATGGTAAACTATTTGTCACAAGGTACTTGCTAGCCTCGCGTTCCAGCACTATGGGACAATTAGAATGTTGAATACAACATTTACGAATTGATCTATGAGGGCCTGAAGCTGTGTGACAATAATTTGATGACTCTAAATTTAAAAAGAAGATAAAACTGAAAGCATTGCATAAATCAAACGAACCACATATCACAAAGATCATCAGAAGTACAATTATTTTCGTCATATCAAGCTATCATACGTTTCCTTATTAGTTGAACAGAGAGCTCTGAAGAAGAAACATTAGTATATAGCAGTTTGCAAGATGGTAGCAGAAGCTTTGGCAGTAGCTAGATTTCTGATACGCACAAAAGGAGCGCATAGAAACGCTCTCTCTTAACAATATAGTGAAAAGTAACTAAAAAGGAATACATTGAGGACAATCAAACATTCAACGACACTTTTACTACAAACAGTTTTTGTAATGACGAACAGCAAAAGAATTCCTTAACCTTTCTCTTCTTCCATCTCGAAAATATTTTAAACAGTATTTTCGAATATCGTTTTGGGTGGATACGTGGCACGTGAAGTTCCACGTGCACTCAAAGTATACACTCTAACCATTTCAACACGTACGCATCATCAAGACAGGTTGCTTTCGGTTTAAACGAAAAAAATAACAAATGTCTCCTCGATCATTTTCACTCAATCACACACCGCGAAATGTTAACAACACAAAGAAGACACAATTTTATAATGAAAGGGATTGAAAGACATAAATCAAACTTCTAGCAGTCAGCTGGCCAAAATAAGAAAGTTTAGTTAAGCAACAAATGACATTTGTCTTTACAAGCAGCTCCAACTCGAAGCAAAGCCACCACACAATCTTTCTTATAATTTTCAACTGTTTTACATTGCTTTCTCTCTCTCTCCGTCCTCTCTATATTTTCTACAAGAAACCTCGTTCAGTTCCATCTGTGTCCGCTTGTCACTTTTTTTACACTGTCGGTTTTCCGTCAACCGGAACTGATTGTCATCCGAAAAACATGTGCCGACATCCGTTTTTTTATCCAATTGAAACTAACACTGTATGTAATTTAGGATTAATCCCTCGCTTTTTTCTATTGAAGACAAAAAAGGTAAAGAGTCATAGAGTCCCACAATCACGCTCCCACTCCCACAACCTTTTAAGAACTGTAATTGGTAAGGTATACAGCTACGAAAGCATTATTGTGACCGTATTATCGTAAAAGAGGACTTTTCGGAAAAACTCATACAAAACTCTGAATAAGAAAATTTCGTGCGAAGTGAAACAAATTTGTGAAATTTACTTGAAGCAATCGATAATTCACTCAATTCCGGTAAACTCCCATTAAAGTTGACAGTATTCAAATTGTAAAGTTATGCAATGTAGCAGATTGAGGCGGTTTCGAAATATTCGAGTGCTATACCGCTGGAAAGGACTGCTGTACTTTCGAAAAATCGCGATGAGATCAGTGAAGTCTGTTCTGACTTAGGGATAACAATCTCGTTGAAAAACGAAAATAAGGAAAATGTATTCCAACTGAAACGATATGGAAACTTTAAACTTAGGCGATCATATCATTCGTAAAGTCTCGTTAGAAAGCATCGGACACATGAAATACTAATGAGTTAGAAAGAAACGGGATCGCGCCTAAACATTCGACAAGGGTCTTGCAGAAGCCGCCGTATGGATGTGTAGGCGGACTAGGGCACACAGAGCCGTCTGTTAGTTGGTTTAAGAAGACGATTAAGACTTAATGTTTAGACATTTGACAAATTCTATAAACATTTTTACGAATCCAAATAAGAAAATATGTATGACAAGCATAATTAGGAATTTAAGCGTTTGTGGAAGTTGCGAAAGTCTGAAACACACCGATTATTATATAGCTGCTGCTGGTCAATTCGGTTTGAATGGGGGAAGATCAACTACAATGATTTGACCTTCTTCTTCTTCACTCTTAATCATCCATCATGGGAAAGTTGCCCATCAATAGAAGCATTTCATATTTGGCTAACCAGTTCCTATCCAAACAAATTTCTAAACCAATTTCAGGCACAATATCACAGTAGAGTTTACTGGCGGCAGCTTACAAACGCAACCCGAATCCACATTTTTCACACCGGGCCAGTCTTTGAAAATTCATTTTTCAATCATATCCATGTTCTGGTTTGCCCCCTAAATGGGAAACCATGAAGTATATTCCGTTATAAAACCACAATGAGAAACATGTCAACATAAAAAAAAACGAAATGCTCTAAAGTGCTAACAATACTATGCTATAAAGAATGAGATGAGTAATAACTCATCATAACTTGAGATTATCATTGTACATAACTCGAGTGAGAAAGATACTAGCAACTGTAGGTGGAAGAAAAGATGAAGGAGTAGGTAGGATTCCGAGAAAATTGGTTAATGAGGTACACACCGAGGAGACTACGGACCCAACCAAACAATATCTGATCTGCAGAAATATCCGTCACCGAAGTTAATAGCGAAGACTTTAAGTGAAAATAAAGAGAAGACATTTCCATTACTCTGGCAACCATTAAATCCAATTTCAACAGATCATGTGACTATGTTTAGTAGAAAATATGAGAAGCTAGTTATGGAGTGTTCGATGCAGAGATGCAACAGAAAATCGTCAAAAAATTGTCATTCTCATCCGTGCAGTGAAAAAAAAGCAGAAAATAAATATTAAAACGCTTACTATTAAAAATATGTAAAGACTCGTCATCACAGAGAGAGTCAGAAGATGAGGTAAATACATGTGAACATTGTATGTTAAGAGCTTAGCCCTCACTGGGTTCATATTTCGATACGAAATAGTTATTAGATATTAGCTGGGATAGCTACATCTTGTGTGATGTGATCAATAGGTAATCCTTCATGGTATCTGTTCCACATCTGAAACAACAATCAAGTTTAAATCTTCAGGAAATCTTCGAACGACCTTGGAATATAAATCTTCCAAATCAGTACAATATTGCTTAACATTAAATAATGTTGAAGTAGTTCGGGCTTTCCAAACTTTCGCTCTGATATTTGATAAACTGAAAAAAAAGGATAAATAAGATCCAGTATCTTCCAACTAACAAGTTCTTGTCAATGCCCAGTTTGACAGCTATATTTATATAAGCTTCGGTAGAGCTGGCTACCAATTCCGGTACTCCTAAAGCATACAGCTGCGACGAAGCGACACGTGAGGCCAATGTTTCCACTGTAATTGTCATATAATTTAAAATTAGCATATTATTAGCCTACAAGGCATAGTGATCATTGGTGTTCCAGTCCATAGAATGTCCATACCAGTAGTATGACCATTGCATAATGGAGTGTCCAAGCAAACATCAGCAAGTTGTCCGCGCCGAACATGCTCTTCCTATCAATCTATGTTATAAGTAGGTCATTATACAGCGACACACCTTAGCTGCAACGTTGCTGAAGATAACACGTTTAGGATCAACGCCTCGCTCTTGAACATATTTGTGAACATGAGCTTCACCGTGGAATGGGAACCGAAGCAACCAAAGAACACTTCGAGGAACCTGAGATAAAATCATACATTCATTGTTCAAGAGTTCAGAAACAAACTTTTTTCAAGATCTCAACCCACATGTCAAGCGTGGGTGGATCAATTTTATACAACTGATTGAAGTTGCAGTAGACTACTGCATCTTCAGGCAAGAAATACTGTTGTCTGCTGGTAAGTAAAACTGATTGAGGAACCTCCTCACCCGTAGCAGCTTTTGCATGAGTCTGCAGCTGAAAAACAAAAAGATGAACACTATTTATATATGTGAACCTGAGTTAATCCATTTTGTACGTGAACACCCTCTACTACACTTGTGGCCAGCATACCACTACCGATCATTTGCTTCAATGGCTCAGTAGTTGGAACTTCCACCATAGGTACAACGACTTCTGTTTTAATTTTTTCTTTTGCTGGACCACAAACGACTTCTGCTTCACGCACATAAGACTATATTTGATGTGATTGAGGATAAAACAGGGAAACTATACCTTAACCCCAACTTTACTCAATAATGGCTCAAGATTAGTAGAGTTCAAAACTGTTACTGTGTCCTTGTCAGTAGCAGTTTGCATATCCTGAAAAGAGAAACCTTTTAAAGATTGACCTCTGAACGAGTGAACCTTAACGATAACCCGTTCAGTTAAATGCTTCAACATTTGGGCATGATCCCCAATGAAGAATGTATGAGGCATGTAAGCCAGCTATAAACAAGTATGTAATATGAATGAAAAACTAGTTTACGAACCTTCTCAGTGTAAGCATACGCCAGACGCATGGGAGATGTGACGGCATCAGTAATGATATAATCCATGAAAGGCGCCCCAGATGTTCCTGGATATCCAAGCCACATAACCTAAGTATAAGAATGAGCAATAATATCTGCTTAACAAAATACTTGGATAGGAGCAGGCTTCAAAGCGAAAATCTCATTTCTGGCACCTTTGGTGTAGCCATTCATATTAATCAAAATATGGATACCATCCTGATGAATTCTTTCGGCGGCTTTGCCATTACATGTAATCTGAAGTAGCAAGTTCTTCTTTGTTCTTGAATAACATTTTTACCGCAGAGAGATCGATAAAATGTTCTGATTCATTGATAAGTTTTTGACGGAAATTCGTTCCATCATGAGGAGAGAGAGCATAACAGTAAACCTGCAAAGAAACCAAAGACTACAATAGCTATTGAAAGCGAATACCTCGACTTTCACACGATCGTGCATACCAGGAATAGATTGCATTAAATGACTGGTGGGATGATTACCGAAATCGGATGAAACATATCCTATCTTCAGTCTCTTTTCTGAAAGATATGAGAGTCAATTTATGGTATTCGTTTCACAAGTATACCTCCGCACTGTGGCACCTTGTCCGGATGTACAAATGGAGGATGATTGATCATCGCAACCTTTTCGATGCAGAGTTGAGCATGCTTAGCTGCTATAGCTATGCGAGTTGAATGATTTAGCGGATATAGCATGGAATGATGAGGATGGACAGAAGGTAACCGCTTCTTACTTAATTGGTCATCAACAATAGCGACTAATTTTTTCATTCTGCAAATTATTAGATTAAAACTGAAATATTGAGGTATAAATAGCCAACCTATTATCATAATCAGCCCAATCACAAATTATTTGAAGACAATGGGCTAAGTTACAGAAGGCGTCAGGAAAGTCAGGCTTCAACTTGAGGGCAGTGGAATAGGATTGGATTGCATCCGGAATGTTACCAGAATCCTATCATAACGGTAACAGTGAAAGAAGTTTTAGAGCAATCCAACCTTATGAATACTAGCCAGGTTACTATGAGCATCAGCAAACGCAGGGTTAATTTGAATCGCTCTAGTGTAGCACTGCATCGCGTTAGGAGCATCGCCTAATTCTTTCAATGTATTCCCCATATTAGAATATGCATCTGCGAACGTGGGAGCGATTCGGATAGCTTCCTGAAAAAGAAAATAGTGAAACATATCCATAGCAGGACTTTACCTTATAATGAAGGATTGCTTCCTGGAGCTTACCCTGCTGCTGAAGAATAGATGCTAAATTGCTGTGAGCTGCAGCGAACTCTGGGAAGATCTATACACAAAATAAGGTTCATTAACTAATGGTATTAAATGATTAACCTCTAGAGCTTTCAAGTATAATCTGGTTGCTTCTTCAATTCGACCTTGTTCCCTCTTGATGTTAGCTAAGTTATTCTGAGAATCAGCATGTGTGGGGCAGAGCTGAAGAGGATGCTATAGTATTCAAAACTAATAGGTTTGATACTTGTAATGCAGTCATATATGCACTCTCGGCCTCTGCTACAAGTCCCTTTTCCTTCAGAGCATTGGCCAAATTACAATATGCATCGGGGAAGTTAGGTTGTAGCTCAATGGCACGACGATAAGTATCAATTGCCAAATCAATAAGCCTGCAAAAGGATATCACTGAAATTACTTTTTATCCCAATAATTATACCCCTGCTCATAGTAAACACATGCTAGATTACCGTGCACAACAGCATGAGTAGGCGAGAGGTTGAGAGCACGTAAATAAGCGGCAACAGCTCGATCAAAAATCCGAGCTTCCTTAAGTACATTGCCCAAGTTAATATACGCATCGATAAAATTGGGATCTAACTGTACTGCCTGAACAACAAAAAACGTGAGTGTAATGGAATACTCTTTTCATAACAACCTTTTCGAAATGATGTATAGCTAGCCACAATTCTCCCTGTGTATTGAAAACACACCCTAAGTTCGACCAGGCGACAGCAAAATGAGGTTGAGTTTCGATAGCCTTCAGGTAACAGATCTGAAATACCAAAGAAATTGATTTGAGGATAGAACTTTGTCAAAATGACTGAAGCCAATCAAATTCAATAGACTCGATAATCTGCATAAATGAGCTGATGTTGACAATATACGTCACATCACATCACGTGATAACAAGTCATGAGCTAATTGTTATGAACTTATTACCTTGGACTCTTCCAACCGACCCATAGCCTTCAGCAAATTCCCCAAATCACTTCTAACGCAATAAAGATCCTACAATCGAGAATACAAATATTAAATACGTGAAGCTTTTATCGCACTGGATTATATTGCAGAGCTCTTAGATAAGCATGCACAGCCTGGTCTAAATCTCCTCCAGCAACCAAAGCGGCAGCAAGATTAATATATCCATCAATAAAATCAGGCTGAAAACAAGCCAATCTATTAATTGTGACTAAAGTCCACTATACCTTTAAGCGAACAGCATATTTATAGTTTTCCAAAGCTTCAGCTAGTTCTCCACGTTCTTTGAAGACGTTTCCCAAGTTGCTGTAGGCTTCAGCACAAGTTGGATTAGCTTTGATAGCTAAGGTGGAATACATTTTGGATCTGAAAAGAGGAAAATAAATATGTATGCAGTCTGGAATATCATTAATAGAATGGTTCTATCATGTATGAAAAACAAAATATATTTAAAAGGGAAAGGAAATGAAAAAATAAACATACTTATCCAAATTCTTCAATTGGAAATGAATAGAGGATAGCAACAGCAACACGCTCACATTCGTTGGATCGTTCTTGAACAAAGAATGGAAAAAATGTTGAAACTACCAACGATCACAAACCTGATAAATCATAAGACAGTGACGCTCTGCACTGAAGTAATCACCAGCTTGATATTCACGATGTGCCATTTCCGTGACTGAAATTCCAATACTTATGCATATTACAATTAGAACAATAAAATATTGGTGAATTTAGAGACCGCCTAAGCACATAACTTAGGAGGAACTATGAGACATATCATTTCTATTCCTCAACTTAAGCAATGTTCACTTCTATTAAGAGAAACGTCATCGTAGTTGTGAGGGGATTGAACCTTTGACCGTTTGTTCAATACATGGAAACTTCCGTTTGGACTATACTTTACACTTACCCCCCGAGTCTACAGCCACACCTTGTCCAGTCGGTACGGGCTCTTGAACCGGCTGTACAAACGCACCACTTTGAATCTGAAACAAATTTTTGAGAAAAAATAGAACCTTGACGACCAGAAAACGATGCTGTCGGCTCGGACATCAGTGCTGACACATGGTCCTCTACAGAGAGGATCACGAGATACAAAGGTGACATCGTTTAGAAAAAGAAAAACCGACCTTTTGCATAGCAGCCACAATGTTGTTGAATTGCTGGCCTTGTATGGATGGTGCTAAGACAGGCTGTTGCGGAACAGCCCCAGGTGCTAGCTGTTCACCCGTAGCGCCCACAAACTATATGAAGATGTTGTTAAAGAAGGGAAGAAATAAGAAATGGAAAAAGAAAAATAATAAAATAAACTACCCACATTGCTGTAGGACTGAATAAGGTATCGTTTGGCGGGATCCATTGCTGTCCCTTACTCATTCACAAAAGGAATGAATTCTGAAACAAGTATCATTATGGCAAACACAAACTAGAGTATAAAGAGTAGCTTCTCCAAGACGACATCGATACGACAATTTTGACAATAGAGAGAGATGGAGGTGAACAGAGATAAGCTTGAATGAAATCAAAAATATTCGTCAGACGGCAATTGAAACGAGGCAGTGTCGTTTGCAATTCATCGATAAATCGACAAGCTGTTTTATTGAAATTATACAAATATGCCTTCATAAACAATATTCCACATGAGCGCAACAGAAAAAAGTTTGATTCCAATCAAGTTGCAGCCAAAAAATCACGTTTTTTATATAGTCCTTTCATGAAACAAAGACACAGTAATGTTGGAAAGTTCTGTACAATAAGCGAGACAACTCGAATTTTGATTTCGAATTTAAATGAGCGAAAGCTGGTAGGAGAAAATGAAAAGTTCTCATACCAGAGAAGAGAGAGAGAGAGTATCCGTAGAAGTCTGCTCCTTTACCACCCAGACTACGGCCGCCATACGCTTACCCTCCACGCCCCTCACGCTCTATCATTTTTGATCTAACAACCTTGTATCTCACACGCCCCCTATGCTGTTTCGTTTTGTATAACTGTCTGCATCTTCGGGAAACCCCATATCTTTTTTGCTCTCCTAATTCTCACACTATTCCTATCAATTGCCAACAGGCCGACGATATCTGCATTCTTTCACTATTTCCTACTCTCTAATTCAGTAACGCTATTTCTTGTATTCTTTGCTACTCTAATGTTCTCGTTCAATATATAACTACGATCGATACTCTCCTCCCCTCTTCTATTCGACAATGAAAAATAATTCTGATAGCAAAGACGTAGTAGATGAACATTTACATAAGATAGAAGCTTAAACCAAGGGGTTTCATGAGATATAATATTTATTCTAATCTTTAGTCATATCTATAAGTTCTACAAACCGTCAAGCCTTACCAAATTAGGGATATTACCAGTATGGACATTCCTAACTACGTTGAAATTAAAAGGCTTTACTGTACATCTTCAACTAAAAAACAAAAATCTAATGATGATGAACATAATCGGGGTCGTAGGAGTCGGAATCAAAGTCCTGCGATGTCTCCAATGATGTCAAGTCGTCATAGTACGCCTCTTTGTAGTAATATTCATACCTAAATATAGACATTCATAGGACAACCAGGCAATCGATAACTCACCAAGGCTCTGGTAGGTGATGACCAGTTCGCCAATTGGAAAGACCATCTTGATGGTCACCGTTCTCAGCGATGTATCCGTATCCGTAAGGAGATTTCAACACCTGCACGTCATAAATTTGCCTCATTGAGAATTGCACTCTCACAAACCTCTTTTCTCATGACATGTAAGAAGTGGCCTGTGTCTCTGGGATTCGTGTACAACTCTCCTACTTCGTGTGTGAGAATTCCATCAAAAGCTTGAATACGAGCATCATGCTTGCTAGTGACGCTGCAACAAAGAAAAGTAATGTCAATTATCATCATGAAACTACTGTTGTCTCCAACCAGCCCATCCCACTTCATCGACCAATGTGTTCCATTCTGCCATTACATCTCCACTGTGCCATTCGAAGAAATCAAGGTCCAATCGTTCGATATCTTCGACCTGAACAAATTACGCAACCTCGATGTATCAAAACGAGATAACGAACCACGGAATCAGCATCACCGGGCTTGGTCCAGTCATAAGCAAGAATCTTTGAATGAGCTCTGCAAAGAGAAAGTACACTGATATTCACAAGATCGGATCAGACTTGTATTCTTTCAAAGAGTCTTTGAAAGACTCCTCCATGACTTTCAAATATCTCTCGTCTACAACTTCGATTTCGTCAACCTGAACAGAAGCCCCATGATAGGAATATGAAGGATTGCATTACATTTCCTCTTCTCTTAATATTTTCAAGACAAGTCTTTGCTGGTGCATCGAGATAGATAACGAGATGAGGCCAGAAGTGCAACTGGGGAAGAGCATTCTTACGTACATAGTAATAATGTTTGAAGTCTGAAACCGAAAAATGTCAACAAAACCGCCGAAGCAGCTTGCATAAGCATACACTCAAGTCCAATGTAATTCTTCTCTCTCATGGCATTGGCGAAGACAAAGTCGGAGAAAGGAGATCTCTCGAGAACGACTCCTTGACCTGAAACAAAACAGAGGCCTTATATGCTGGAAGATTGCTGTCATCAAACCAGAATTCAAAATATGAGCCAGAGCATTCAAATACTGATCGAAACGGCAATTGAAAATTCTGTCTTGCATGGCTGCGCTCAGTTTTCCATGTGGGTTTCTATAGAACATCTTGATGTCAGGAATTCGATATCTTTCAGGGAACTGCAAAGTTTCTATTAAATTAAAGATTGGATCTGAAGAAAACCATACCTTGCTGTAGAAACTTCTCAAATCGTTTCCGTAACGATCAACCAGAATGTCGTCCATCTTGAACTCTGGGAGATGGTGGAAGCCCAATTGGTCTGCGAGCTCCTTAGCTAATTTGGACTATAATGATTGCTAAGTCAATAATTGAAGAGCCTGGAGCTTACCTTTCCAGAACCAATATTTCCTTCGACAACAATTAATTTAGAATTTTGATGGAAATGCTTCCTAGTAGGATCCTCCAAGTTATTAACGTAGTTGAAGCCCTTCTCTTTGTATGGCCATGGATCAGGATAATCAGCTGGGAGTCTGAATTCCCATATGAGACAATGGATTGCGTAGCCGTAAGACCAACCTCAGCAAACTGTTATGAACAATTGTACGGTTCTGCTGGACCTGGAGACTTGCAAGGGCTGCATTTCTACTGCTGCCGAAAAGCCGTTGAGCAGCTCCCCCCAGCTTACTCACGGACATACCTGAAGATGAGTTTAGTACCCAAACCACAAACAATAGAAAACAAAAATAGTTGTCAACGTTAAAACGTCATAAGCAAATGCTCAAGAAGAAAAGCGAAGTTCCTTTATTAAATAATGAAAAGTGAGAAGATTTCACACAGAACCAACAACATTGTAACAACACATTCATAGAACAATCGCGTTATTAAAATGAACTCAACTTGGTTCAACAGGGGTGCCCCATAACGAACGGCGTAATTTACATTATTGAAACTCACAAGGTTAGAAAAGCTTATTAAGCTTGACTTACGTGAAGGCTTCGAAGAGAAACAATGGGAATAATTTAATAGCGTCTATCACGTTGATAATCGTTTCTTCTATGTTCACCTCCTCCTCCTCCACCTCCTCTATGTTCTCCTCCTCCTCCACCCGAGCGATAACCGTTATTATAACCCCTGTTACCGTTATAACCACTTCTACGATCATCTCTTCTTTCATGGCGATCGTCTCTTCTGTCATCCCTAGAAAAAACAAAGTAAGTTGCTAATAAAACAATAAAAGTTACCTTCTATCACGTTCTCCACGTTCTCCACGATCTCGGGAACGACTTCTATGCCTCTTTTCTCTATCTCCACCTCTTTCCCTGTCTCTCTCATTACGATCTTTGTCTTTTTCACCTACGACTTCTCTTTCCTCCATGGTTTTGCGAGATTCGCGAGCACGACGAGTGTCACCTTTTCCGCCACCTAGAAATAAATTTTGAATCCAGAAGAAAAATTAGTCGTTGCTACCTAATCTGCGGGGAAGCCATGACTTTTGAGTTCTTCCTCTTTCGTAATCAACAATAAGTCTTCGACCGTCCACTTTCACTCCATCTGCTCGTTTATAGGCATCTAGAACGACGAATTACAGAAACCTGGACTGCTGCGATATCTCCGAAGACAGCTAACAATTTGCATTGAAAACGTTGCTTACTAACCTACTCCCTTCTTACAATTTGCGCGCATTCAAAAAAATATCAACTTACGAACTTAAACTTACGCCCAAAAACAAAAGATGGGTGAATCCGCACTACTAGGCAACTTACCCGTGTGCTTACCCGAAAAGAAAAGTCAAAATGCAGAAAGGTTTTGGTTTACCTATGTCACATTCAAGCGACTTCCAAACAAACCATCGCATGAGACAATTGTTCGAACATTGTTCCGATCAATTTCAGATTCAAAAATTTTATATCTCACAAGAGTTTTCGGAACACATGCTCATAACAAACCTATTATACCATATATGCAATACAATAGCAAGCCTCAGGCCGTAGCCTGCAATTAAAAGAATGAACTTCAAATCGCATCTTACTGGGGAAACTTACGAGGAAACAAACCTCAACCGCCAAAACCCGAAAAACTCTCTAATACAAATAACTTACTGTGCATTTCGGATTTGTCGGAATATTCAATAAAGGAATAACCGCGTGGTTTACCATTTTCATCATGAACCATTACCATCTGAAACATTCAAGTTTAAACTGTTGTTCAAATTCATAATAACCTTTTTAATTTTTCCGTAAGTCTCAAATTCTCTCTTCAATTTACTCTCTGACGTTTCGTAGTTCTGAAAAGGAAGAGGTTGAACAGACTACTTGAAAAAATGAACTTACCACTCGAGCTACAAACAAAGTTTTATATGGATCCTCGGTAGCCTTTGAATTATCTGCTGGATTCCATTGGGCAATGCCTTGTTCAACTTTATAAGCTAACAACTCTTCTTTTTCCCGCCGTTTTCTTTCCCTCTTCTGTTCTTTAGTTTCGAGAATAACTTTTGCTGGAGTTTCAGAAGGGTCCTATAAACATCGATGAATAATACACACACACATTGTAAAATTTCTTACTTCAAACAACTGAGTGTACTCAGCGACACCTCCATAGCGAATCTCTGGCAACTTTTCGTTTTTGTCCACAAGTAATGGTATAGGAGGAGGAAGATATGGAATTGGAGGCCGAGCCTCGAACAATCCCATAAGATTGGGAGGCAAGAAAGCAGTCATATTTTCCTTAAACAAAGATCCTTCATCTATTAAGCACTTCAAAAAATAAGAAAATTTAACGAAGATTCTTTCTTAAAAAGCAAAAAATCCGCATATATTAGAGGCTTTAATTTGCACGCCAAATTTTTTTAACTGGTCCTGGCACGCACAGTGTGCGCGTCAACCCCGCCCGTTATTGATCCGCCCTGCGTGCGGTCGTTTAACAGCGCGGCATCATTTTGCGTCAAGTCCTCCTTTCTTGGCGCATTTCTTTTTAATTGTTATGTTTCAAGATTTCTTTTTGTTGATCAAGCAACTTACGATGGATGTTGCAGGAGGGTCTTTACCGCTAATGGTGTTAGCTTCTATAAGCTTTGTATAATAATGATGGAAGTGAATGACTCATCTCATCATGCAGATGACTCAAACATAGTAGTGGAAGAGATGTATGAGGAAGACGTTGACGCAGATATGGGGGTACTAATCAAAATAATAGTTTCATTCACAATGTTCTCTCTTACAGGGACTCCTTCCAAATAATGATACAGTCCTCCAATATGACGAAGATGAAGAACGTAATGATGGTGATGAGTATGGCGGGATGCCGATAGAATTGTATAATAGTATTGTAGCATTTAAAAGGTTAATCGCATTGCAACTATACTAATAAGAAAAAATTAAAATCGACGTGTTTTTTCAACTTAATCATTTACAGATCTGGTCTTTATCCTCCAACATTGAATAGTAGACAAGACAGAAGTGCAGCTAGTCATTGGAGGTAAGTCTTAAAATCTTGCGTTATCACATCTCTTTCCCTTATCAGATCTCGCTGTATGCGCTTCATACTAGCTGAAGATAGCGAAACTTTGTTATATTATAATCCAACAAGCTCAGTTAATGATCAAGCCAAAGTTGTTGTCAAAAAGGGAGAGGTTAGACGTGTTCTAGAACGTATCCATGAACTCATAGGTCACCTTGGTCAGAAAAGAACGTGAGTTCAATGAATGCAGAGAAAAAATGGTATCATCTTTGTAGGCAAATGGTCGTTCTAAAAAAACTCCACTGGCGATCAGTACGCCAAGATGTGAAAACGTTTATAATGAATTGCTCGTTTTGCAATCAAAAAAAACTTGAAGGAAAAAAAATTTTGAAAGCACCTGTTGATATATCTAGTCAGTTTGCTCTTCTTCAATAGTCTTAATCATTTCTGTCTTAGGTGAACATTTTGGATTGAATATAGAAGTACGTAATAAAGCCCCAGGTGATGGCAGTGGGCAAGACCGTCTCTCTTTCAGTTTGATTGGGTATGTGATAATTTTATGAAATCTTTCAACTTCCACTTCCTCAGATATAACGAACATGAAGTGCAAGCAGCCGCTATGAGCAGGATGACCACTTATACTTTCAAAGAAACAGCTCCCGATTTGAGAGGAGGTCGTTATACTCGACTTCCAAAATCAGAATATGCCTACGTGAGCAGCATGAGCTTCCCGAACTTCAATTCGGATTCGATGCCAGGAAACTCTCTCTCGTTCCGGAGACAGCCCTATATTAAAAGATCTCGTTGTGGTAGTTATCCAACAAGCTATATATTACCGTATGCTCCGAAAGGCAACAGAGAGGTAGCTTTTTACACATGTACTTCCAAGCATCTAACTTTTTAGGAAACGGAGTTTATAGTTTTTCCTGACCCTAGGAATAGTAATTCATATACTGGAGAGGACGAAGAGTTCACCAAATATGAAGAGTGAGTGATATCATGAGACAATTTCAAAAAGTTATTGTTTAGAATTGAGGATTCACGCTCTTCTTCCCAAATAGGTAGAAAGTTTTTGGCTGTTGATCACGAAGAAACAACCGGGCATCCTCCAGAGCCGTCCAGTTCATCTCCGATCAATCCTCCAGTTCAAGTAAGCCTGGGATACTTTGATGACTTATAAATTTGACAATCAGATCAAAGCCGAGTCATCTATGCTTTCGAATATTCCCGTTTATTATGATCCACCCAAACGACGTAAGTTGAACTCCATAGTTTGTCAGTAGTACTTGCCTTCTAGCTATTCCTGCCAGTCGATCTAATCCAAGAAGAAGGCGAAATAAATTCAACCATGGGCCGACGGGAGCTGCTGCTCGATTCAGTTTGGCTGTAGGAGATGGAGACAGGATGGGTAACATAATGATGACTTTTCACATGACACGAATCGTTCAGATTTGGGCGAGCATACAGCTGAGTTACTTACTCCTCTGGATGCCGCACAAAGCAGACCTGAGCTGATTGGTCTAGCGCCGATTATGTTGATGCCTTCGGTCGATCCGGAAGTTGTCCATTTGCAGAAAGAGGTTAGGCTGAACACGTGATTGTTAATACTTAATGTTTTCTTTCTTAGTTGTTGACTAGGCAATTGAATATCCAAGCCTTACAAGAGAAAATTCTTCATTCGCAATACGAATCTATGAGGATCCCAATTGCTAGGTTGGTTTTTTTTTGATTTTCTATTGAGTGCTGTGGTTGACCTTCAAATGTGAACTAATATGATTAGCAAAGAGAAAGAGAGACAATTGGTTAATTGTTATCGAAATCTGATGAATTGTGTTTTAGGTACGAGGAAATTGATCCCCGTGGTGATAGGATACAGCTTCTTTCTCATGTCGGACAGAATGTTATAGAGGTTTGTAGGTTGTTTTCGATGAAAGATGAAAATATTGTATTAAGTCAATTCCCAGAGAAAAAAATAATTATTCCCCGTTGTTTTTGAAGTTTCCTTTGTACAGTTCAGCAATATCTTAATTCAAATATCACTTTGAGAAATAAGAATCAAATGAGTGAAGACAGACATCACTGTCGGCTCCTTACTACAAAGGAAAATGTTTTTATTTTCAGGAAACGGTGGAAATCGATCAAGATCTCAATGTTATTGATAGTGATAATGAACATGATGAAACTATCGATGTAATCAAGCGCTTTAATGAAGAATAATATGTTGACTTAACATTATTAATGACGTATAATATGTTGACCTCCTTAGATCAATTTCCATGTGTGCTACTCTCCTCGCTCACACTTCAATAATCTTAAACCTCTTGATAAGTCTTTCAGTCAGAGACATCTTACTGCATCTCCATCCTGTTCTTGCAAGCGCAATTGTAAAATATGATTTCGTTATATCTGCCTTCAAAGCTATATTTCCTGTTTTTAATCTTACTAATATTCCCATTATTGTAGGGAGTATAGTCGGTCCTTGATGAATTGTCTCATTCACCGATAGACAACCTCTGTAATGGGCTGATGCATTCAAAACAGCTCTCAACTTAGTTGTGCCTTATTGAGGAGTTTTGTCTATCTCGGGTGTCCGTTGCGATATTGTTGAATAATATCATGTTAATTAATTTGATAAATAATTATAATATTCTCCTATTTCAATCATTTTTTGCTTGTTCTAGAGAAACTTCCGAAGTTGACTCATGTTTTGGTATGTGTCTGTTAGTTACACGTCATGCATGGGACTTTGCCACGTGTGCTAGAGTCAGAGAGGAATGAATTCGAGTAGTCTTCTCATCTTCCTCGCCATCATCGTCATCTGGCCTTTTAAGGACGATGGTTCGTCATCACCCAGTATTACCCAGAAAAGAACGACAGTTTTCGTAAAATTTGTCAGACAATTGACGTGTATTTTGCATCAACAGCAACAGCCCCTCGTTGTGTAGTGAAGAGGAGGGGGGGTGGCGTGATTCTCTGCGTCTCTCCTCCTTTTTCTCTCTCTTTTTGCCTCATTTCGTTGCGACAAATTCAGAGCTAAAGCGTCGAGCTGTTCGACGTTTATGTGTGTATGTCGTTCGTCCTTTTTCTGTATTTTCGTAATTCACATCTTTTAGCTCCTCCTATTATTTTTTTTATTAAAAAGGAAAGCTTTGATTGCTGATACCATCTAGCGTAGAGCTTCATAATTTCATTATTTATCAAATCGATGATTTTATGATAAGATGCTGCTCTCGTAGTTCAACAACCCTTCGATTATCAGTCATAAATCATATGAACTGCTCTTACCCAACTAGCTAGACCAACGTTTTCAAAGTGGCATTTCCGTTCTTTGCCACGTATCTGTATTTTGTAGTCCAGAGACGGTATCCAAAAATTTTCTCGGAAACTGACCGCCTATTTTTACGCATCAAAATTTTGGTTGCCAAGATTTGACATTTTTTCGTAATGTTGTTTGTCCACAGGTTTTGCTCCTATATTTGCACCTTGTCCCCAATCGACTTCTCCCATAGCACAATCATTTCCCTTTTTTTTCAAAATAATGAGGTAGTTATAAAATACTCACTATATATTATAACCACAATTTATTTATATATTGTATCTCGTGAATGTTTGTACCTCCCCTCCTCTCCGGTTTTTACCCTCTGCCAATATCGATTTTGTTCTTTTCTCGAGAAAAAAGTCTGTGTGCCATCAATTGTTCGCTTTTTCTTCTGTCATCATTCGCTACTTTATCATTTTACTCTATTCACTTCACTCTCTTAAGTGCGAATTTTTTCAGTATTTGGGATGAAATCGGGAAAGGAGAATGATCCTGCAGATGATACCCTGAACAAGGTACGAATACTACCCTCTAAAACGTAATCATTTTGTCCATTCAGGTCATAAAGGGGCCTTCACCTTTATGGATACGTTTTTGTATGTGGATCTTGAGAGTTTGGTTCTTCGTTTATGATTGTTTGAATTATATTCCGTACCAACTTTTCAACTCCCCAGTGGAGAAACTGAGAAAGTCTGAAAGAGTCAAGGTACGCTCGACTTGCCTCTTTTGAAGCTTTGTTTTGAACTTTATTCGCGCGTGACTATTTCGTTAATGGCTCACATGGGTCTTTTTGATTACGGAAACCTGTTTTCACTTTTGTTTATGTTGGAGTTTGTATTTAGCTTCAACTTATGCTGCTTCTAGGCTCGCTGGGTTGGAGATAGGGATGGACCAATCAGACATGTTGAAGGACACAAGAGTGAAGATTTCCCAGGCAAAAATACAGTTGACAAAGTCAGTCGTCCTTTGATCCCTTCTTATCTTTATGTGATTGTCCTTTAGTTGTGGCGTCATATTGTGGAGCTTCATGGCGATAATCCAGCTCTAGGAACTCGTCCATTACTTGAGGTTCATCAGGAAAAACAAGAAGGTGGAAAAGTTTTCGAGAAGGTTTACCTTTGTACGCTGTTCTGTATTTTAATCTGCGTTGTAGTGGGAGCTTGGAGACTACGATTGGCTCACTTTCGCTGAAGTTGAAGAGAAAGTTGAAAAACTTGCTGCCGGTTTCAAAGATCTCTCAGAAGATTCGAACTCTAAGGTAAACTGTTCTCGAATCGGAATAGTATCAATAATCTTTTGTCTCTTAAGGTCGTCATTTTTGCGGAAACTCGTGCCGATTGGCTTATCACTGCCTTGGCCTGCTTCCGCGCTAACATCCCTGTTGTGACGGTATATGCAACTTTAGGAGAAGATGTAAGTTAAATGTAAACAAGCGAGATTATGACGGACAAGTCTTTTAGGCTATCGCCATCGCTATTTCTGAAACTGAAGCCACCACCATGGTTACTGCTGCTGAATTATTACCGAAAATTGGAAACATTGGCAAGAAGTGTCCTACTCTTAAGACTCTCGTGTACTTCCCACAAGTCAACAAAGAAGCCAAACTCACAGATTTGACACCCTTCAGGTTGTTCTGAACTTCGTTCTTCCTCATCTCAAACTCTATTTGCAGAGAACAGTTCACCCATGTGTTGTCCCTGAATGGATTGGAAGACAGAAACAAGGCCGTTATCAGTTCGTTTGCAAACAATTTTTGTTTATTAAACTAAGTTTTGAAGAAGAATCAACAGCGAAACCGGAAGATATTGCACTCATTATGTACACTTCCGGAACCACTGGGGCTCCTAAGGGTGTCATTCTTTTGCACAAAAATGTTGTAGCCGCTGTATGTGGTCAAGCAAACGGAGTTAACATCGTGACGTATGTTTTGTTTTTCGTGACACTAGTATATATGTTTTTTTTAGATCAAATGATGCTTACATTGGATACCTTCCTCTTGCTCACATTCTTGAGTTAGACGCTGAACTGACTATTTTGTCTCGTGGTGGAAAGGTAAAGATAAATTTCTTTTCGATATTACACTTGTTGTTGTTAAGATTGGCTACTCTTCTCCTCTCACTCTTCATGACAGAGCTAGTAAAATTCAGAAGGGAACTCATGGCGATTGTCACGCTTTACGACCAACGTTGATGGCAGCTGTTCCTGTAAGAAATAGAATTGGAGTATACGTTTCAACAGCTGTTTTAGGCTATTATGGATAGAATTTTCAAAGCTGTTTCCGAAGAAGTCGCCGCCAGTCCTAGGTTTATGCAAGAGTTGTTCCGTCTCAATTATGAACGAAAAAGAGCTCGTTATCTAGAGGGTTATTGCTCTCCATTCCTTGACAGGTATCGCATCCCTTACTACGTTGTATGCTACAATATTCTCTTTCAAGAATCGTGTTCAAGAAGATTCGTCGGCTATTGGGAGGTCGTCTGAAGGGAGTACTTTCCGGTGGAGCCCCTCTCAATGCTGAAACTCAACGATTTATGAATATCTGCATGTGTTGTCCTGTCATTCAAGTAATACTTTCTCTCTTTTCTCAAGTTTCATCGAGGGTTTCAGGGATACGGATTGACTGAAACATGTGGTGCTGCTTGTGTCGCTGAAATTAGTGATCTTAGTACTGGAACTGTTGGACCTCCAGTACGTTGTGCTGACATTGTCCTTAGAGAATGGAAAGAAGGTTTTGTGAAGATGTTTTGACATGTTTTAAACCATGTTGTGATTCAGGAGGTTACTCCCCCTTCAATGACCCTCCTCAGGGAGAAATCCTCATCTCTGGACCCCATGTCTCTCCTGGATATTTCAAACAACCAGAAAAGACTGCTGAAGATTTCATTGAATACAAGGGAGCTCGTTACTTCTGTACTGGAGATATTGGACAAAAGAGAGACGATGGATCTATTCTGGTTATTGATAGAAAGAAGGATTTAGTCAAGCTCCAACATGGAGAGTACATTTCTCTTGCTAAGGTATATATTCGGTCATAACCTTTCTCATGTGAAGCTTAAGGTTGAATGTGCTCTTCTCAATTGCCCAATCGTTGATAACATCTGTGTCTATGGAAGTGGATTAGAATCATTCACCATTGCTTTAGTTGTACCTAACCAGAAGCATCTTGAGGCTATCGCACAAGAGGTTGAGTTTACCAAGCCTTGATTTCTATTAGATTATTTTTTTCAGTTGGGAGAAACTTCTAAAGATTTGGAAGCTTTGTGCTCTAACCGTAAAGTGAGAGATGCCTTCCTCAAGAAAATGCAAGAACACGGAGCTAGAAGTATGTGCTTGAATTTTATGATGATAAAACATTAACTTCGTTCTAGGCAAACTCTCCAGAACGGAAACTCCTGCGGCTATCCACTTGTGTTCCGAAATTTGGACCCCAGACAGTGGATTGCTAACTGAAGCCTTGAAGTTGAAGAGAAAGCCAATTCAGACAAGGTTTGATATGATAAGGAAACTTTCTCTCATCGCACGTGTTTCAGGTATCAAAGTGTCATCGATGATCTCTATCGTAAGTAAAATAAGTAAAATTTCTCAAGGATTTCCTTATAATGAGACGGGGAGTCGTTAACGGTTTTCCCATCTACCCTGAGTCCTGATGATGCGCTTTCCTTTCCTTAGAATTTAAATATAATCTAAATCGTAGCTCAGTTCCCTGTGGTTTGTTGATTTTTACGCGTTAGTTGTTTGCTCCAAAGTTTTTCTCTCTTCCGTGTATCCTTAATATCACATAATAAATGTTTTTAAAAAATTTTTATTTATAATTTGAAACTTTGAGATCATATGCGATACTTTACTCCTTTGTCATACTCATAGTACTCGTAAGGTTTAAGTTTTGGATTCGATTCTAGCGGAACTATTCTTCGGTAGAAAACGATCCATAAGAGCATTGTTATAAACAGAGCTGCTAACTGAAAATAAGCTGGGTTTGCAAGATTAATATGAGTCGTTCTCACCTCTGTATACCACAACGGGATTGGTCCTTTCTTTTGGAATAGATAAGAGACTAATAATGGACCAAGTGTACGCGCCAGACTTCCAGCCATCAACATTACTCCTTGCATCGTTCCCTTAACACAACAATATTCTCGGAAAAACACTTTCCAACATACCTGTCTTCTGCTTCCAAGAATTTTACTGAACAGTGTGTTCATAGAAATGTTAACAATAGGGAAACATGCAGCTAACACAACTCCATAAAAGACAGCGTACACCCAGAAGTTGACCTGCAATTGCGAAGTTCATTTGATCTAAGATGTGTCAACTTACATCATGGGTTGTTGCACACCAAGGGTATTTGGTCCTATCGCATCCGACGGTCTCCGTATGATTATTTTTAAGAGTTACATTTCCTTCAAAGATATTTTATAGTGGCGGTCATTCTCTGTTTGATCTTAATTTCAATTTGAACGACACTTACGATATTCTGGCAGATTGCCTCCGAACCATGGGAACGGGAAGGTCACGATATGGAAAAGAGCGCCAAGGAACAGTCCAATGATTGTGAAGAGTCTCTCTTTGTTTTTTGAAACACTGCAAAGGGAGTTCTAACATACTTTCTTCCAAAAGACTTGTATAGTATTTAGCTTGTAATTATCAGCGATTCAAAAAAAATTGACATCCGGTTTTTAAGCTTCAAGATAGATAATTAACACTTACTAATCTCCTAAGCTATACGCAAACAGTCCATAAATTATAACACTGAAAAGTCCATTAGTTGCTTGTAAAATACCTAGAAGCGATGAGAGTACACAGAAAACTCGTATTGACAAACCGATATTCGTAACCGCTTTTTCATTTGTCCATGCCCACATCATCTTGGCATACATACTTCCTACCCTAAATACGTCATTTTATTGTTGAGAGAAGCAGTTTGGACATAGTTTTTTGAACCTAATTAGCATAACGGTTACGCGCACGTCACCCTTAACTCGCATTAATCATTTTCGCGGAGTTAAACAACGGGACGGTTGAATGGTTTGTTTTTTTTTGTTAAGTTGAAAACAAAGTTAAGCTTTCGTCGATGACGAGGGAATGTTTGAATTGTGGATTAGTTTTGGGATATTTTCATAAACTCACGTTTCTAAATTAGTAATGATGAACATCAATGTGAACTGAGTCACAACACAAACACCCACAGAGATTTTGTCATAATTGGGCATGGCAAAGAAGGAATCTAATATTTCCAATGAATTACATCAGTGGCTCTCATCAAACAAACCTTCATCGCCAGATGCTTCGGTGATTCCTGCATAGCTTTCCTCGAGGAAAACGAAAATGAAGAGCAGACAGAGGATGTTGATGACACAGGCGAACCAGGCTGGCGCAGTATACATGTCCAAATGGAAACGTCCAGCAACCAATCCGGGATATTTGATAGGTGTAAAGGCAACCTAACATTGCCAATCAGAAATGAAGATCAACTGGAATAACGCACCTGTATACCAGGTCCAATTGTCATTCCAATTACATAACTCGCTTGAACAAAAGTAATTGCTCTTGCGCGATCTTTCAAACTACTAGCCGTAGCTGCATAAGCTCTCTGAACTCCTACAGTACCAGCTCCAATCCCAATACAAAACCTAGAATGAGTCCAATAAGCGATGCAATTTATGATAATGGAAAGGTTTCATGCTTCAAATGCTTTGCTCGTTATCAAACCCCGTTCTGACTTCAGAAGTTGAACTCAGCTCAAGAATATGCCGATTGGAACTATTTTCTTAAAACTTCTATAGCTCACCGAGCAATCATCATAACCCATCTACGATCTTTTTCTGCAAATGATTCCACAAAGCAGAATATCACATTCGAAATAATCATAATAATAATGCCAAAAACCAGTGGCTGGCGAACTGAAAACATCTGATGAGTGTGTGTATCCGTTTTATGTTGAAATTAATAAGAAAAACAATTTTCTACTCTTAGTCTCCAATCTTTCACATACCACGCAAGTTCAAAAACTATTCCAAGTGCATTGAACTGATGCATGAGACCCCAAAATCTAATCCTTTGGTTGAGAAGGATCTTGCATTTGACTGATAAGACGATAAGAGTACCATGTGTTACACGCTATTTTAGAATGTTAGACAAAACGCTTTTCTCACATTTCAACCAAAATCAAAAACTGATAATGTAGTTCGAACAAGTTCTAAGATAACCATGAAGTGTTTATTGGTTGAGGTTTCAGAACAACCGGTATCAGCGTTTTACGAACTAAAAATGAACTGACGTATAGTATCTTCAGACTTGCTCGGGAATACGATTATGCTAATTCACATTACTATGGAAGTAAAAAGTAATGTCTATATGTTAAACTGACTTGATTTTGATCTGTTCATCCAGTATCCAAAAGCAGGACTAGCAATACCTTGCCCGAATGAAAAGGCTGCAGTAATCAAACCGAAAAACGTTTCAGAGGCTGTTGGATCAACCTGTCATAGATTTGCAAATAACTTTCGATTGAAACTTTGACTAACCGTATTGAGAAATGGCCATAGTGTTGGAAAAAAAATAGAAAACTGTACACCGCAGAAGAAGCAAATAGCTGTTAATAAGTATATAGATTTCCATGATGTATGTAATGAATCATCTTCATCACTGTTTTTACTTAAAATATCATTTGAACATGTAATATATCATTTATGAACTTACACTTCTACATTACTAACATTATCATCATCAGTTACTTCACTAGAAACAGATGGTATTGAGTGTTTTTTGACCGAACCATTTGAAATGGTCATCTGGGCTGAAAGTACAAGTGCTGATGAGTATTCGAAATAGAAGCTGCATGGTAAGGTACGAGATGTTCGTATAACAAAAAAAAAAGCCTATTGATTAACTCAATTGTATGAATTCAAAATGAAAGTCAATGATCAAAAGTGAAATATATATAGAATTTAGACACGCAAGAATTATCTTTGAGCACTGTCAGTCTCATTAATGTTCATGAGCTTCGTAGAGTAGAGTAGCAGCTAGCGGATTATACAATAAAAATTTTTAATTAACCATTATATAAATTATTAAATAAATAAAATCATGTATGGAATGATGAAAATTATCATAAAAACAATTAAGCGGCAGCAAAGACATAATCTTAATCAGTGAATTAGTTGTAAGTAGAGAAGAAATGGGAAAGATGACTGCTTATCGGCATTGTCAAGTTCTTACGCCTCCTCCTCATACATTTGAAAGTTCATTAATTGACTTATATGAGGATTTTAATTGGAACTGATTCATTAAAAATGGGCAAAACTATTGAAATATGCTGATGCTAAACGTTTTCTGGAATGTCACTCACAATAGGGGAACGATGAAAGTTTCAAGCCTTCTGTAGGTGTGAAGTTTCAGACCTCAACCTTCTTCGCCTAATACGAATTTCATTGGAAGGTGTTAGTACATCACAACAGAGTTCTTGTACAGCATGTAAAGACGGATGAAACTGGAGGAGCTCAACTACAAATCAGTTTTTATATATGATTAATGTAAGGTGATAGACAGAGACCAAACAATAGCAAGAATGGAGCCAGAGGTCAGATAAAACAAAATTTTAAAGAAATGCTCCGTTTTCTAATCAGATACAAAGTAGTCGATGGGGTCCATTGTTAAACTACATCATAACGGATCTTAACTGTATAACTAACTCACTTTGAATAGTCATTTGATTGTATTTCCCTACAAGTGTATGTTCATCCAGTCATCTTGTCCCCGGAACTCAAAATGAATCTCGAAGCATAGTGCGCTAAGATTATCGATTGATTTCCTAATTATCATATCAACTCTCGTGATTCAATTGCCGTCGTTCATCATATATATATATATTTATAAATTGCAAAGCTAACAAAAAGTATTCTTTTTATTATTAATCTGTTTTGTTGTTAACAACATTCATTCTGTTTGTCTTTGTTTTTATTATATAAGGTCAGTGATAACTTGAAATTACACCAAATTGTCAATATTCGTTCATTGATGAACATACGAAACCATATCATAAGCTGTTTAAAAAGAATTTCAATGCCTTTCTTTACTTCAGTTAGTCTTATTGAAGCTCAGTCTTTGTAGTCTGCTATCTCGTTCGTTTGCTCTTCTCATCTTCACACTACATGCCGTTGTACAGCATCACCTTTCCACTCTCTAAGTCAGAGTGGAGCGGGGGGGAGGGATAATTAGAATTAAATAATTCTTTTCATACTCTTCTTATGTGCTCTCAATTCTTTTCCATGAATCATACTGTTTAAAAATTATTTTTAATTGGACATTCAGACAGTTGTTCAAATACAGTCAATGGGATGGCGAATTCGTATATCTCCCTTTCTCGCATTCTTTCATTTTCCATTCAATCACTCGTACGGCTTAGCTTATTCGTAGTTTTACGATGATTTTCATTTTGTTCATCGCACTACTCTCATTTACAGGTATGTCTTCTTTTAATTCATTTCTCCAGCTTTCTCCGATAGAACGTTAAGAAGATTTAGTACACTAAAGGTTATTTAGATGCTGATAAGCAATGTCCACGAAACTCTATGTACTTCGACTATGAAACATGCAATCCTAATCGCAGATCTCAATGTCCCTCTGGATTTACTTGCAGGTAAGCTTCACCTCAAATCCATCTCATAAATTCTCCTTTCTTGTAGAAAAAGTAGAGATACTGATAGACCAGATCTAGAACTATATCTATGCTGCGAAAGCGGTGACATGACTGCCGGAGAATGTGAGTATATAGAATTATGATAATTTGACAAAAAAAATATTTGAAGGGTTCGCCGAAGCCTTGATTGCTCCTCAAGTCTTTCCACAAGCTCCTGTGAGCATAATCAAAGAAGTTAGTCTCATTATAAGTTTTGTTTTATTAATTCTTATATTCAGATGAAATTGCAACCATTGGATGAGCGCACCGAATTTCCCGATGTACACATTGGAGATGAGATTGTTGTCATATCTTTCCCCAGCTATGCCACCGGAACTATTAGATCAGTTGAGTTGAGTCAGGCCTTTATGTCAACTGGATACTATCATGTGATGACGATTGTTGGTGAGTGTCAAATGGTTTGTACTATTGAATACTAGTGTGTTCTTCTTGTAGATCCCGGATATCGGCCATTTGCCTTGTTCTTCTCATACAATATTCCTTGCTCTCCATCGCCTGTCATTCAGTTATTCAATAATCCAGGACAGCCTACCAGTACTGCTCAAAGATTTATTACTTATATGGAAAACACGACAACTGTTCCAGTCTTGGAATCTTGTAATCATAGCACTTCTCAGATAGCAATACTCTTCATTTTTGCAGATCGCGCTTTATATGTTGTTTTGGTATTCCGAACGAACAGTCCTCTATTTGTGCAATCGATGGGAAACAACTGTGAGCTTTTCCAGAAATTTGTCATCGCTAACCGTTTCAATATTCAGATAATTCCTTCATCACAGGAGAAACATTGATGGGACATTGTAAAGATGTGACATGTTTGTTGACAAACTCGACAGTTGGGCGGGAATTAGGACAACCATTAGGAGGAAGTCTGTTCTATGTAAGCTCCAAATCATATTCTTTAACACATAAGATATGTTTTAGCTGACAACTAAGAGAAGCATGTTCCCTACGAGCGAGCAGCCATTGCGCGATGAGTCATCGTCTAGATACTTAAATCTTTTTATCCTTTCTCTTCTTGCTATCCGCTTTCTCATTTGAATAACTATCATTAATAAGAATGTGTTGTCTCTATTCATCTACTCATTCCATATCTGTCAAAAGCTGAACTGTAATATAAGATTTGTTAATGATGAAGCATATCCACTGCAAACTAACTGTGTATTCGTTGAATTCATATCCCTCCCTTATCTATTTCAGTAGTAATCTGCAGCATTATTCGGCATTGTGACGCGAAACGATACTGAAATTTTTTATTCGATCTGAATGATTTCTTATCAACAGCTTCTTGTCATCATTGCAATCCTTTTATGAGCCATATCATCATTTATATGAAAGGCATTGAAGAACAGCTGTTGAAATGACTCGGAAATTATCTTCCTTATTTTTTTCGTCTGTGAATCAGATTAGCTCATATTAATGGTTATTTTCTTGGAGAAAACAAAGATCATCTAGTATCATCAGTCACATGGTTTTTTTTTATTTCCTTCTCTCATTCAAATCAAAAATTGTTTGGGATTGAATGCCTTTAACCCAAAGCTCCACTGACCACGATCATCTCTAAACGAAAAAAAACCAAAACATGAAACATAAACTTTTCGCTGTATGAGGTGACTAACATCTACAATGAGCTGATGTTTAATCAGATTAAAATTCTTTTTCAATACTCACATCTAAGCTCTTAATTCATAACTTCAGTCGGTCATTGTGTCGTCTTCTATATCATTGCGAACAAAAAAAAATTTTTTTTTTCTTTTCTTGCTTTGAAAGTATAAAAATGCTTAATCGCTCAATTTTTTTTTGTTTAAATTTTAAACTTTGTAAGTATTACGTCAGCTTCTGATGATTGTTATGAAATGAAAAACGCTTTTGAACATCTGTATGGACATGCCTGTCTGTAAACTTCTTTTAACATTTAATGTGTGGGAGGAAGTGAAATAGATGTTTGTTTTGTAACAAAACAAGAAACGAAACAAAATACAACCGCTTAGTAGGCCTCATCATTTGAGAATGAAAATGAAAACGTGAAAGTGAGAGAAGCGCGCGTGCTTAAGTCACGTATGCTAATGAGGGGAGTGTTAAGCTCAAAACATATGAGTCTAGACATATATATATCTGACTATGTATATAAATACAAATACACTGTTTAAAAAAAATAAAATGTTATTAAAGAAGTGGGCGGGGTGTGCAAGAGCAAAGAATAACATTTAAAGTACGGTATGTAAGATTATTATCTAATTTCTCTGAATCCGGTTTTGATGGAAGTAATGAACAAACTGAAAGCAGCATAAGCTATCAGAATGCAGTTGGCGCCATGAATGTCTTTAAATCTTTGCTCAACATATCTATTTTTGATAAAACACATTTGCTATCATTGTTGAGTGTTTCGTTTGTTCTTTGTCTGTAAAGAAGCCACTCCCTTGCAAAAAGCTGACATTTTACCTCTTTATGTCTCTATTTTACTATTGATATCTCGCATCATTCATTCTCTTTATGTCTCTTCTGGGACTTTTTTTACAACAATCACAAAACTGTGAGTACGCCTGTGCTCAATCATATCTTTATCTCTCTGTGTCTCTTCCTCTTTCCCTCTTTCTTTCCCTCTCTCTCTCCCTTCCTACCTCTCTCTCTAACTTCCTTTCGCTCTTTCTCTCTCTTCCTTTATACACAACTTTTCGCTCATAATGAGCGAGGTTCAACTCATTCCACGGATTATGAACCACAATTTGATGATTCTGCTTATTTGGGTCTAAACAATTCAAATCATATTTTCTTGAATCTGCTAACCAACTGATCTTGTACTTGGTCAGATGACGTCTGCAGCTAGATATGAGAGAGTAAGACTGATACGATGCGAGTATTTAAAAAAGTCTTCTTCTCTGTTATTTTTTAAAGATAATCATCTGGGAAATTCAAAAATGAAACGAAGACTACTCAATCGAGCAGAGTCTGATAGAAAAAAAAAGTTTTTTTTTTGATTCCTCCACTCCATGACGTTGACAATTTCATTTTTCGTCATTTTTTTCATTTGAATTGCAATGTGAAAAGGTTGTTCGTGTTCGTCAGTTTGTCACATCAAGATGACGAGGTATGGAAGAAACAAAAATGAATGAGAATGATTTAATAAAAAGCCTTTCTTTGACTTTTATAAGTTTTTCGATTATTTTTTTTTCTCTCTCTCTGCTTTTCAAATCAATCAATAGTACCCCTCGTCTCCCCCTCTTCTTCTTTTGGTTAATAGCTCATCGCAATAATTCCATTGTGTGCGTGGTCGTGTAGTTGCCGCAGGCAGAATGTTTAACTGATTAAAGCATATTTCATAATTTATATCTTTTTCTGACTTCTGTACGCTTTGTCATTTATGTGTTTCAGTTTAAGCCTAATATGGGATTCGTGTTAAGCTTAGCTTTAAGCATCGAGTATTTTTCGACGGTCTTAGCATTGATATGCTTACCCATCAATATTATTTTCGTTTTATTCGTTTACAAAGAAAGGTAATCAATATTATTTAATTAAATAAACTATTTAATCTAATTTTCAGAAGACGAGCTCCATTTGATTCGCCGTTCTTTCGATTATGCATTCATTTATCTATGGCTGATATTCTGATGGAAATCTTCTGCACCCTCTTTCTCAAATTTCCAATGTTCGGACTTTTTCCTACATCGTTTTATAAAGAAAATTGGTCCATGTTACCATTGATGGGAGTCAATTATTTTGGGCATGCTCAAGCTATTGGGATCATTGCCATCGCCTTCAACAGGTAAAGCCATTTTCAAATTTCATTCATATTGGAGTGGTGGAGGAGGAAATGAGAAAAGTGACGTAAAAATCAATCTGTTGAAGATCTAAAAAAAAAGTTACCTTTAAGAGTTCAGAAGTCTTAAAGTCTAATAGAAATGATCATCTCTGTGATGTTCGATTTTTCTTTTTTTTTTTACTTCCGTTGGGACCGTGAAAACCCTCTTCTCACTCTCTCTATCTCTCCATCTCTCTACATACGGGTACAGATTGTCAATGAATTATCAACGAGTATTATAGATTCACTGCTGTGTTCTTTCCCATCCAACATAAACAGAAGTGGTGGCGCCCTAATGTAAGTAATCAAGATGTTAGATAGAAGATGAGATTGAAATTGTTTGCAGGTTGTACGTCTAGTTCTGATATTGCAATGGACAATTCCAATACTCTTCATTCTGCCGCTATTCTTTGCTGATTTCAATTTTATTTTCAATTTGCAATACGGATCCGTCATTTTCTCTGCCAAGAATCGAGATTTCCATACTGTTCGTAGTTTCGCAATTTATCTTTATTATCAGTTTTATCTTTGCAAAAAACATAAGAATCATGATATATGTTATCATTTTCAAGTCAAATACAGATCAACTAGAGCATTAACTTCATTTTCATTTGCAGATTTACTTCATTGGAATTGGAATACTCGATGGCATATTCATCAATATCGTTGTATCATTCCTATATGCAGCCATTTTCTTCCGGTACGTTCTCTTCATTCAAATAATCTTCATTATCTTTCTGTTCAGTGTTCAATCACATCCGGTTGTACAGAAGCCCGGAGAATTGGCGATGCGTCTAGCTCTCTCAGCTTTCATTATATTCACTTCGTACTTATGCTTGGGAGTACGTTTATACATCTCATATTTATCTACAACAAATCAATTTTCTTGAACAAAACAAACTCCATACATCTGGAACATGTTTTTGATTGAAAAATATTCATTCAAATGCATCTGAATGTTTATGAAAATGTTTATTTTCTTTTTTCAGATCTTTGCCTTCCTGTCAGCCATAGCACCTCCACCGGATGCATGGACTTTCCGCACACTGTGGTTTGTGGTGAACGATGTGTTGTGCGCAAGCAATGCTCCTGTGCTGTTAGCCTTAAATCGTCCTGTTCGTCAGATATTTCTTGAAAAGATTGGCATGCGACAGAAGACTACAGTTCATACAAACTCTCTTTTAAGCTACAATAACAATGCTTGATGCATACTCTTAACTTATAATTTTTCCTTTCTTAATTGATCTCTTTGATCTGCTTCCATACTTTGTTAATCGTAAACGGGTTTCCATACAACAACTTCATAAATTCATTTTCAATCTTTTCCGGCTCTGAAAATTCGTTGCGTTTCTTCAGATTGTTTCTAGCAGCATATCATATAGAAAATAGAAGAGTTGATGTTTGAACATTCAAAATACTTTCTTTTTCTCATCTCTTTTAAAACAAAAACAACATTTTTAAAAGAGAATCTGATTCGATAAGAGAGAGAGAGCAATAGAGAGAGAGAGAGAGAGAAAGTAAAAGTAAGAGAGAGGGAAAAGGAGGTGTGAAAGGGAGATAGAGGAAGGTGAGAGTATGAAAATCAACCGTTCTGTCTTCGTTTATATTTTGAAAATGAAAAAACGCTACGCAAATGTTCGTGGGAATTGAAATATGAATGAATAAATCTCATTTGAATTACAATTGATCATTTGTTTTCAAAAAAATGTATTTTTCAGGAAATTATAGACGAAATAGCTGAGCAGATTACCTGTGTATGTTAGTAAATAAGATGATTTGTAGATAATGTGTGACGTCTGGCACATATGAGCGTTAACAACCGTGTGCTACGTATGTGAATCTAGTAAGGATGACTAGTTGTATTACAAGTTTTATAATTAAAATAATTAATATGTAAACCCGTAAATGGAAATAGAAAGCGAACTGTACAAAGAAGGATAAGTGAAATTAATTCCATACTACTGTGTTTGTTTCATCTAAGATCACCATGATCATGAAGCACACGTAGATGCCTATGAGAACGAGAGCAAACGGTCGACGAACATAGAACTTTTGAACAAATATTCCTAAATGAACGAATTAGCTTTTCCAAGAAAGCTCTAAGCTTGAATTACCGATGAGCAAAGTGAAGAGAGATATTCCGAGGAACAGAATTAACAAATGGAATGTTGGTGTGAATGTAATTGCTATTTTGACATTCTTTTTCATTAAGGCAATAGTGAATGGTAAGCCGAATCCGACCAACAAGTCTGTAAACCGTTCTCTTACTTCTTAGTGTTTGCTTTTATGCTTAAGAGGAGTTATATTGATCATGCTTAACTTCCTGAATACCGATCAGAATCCCCGTTAGACATCTTTCCGGAGATAGATTTTGCTATAGATGTGTAAACAACTCACTGAATAATGGTCCACCAATGGCTGCAGCCATAGCCATACGGGGATATCCCTGCTTAACAACTGATACATCAGCAATTAGATCACCAATTGAATTACTCCAAGCAAGAATTGTCAATCCCAACACCTTCAAATGTATTATTTTGTTTTTATCAAACTGATTATAATTTTTCGGAAAAAGGTTTTGAAATGAAAAATTTTTTGTTCAGATGCCGGCTTAAGCCTACTCTTATCATATGAAAGCAATATACGTGACGACAATTGTCAGTCCTATTACGTAAATGACTGGAAGTTAATAGGATCGACTTTGAAAGACATAAAAAAGAGATAAAGAGAGAGGCAAATAGTTGAATAAGAAGTAGCTTACCGAATCATATGAATCATCAATTTTGTATTTGGAAAATGATTAAGATACAAACAGCTGTATACCTCATGTGGAATTCCAGAGATAATTCCAATCATTGTGACTACGTTAACAACTTCAGCAGCCGCCATATAAATCCATGCTATTGCCATAATAAAACCAAGATAACTATAGACTTCCTATAAACATATGATTTCTGAATGAATAGTACACATGAGAATAATTACCTTATAGAAACGAGGCTCTTCAGTGAATTTGGTAAAAATGATAACTAGAACTACAAGTATGACTGATAGTATTAAGCCATATAACCATAGACCAGGGCCTCCATAAGGTAATTTCATACCAAGAACTTGAAGAAGTATGTTAGTTATACTATATGTATATAGATCTTTGTAACATACGCTTTATACAGAACAAGAAGCATGATGGAGCGATGATAGAATGCAACAGAGCAACAGCCTTTGACCAACTATTTTCACTCAAAGGTACTGTGGCTTTCAATATGAACAAAGGTATTATCTAAGATGATTATGTTACTTCATGTGTCATTCAATGTACTAACTCTCAATATAGCCATTATCTTGTCAACCAAGTTCATTTCGCTCCATTCCTCCTTTGTTGGTACTGATCGCAAATGATCAATCAGATCGTGAGCTATAGAACTCCATCCATCGTTTTGAATTGGCGGTGGAGCTTAAAAGTACGTACAATTAAGAAACAAAGATCAAAATTTAAGAATTATTTTTAATTTACCAGTACTACAAGCTCGGCTTCTAGCTTCTTCTCCTCGATAAACATGACCATGAAGAATAACAACTTCATCTTCGTCATCTTCTTCCGATTCTGAGTATTATGATTTCATATTCGTATAGCTATCAAAGACGTACCATGACCGAAAGCTTTGGCTAAATCGATAGGAGGAAAGATGCTTTGGTTAACAATTGAATTTCTTTTATCACTTGAAGTAACCGACAAACGATCAGAACGCAGTTCTTGAGGTTGCTCGGCAGACTCAATACGTTCGACAGCATCTGCTAAGATGTTAATAGATGGAACTACAATATCTGGAACAAGAAAACAATGTCTCAAAAGATTCAGAACACTAACTGTTACGTGAAGCAGCTCGTATACTTCGAGCACTACTGAGAGCACGCTCTTTCTGGAATGAAAAGCTTAACATTGAACTACAACACGCGTTTTACTAACCTTCTTCTTCTTGACACTCTTCTCAATGACAATAACAGTTACAACATAGACGGCATATATGACAAGAGCAACTAAGATGTAGTTAAGCTTATATCCAATAAGTTGTTCAATTACCTATGGGTTCCCAGATGCTCAAGTTATCGCTATATAAGAATACGAACAGTATCCATCCTGCTGTTACAATAAAGAATATGAGATCACGAGTTGTTGAAATGGCATCAACTTCGAACGGGCTCGTGAGAATGATGGTGGCTGTAACCATGCATGTCACAAACACATTTCCACCTGTAAATGTAATAGTATATACTTGTTTCTTTTGTCTTTTTCCAAATTAGAACTGTGCATCTTTTCGAGAAGTTTGATAAGATTTTACAGTCACAACAAGATTGTACTATGCTAATGACGACCGTGAATACTGTTTGTGACGTCATTCACGTTAACGTACGTCAATGACGTGACGTCACAGTGTATTCATCTTATCTCATTTCGGATAGGAAGATGAACGGTTGGCAAATAGCATTAGTATAATTCAATTAATTATCATAGAAATATGTAAACCTAATAGTTCCCCCAAAGCCAGATTAGCTTGAGGCTTGCTTGTACTAAGAACAGATGCAATAGAACTGAAAACATCCGGCGCTCCATTACCAAAAGCTAAGAAAGTCACACCCTATAGTTACATAAGATTGAATATTTTTTGAGATTGTCACTTACAGCTATACTCTCACTAATTTTTAAATGGTTAACTATGCCTGCCACGCTGGGTGAGAAGAAATCATCTCCAGCAGCTGATAACATGATGAATATGGCAAGTAAATAAGCTGTTGCACCTATTATAACAAACACCTGTAAATGGGTAGATTGAATAAGGAAATTACTTTTTGAATAGAAATGTTTTCAACTTACCCGAGCTACAGTTCCATTTGAGCATTCAACATAACGCGACCACAAGAAATAGCCTCCACCTTCACATGCATCAGCATTCTCCTTTACATAGCTGCAGGTTTCTGAAATGTTTCTTCATCGCCAATTTTCATTCGAACTGTTCTTTTTATTCTGAATTCTACCTGGCTGCGTCCAATTCTTATATATAGTGCAATCATCAGAGTCTGGATCATCGGGTGGAGGTGTTGAAAGTGTGATTTGTGAGACAGAAGTCGATATACATGATAATATCACAAACGCGACAGCTAACATATACCAAGTTCTGCTCATAATTGGCCTGAAAGATTGCTTTATTAACTTTGTCAATCTGTATGTTCTTTTTCTCTTTCTCTTTTACACTTGTATTTTTCACTTCCACTACCTCCCTTCCTCTTTCTTTTAGTGTTACCCGTAAAGAGAGGAGAGTAAGAGTGAGATAGAGAGAGAGAGCCATGGCGGGAATGAGCCAAAACAGAAAAAAATGTTTAAAAAGGAGAGGAAAATAAAAACAAAAATGTTCGAACGATAGCTATGCTGAGTGAGTAGATGTTCTGGAACAACCAATCACAGAATCAAAAAAACTTTCTTTGTAACAAAAATTGTTTAAAAAGGAAACAATAAAATGAGTCAAAGACTCTACAATTGATGAATTCCCTACTCAGAGGTGGACAGAATAAACCAAAGAGTGAAGATGGAGGTAAAAAGAGGAGAAAATCATCAAGAAATGAGAGAGATAAAGAGGGGGAGAAAGAAGTAGGAGGAACCATTTTGGGAGAGTGGGAGTTCTTCAAGGAAACACTGTCCACCACAGGAATTTTGTGACAAAACTGTTCTGCAACAAAAAAAAAGAAAAGAAAGACAAGCTTGTCGTTGTTTATAAGAGGGAGAGCTTTTCCATTCTTTTGTTACTTTCTCTCTCTATCTAAATCTCTCTACCTTTCCTACTCTCTACTCTCTCTCCTGCGAGTCAATCTCTCTATCGTTTTTCATAAATTTTTTTGTTGAGAATGCTGATGAAGAAGGAGAGATGTATGGTTAACTATATGACAGATAAGTAATCGTTTGTACTTTTAAACTTGAAAATCGTTATCAACTATGCAGATATTTGAAATCAATTTGATTTGATGAAAATTTCCAAGATATTCATAATTTAGATAAGAAAATCAGATTCTCACGTGGCCGGCAAGTTGGAGTGAGAAGATAGAGAGAAATGAAGAGAGGGAAAACAAAGAAAGTAATGAAAGAGTAAGATGAAACTGTTTTGTGGCCAGTGAACTTTGAGAACTGAAATGGGGGTGGTTGTGAGGTGCAGGAAGGGGGAGGAGAAAGAGGTGGACAGTTCATCGAGAATTTTTCATGTAAAACGTCTCTCATTGTAGGCAGCCTCTATTGAGATATTTTATCATCTTAAAGTGATAAAAAAGAAAGTTTTCAAAAGAATTTCTGTGTATCTCACAAGCACAATTTCTGGAAAGAAGGAAGTTCAATTTGGGAGAGTAATGAACGAAGATGCGCAGAGACGATTGAGCCAAGAAGTATTTACAACAGTGTCTGCAGCCAGATAATATGATATGACAACATAAATTTTTTGATCATCATTTTGCTTATTCTCTCTATCTGTGTGTGTATGTGTATGTATGTGAACATGTATGTGTATGTGAGTGATGTGGATGTGTTAGTTGTGTGGTGGTGCTCTATCTTCCATAAATGGGGCGAGAGGCAAATAGACGCCACTGTCAAACAGCATCTTCAAGCATGAAATTCAGGCATTAAAACATATTCCATGATTCTGTCATTGAAAATTCAATGAGAAAAATACATAGTTTTGTGACAAATTTTTATTTTATTTTATTGCAAATTGTGTTGAAGCTGAAGCAGAATAAGCTATTTTGTCTTTTTGCCTATTCATTTGATGCCAAACAAAGAATTTAAAAAAGAAACTGCAGATAAGATTAGAGCAATAGCATGAAGATGGAGAACAAGGAAAAAGAGAAAATGAAGAAGAACAAGGAGAACAACGAGAAGATATCATTTTCGACACACCGTACATTCATAAGCAATCATACTGATTACCATATTAAGATATAATCATTAAATCCTTCTACAAGAGTGTTATGACATAGTCAATAAATATTAATTTTTTTCTTCTCATTCTCTCAGATGTTCTCTCTCATCATACTCTTCCAAATGGCTATAGATGGAGGTGTATGTGTGATGAATAATTCATTTAATCATTTATTTGAGAATGTTCCAAATGTTCAGAAGGTTAACATCATACAATAAAACAAGTTGATAAGCTTTAGCTTCAATTTTGATAACAAAAATTATCTTCCGGCAGGAATTTGTGACAAATCCCTCATTCTCTTTATCTCTCTCTATCTCTCTATCTCTCTCTCTATCTGTCTTACTGACTCTCTCGTACTCATTTTGTAACCGATGTGAAGCATTAGAAATAGCAATCAACTGATTTCATATCATAAGATAGACAAAGATAGAGAAAGAGTAAAATGTAGTTGAGCAACTCATCATCTCACATTGATGGTGTGAGGGTGTCATGAGCAACGTTCGCTTGTTTAACTTTTACTTTTCAAAATCGTATTTGTACTGTTTCAAAAATTCAGAATAAATTATTTTTTGTGAACAAAATAACTTTACTAGATGATTCATCATTTTTCATAATAATATAAAAAATGATTTCGGTGAAACAGGACAGACAGTCAGTCAGTCAGTTACATACTTTGAACAACCGCTTCACTACTCGGATTGAATTGAAAATGAATAATCAATGAACGAATATTCATTTATCCATTGCAATCACGTATGGAGCGGTTGTTAAACTAAAAATGCTATAAAAGAAAGCTAAACAACTGCTCACCGTGTAAGGAGAATGAGAATGAAAATTATTTTTCATTTCACTTAATCATACGTGATAAACGATCGTTCTGTTCCAATCCGTTAAAGCATCATGGCATCGGTAAGATAGTAAAGAACAATAGATGAGTTGTTCGGCGACTCTTGGTCTAATCAGCTTCATATGAAGCCCGTCAGCGAAGATTTTGAAAGATTTTGATATGCGACCTTCCTGCACGAAACCCTTCGTTCGATCATTTGCTCTTTAGGCTGTCTCTCTGTCTATCTTATAGGATTGAAAATGTTTTTTCTCATTCAGAGTTCTTTGCGTGGAGTGCGAATTTATTTTAATATTTGATGATGTTTTTGATTACTGATTTTACTGTCTGTTCATAAGTAACACGCCCGACGTAATTCTGATGTGGGCGTCAGAAATTTAATTCGCATTCCCCCCACCCATGTGTGGGTAATGATTATTTTGAACATGAGAGTTATGACCTTACAGAGCGGGATGATGGAGCTCGATCAACCTACTGATTACAGAAAATGCTAGCAAACAACACAAAACATAATCACAACATAAATCAAAGCATGAAGAATCCAGATTAAGATGCGGAAGATACAAACTGAAAAGTTTAGCGACGCTAAACGGCGTCGATTTATTGAATAAATACAACCACTATGGGCTAGATGTGCGGTGAAACAAAAACAACATTAAGCATTATGCAGAAAAAAAGCAACATATTGATGTCCGAATCGTTCCATATAAGGTGATCACTTAAAACTCAAATCCCTGGTCGTATATGTCATCTCTGAAATTCAAAACACAATGCAACTGAAACGAAAGCATGCAGATAGGAAAGTTCAAGCAGGTTCAAGGGGGGTGATCATGCAAGTTGTCTGAAGTTTTAATATATTTCCGAAAGTAAATTTCATTATAAAGCGCAGGTAAAAATAAAAACAAATTGGTTTAAATACATGACTAGAAAGTAGAAAATAGCGTCAAAGGTTAATGGGTTAAAAGGTTTTGGAGAATCTCCTACTGTTTAATTCCATTTTTGGGTTGAGAAGACTGGAAAACGGATGAAGAAGCCATTAGATTATGGATGTATTGTCCGAGAACATGATTTTCTGAACGAAGTTTCATACTCTCTTCCTTTACTGAATCAACTCTTTGCGACAAATCTATAAAAAGCCGATTCGATTATTTTTTTCTTCGCCAACTCGCCATCCAGAGTATTCTGCAACTCCAATACTTGGGCTATAAGTCGAGCTTTCTCCTCAGGATCTTCTGGTGGCTCCTCACGTGGTAAAGGCTGTGCTGGTCGTGGTGTTCGTCCGCTGACTATAGTGGGAGTATCATCTTCTACAAGAACAAAAAAATGGAATCACGTTCAAGTTACGGAAATTACTTACCATCATCAGCCAATGGAATATCTTCGATAGAAGTAACAGATTTAGTAATATCACTCATTCTAATAATATATAAAACACACTGGTCACAAGGAGTAAAAATAGGGATGGGAGAGAGAAGGACAAAGGGAGAGGTGGAGGGAAATATTGGGATGCTCGTCGTTCACTAGTTGGCGTTTTGCCAAATCGATAATGTACGCAATTGCAGCCTATACGTATGCAATGTGGCGAATTATATGAAAAATGATGTTTCTAATGTCTTTCTACTTTCACTTATACAATATTTGTTTTATTAAATCTTATTATTTCGCTATTTTTAGCTTTAAACACTCGAAGGATGATTAGCGATATTACTCTCGGCGTTGCTGCCAATTTCCTTGGAATCGGAATCTTCTTGCTTGTCGTCGCTTTCCATTACATTACGGCTAACCAACCAAGACAGGTTAAGCACTGATTACGGTGAGAGAATCTTCAATTCGAGATAATCATAGTCATGTTATAGATCCAACACATCAAAAGAAAGATCTTCCTATGATCTTGGTCATGTTAACTTATTTCCATGTGATATGTTCGGGGTTAGACACGGAGATTTCAAACATTTTGAGTTTCTGTGATAATAAATTATTGAATTGACATGTTTGTTATTGCGAAAGAGGAAGAGTTTCATCCATATATATACCTTTGAATGTTTCGTAAGCATACAAGTCTCATTGTTTCTTTCTGCAGTGCTTCGCCTGTTTGATGCAGCACTTTCCGCGAACTACGGGTAAGCAATTCTTCCTCTTTCTTCTCTCCTAACTTGAATAACAAAAAACAGATAAAACTAATAAGAGATTTAACACATTAAAAGGCGTTCTCAGAGGTATTTTCACAATAGCTTCGAAGCTTTCTTGGGTTTTGAAATCACTCCACCTACTCACAAACACTCCTCCCCATCATCCTCTTCGTTTCCTTTACTGAGAGTTCTTCTTTTAAGGAAGCCAACCGGGAACTTCTGGCATACAATCTCCTCATCTCCAAAAGCAATTTCGTTTCGGCTCTACCAGAAGTGGAGTCAACACACCTGGTGGTTATTCCACGTACAGCTCCAGGTAAATTGCATTCCCTCTTTCTTACTCATATCTTAAGAATGTAAATTTTCTTACAATACATATCAGTTTTGAGTGGCATATGGTCATTTCTCTACTTAAGTGTATTGATTTTCTGACCCACAAAGCCCTCAACAGCTGTCGAACCTCCTCTACTCGCAGCTTATGTCCTAATGTGCATTTATTTTAGTCGTTTTCTTTGATTTCAGTACAACAACTGATCGAGTTGGATGTTTAACAGCAGTCAGGATGTCTGCCTGGGCTAAATTAACGAGATTCTCCAGGAGATTTTTATATGTCCGTCAAGTATGTTCAAATTTCCTCTTTATGATTCATACTTTTGGCTGTTGTAGATGGACTTCGAATTTGCCGCGTGGCAAATGGTCCACCTATTAGCTAAACCAAAGCAAGTTTATAGAAACTTCTTGTATAGAAAACGTAAGTTCATTTGTCTCTCGGGTTCAGCTTATCACTTCCTTTTAAGGTACAAAAGATCAATTCGCACGCGACGATCCTGCTTTTTTGGTTTTGCTTTCACTTGCACTTCTTTTTTCTTCAATATTTTATGCTGTCGCCTTGTCATTATCTCTCTGGGGTTTTACCAAATTTTTCCTCTGGGTAGTATTCATTGACTGCATCGGCGTCGGAATTGTAATCGCTACAGCTTTATGGTAAGCTTTTAACGATGCTCCTGATTATTAATCTTTGGACGTTCAGGTGGGTCTCAAATACTTTTCTAAGGAAAGTAAAAGACCAAGATGTGGAATGGGGTTATTGCTTCGACATTCATCTGAATGCATTCTTTCCTTTCCTCATTCTCCTTCACGTTTTGCTCCCTATTCTATACCCAAGTAAGTACCTGAGGACATTATAGATTAATTTCCTTTTTTAGCGTTCGTTGACTCGTCAGGTTTCTTCGCAGTGTTGTTGGGCAATACAATATGGTTCATAGGAGCAATCTATTATGTGTACATTACTTTCCTTGGTTATACTGGTGAGATTTGAATCGGTCTATCCCAGTTTTATGCAATTACTTTAGCCTTGCCAATTCTTCACCAAACTCAAGTGTTCCTGTATCCCATTACGTTCCTCTTCATTGCATGGATCGCCTCAGTGACAGCAGGATGGAACATTTCAAAACTCACGATGGGTTTTTATCGTTACCGAGCTGAAAACCATCAGATGGAACATCACATGGGTCTCTGAGTGTTACGTTGCTGCAATTTTCCAGTTTTGAAATCCAACCATAAGATATCTATAAAAAAGAAGAACAATAAGTGAATGTGTGTGTGTGTGTGTGCTTTCTAATTTCTGTGATTTTCTGCTCGTCCTCCTTTTCAACACTTTTCATTCGTATGGGTAGAGAGTCATTTCAATAATCTTTGATACTGCATAGTTAACGGTGAGGTGTTTTAGATGTTTTATGGAATGTATGTACTAACCTATTTAAATAAGAACAAAGTTACTTGTATTATTAATAAATATTTCAATTATATTTCCAATGCCTTTCGTGTAACCGGGGCGTATTCACATTCGGAGCAACAATCAAAAGGAAAATTGAGCAAGAACTGGTTAAAACAAAAACAATTATGAAGAAAAATCGGTCGAATATGTTGGAGAGATGAGACCACTTAGCAACCATTTCTTCGAAGTTCTGCTCAGCTTGAACTCGACTAATCTTAACGAGCAATACTTTCGTACATAGGTTCTGCAAATTACTTACTAAGCTGCTACTGAGCATATCATCATGAGATGTTTCTAATCGAAGCTCCGTGCTTGTTCTATCTCTCCGTGATTTCTTCTTCCACTGCTTTCGTCCTTTCAAAATTGGACCGAGAATACGAAACCCAATAAATTCCAACCATTTAGGGATTCTAAAGCTATTCATCAACGGATACATCTCACGTACTTACCCTGTTTTATTTTCGGCTCCATGACGTAAGTTTAGCACGAAAACAGAGAATGCAACGGAAAGAGCTGATATACCCATAATAGCCATAAGATAAATTGCTGAAAGAATAGATTTTGATCAGATTTTCTTTGTCACTCTACCAATGAGAGGAATAACTTCTGATGTTTCTGGCATACTTTCAGCAATATTAAAACTAAACACGGAATATGCCAAGAGTACCGTTAACCCCAGAGTAACCTAAAGCGTATATGCAAGAGTTTCGTCTATTGTTGGAAACCTACTTTTTCTCCCGATTCACAGGGAAGAATAAACTGCATCATAGTGAGAACCTGGAAAATGATATTTTCAAAACAAATTGTTATGAGAATGTGGAGAATGCAGTCTCATCGAAATTGGTTCATCAATATTATTTCACCATTCAACTAAGCTTTCATTTCCCAACAATGAAAATCAAAACTCAAAACTTACTGAAAGCATAACACATGGAGCAATGATGTTATACAGAAAGTACAACATTCTTCGACGCAAATGAATTTCAAACACTACTGTCCCGAATCTGCAAGCTCTTTCTGAACGCATGAATGGAATGGTTGAAACTGACCTTTTGCCACCCGTTACTTGTTCATATCGAAGCGTTCTGTTATCTACAATTTCCCATTCACCGTTCTCTGAGTAAGAATCCTTGGTGAAAGGGCTTTTTCCATCATATCGTTGCATAATTTTTAAATCAACCTGAGAAATATCATAAATCCCTGCAATGTTGATGATGCTTGATGATAGTTCAGCTTAATGCTTGCTTACATGAACGAAAAATTAGAGAGCAGAACTGATGATCAAACGGAAAGTTTGAAACATCCATATGACACCGGCTGTGAACTTTCTGTGGTGGGGCCCATTGAACTAAAAACCAAATGTATTACAAGCTTCCAAAGAGCATAAAGTCAGAATATATAATTCATGCTCGAAAACAAGAAGATCAAATGGAACAACCGAGCTATGCGAATGGATGTTTGGAAATGAAAACACGCAGAATGCAAACAACGTCGAAACGTGAAAATGTTGAGAAAATAAGAAATTATGTAAAACTGACTTTCCCCATCATGACTTGCGTGTAAGTTTGTATTCAAGAAGCCTCTATTGTAATCTTGTGCACTGAAGATAATGTCAATACTGTCTATAAGGCGTAAAGCTGTCTGTACTTATTGTATAGAACTATATCCGGCGTCCAAACAAGCTTAGTCGCCAATGTCATTTTGGAAATATTTCCAAAATTTGAAGGATTCCACCTCATTCTCTCATCATTCCATTGTTGTTCAACCCACACATTAAGGGCTAACACTTGATTTTTCTCATCCTTGAAAAGCTTTTTGTTAAAGGTTTTGGGAAAGCTGAACAAACTATATTAAAAATATGGGTAAGGGTTAATCCAATGTAAACTTCAACAACTTTCGAAGAATTGAAAACAGGTCTAACTGATCGATCATAGCCATAAGACAAATATCTGAAAAATATGTTATTCTTCTCATTATCTCCGCTCTCTCACACCTGTACAGCTTCTGTTCATCGTTCCTAGGTGGCAAGTCAGGCCTGCTTACGTGATATGGCAATTCATAATGATCAACAGCTAGAAAACACAAGAGTTCATTTATTAATAAAGTTATTGTAAGTACCGTTGTCAACAACTTGAGACCATGACGTCAAAAGTTTCAGAGAGAATAAGAAGTATACGGAAAATCGAAATGGATGTTTCATGCTGAAGGCTGCATGGTCTGAAACGATCAAAGAAGATCAGTGTGGTTCAGGGAGGACGTATAGATGTCCTTTCAGCTCTGTGGGTGAATGTTTTGAAATACTAACCAATAATTCAATCAGGATAATTATGGAAAAAAAGCGGATGAAGTTATGACAGAAACTAATTTGAAATTGAAAAAGGGCGGAGGACTGATTAGGTTGAGAATATGTGCCAATGAAACGATGCAGTTTCGAGAAAATTGAAGAACAATGCTTTAATGAGTTGAAAAGGAATACAAATAAAGTTGGAACAAATGAGGGGGGAATGTGATACTTAAATGCAGAACTGAAATGAACAAAACTATGATTTGAACATGTTTGTTTACCACACGACGACGATGCGATAAAAAGCACAAAAAAATTTCAGGCAACAAGATTTTGAATTTCTATAATCTGTGAATTCGTAATGGAATTCTAAAAACAGCAAATGACGTTCGTGACTTCATTAAGACGAAATTAAAAAAAAGATGTCAATGGAAAACATAAGCAGTTCCGGATGCATAGAAGATTAGAAAGCGGTTACGACGACATTGACGCTTTGAATGACTGAAACTTTTAGATTAGAGGGCATTCCCAGCTCTACCGCCTCTGTGATGTCTATTGCCAGAACTTCCTGTGCCAAGCAATGGACAGCTAATTGTGGCTTAACCATGAGTTCATACTTCCCCCTTTTTGCTCCTTCCCTCTACCCTCCGTCATTCTTTAGTGTGTTACATCTGAATAGAAAATTTTTATTTCGTCGACATATCGACCAACTTATCCAACCCGAACAAATGAGGGCTTTAACAAGACCAGACGTACTGGTTTTAACAATACCTTTTTGGTTTGTAACAAAGAGAGAAAAAAAAATATCAACAAACAACGAAAATTTTTAAAAAACAGAGAGGACAAGTGAATTCTATTGGGATGATTTGGATTCAGATTGGGAGTTGTCAGCAATAGGCTCAGTATCTTTCTCATTCAGATCATCGTCGATTATTTTCTGAAAATGATGAAAATAAGAAAACGAAGATGACCAAAACATCCGAATATGAAAACTACATGCCTCTGTTGAGGGGACCACTGGTTCCAATTTTTCATTTGTTAAATGAACTCGTTTCTCTGGGAGCTCTGTATCAAACTCATCTGGCTTTCGTTTTCCTGCACCGTAGGTGACAATTGCTATATATCCCTGGACAACAAAATTTACATATTTTCGAGCATTGACCAACCTGGTTTTCGGAGGCTGTTCTAACCAAATCAGGATTTTCTTTTAGACGAGCATTAACCTGTGGAGACCAGAATAGGATTAAGGGATTAACAGTCAATCTTACCTCCGCTAAAGTGCCACGTACCCCAGCCCTCACGATAATCTCCTCTCCATTTTTACACCGAACAGTGCATAACCTAGTTTCCTTCTGTAATTGGAGACCTCCCTGAAAAGCACATATATAAATCCTTTGAATGAGTAATTTGAAGTACTTTTTTGCCCTTGCCCACTACAGTGTTTAACCCGCGATCAACTCCATGCTTTTTGTGACTACCGAAGTCAACAGCTATAACTTCTGACTGTGGAACCTGAAAAGAACGACTTAGAGGAACTTTATATGTGGAAGTAATCACCTCATTAAGAATGATTACTGATACACCACTAGGGTGATGCAAATAAGCTATGTTGCTATATGCGGAGGCATATCTTTGATAATTCCTATCAGCTACTGACTTATACGAGAAAGACATCCTGATGCTCTGAAGCTAGTAAAGTGCATTGAAAGTTCAGAATGCTATGGCATATGTATATCGATATAAAAAGCTGAAACATGTCCGAAAGCCAAACTTTTTCTCGATGAAAACTTTATTGTCAATTGGAAGACTGAATGAAATATTAAGTAGAATGGCAAAAAAAAGAATAAGAAGAGGAGAAGTGCAGGATGCGAAAAAGGACAAATTGCACCCAACCATTCATTTGAAACATTAAAATCTCTTCAGTAAGCTCACTAATTATCACAAATCCTTGTATGGCAACAAAAAAAACGACTACTTGATTCTATGACTTTTTCACATCAAATTGCATTGACTAGCTGCTTGATCGGCATTCTCCACGTGTGGAGCTCCGTTCTCTCCAACACCCCATCCTGCAATTGAATCTCATCGTTGAGCTCTATTCATTTTGATAGCTAACCTTCAGGCATGTCTCCGAGTAATTCTGCTGGTGGATATCCATGACTCTGAAGATCTACGAGCATCCTGCCGATTTTCTCTATAGCTACTCGGTTTGGTTGATCAGCACTTTGCTGCAAAAGAAAAAAATAAATTATTCATGAAGTACAAAGAGAGGGAAACCTCGGGCGATGTTGAGGTGCCTGCTGGCTGTTCAGGTTCTTTCTCGAATTCGGCGCAAATCAAGCTGATTGTCTGAAATTAGAGAAAAACGAATAATTTCTTCCGTTTCGAGACCAAAGAAAACCTCATGTTGTTTCACGTAGACGGCATAAGTCTCCGCATCAAGCTTTTCTTTGTTTTCCGCCAAATAAGCCGGATACTTCTCACATAATTCTTTAAGAGGTGGATACATTACTTCCTTTGTTACAAAACTCTGTAAATCCGTTGCATAAGCTTTTCTAATTCATTCTTTCCACAGACCTCCATAAACACATTCATGAGAGGCTCAAAGGAAGAGTCAGGGTCGTGTAACATTTGCATTCCCTCCATGAATTCTTGTTCATTACTAGCATTCGCTACCTACAAACGTGACGATCAGAAGATCGATGAAGTTGAATGTTTACCTGTCCCGCGCAAGACATTAATTGCTTCATGGCAGCAACCATATTTTTAGTCTCTTCATCCTCTTCTTCGGAAGGGGTTTCGCCGTTCTCTGCCATTTGTTTGAAAGCCGCCTATAAAAGGTAAATATGCCCGAGAGGATTAGGTGAGAATTCACCTCTTGAACTGTGACCATCTCATCTAAGAAACTTTTGAATTGTGTGGCGGCTTTTTGAGCCGCAGCTTGATCGGCACGATCCATAAGTTCATCTAGTTCGTCATCAGTTACAGTTTTACGTCTAAAAAACAAGATGTCCCACATAAACATGCATTTTTGCCCAAATAAGCATTTATTTAACAAATCGACGACCAAAATACTGGGTCAATCCCAATACTCTGTGATATTCATTGCAAAACCTGTTGGCGGAGAAAAACGGAGAGGGAAAGAATCAACTTACGGGGCGAAAGATTTGGCACTGCTATCAAGTAATTCACCAAGAGCATCAGCGTCATCTTGAGCAATTGTAGGCTTCTCACCTTCGTTACTCATTCTGCGCGAGGTAGAGCTGAATACAATTCAAATACAAAACGTAAACTATTCCAGAAAAATCAGATAAGCACAGAAATGTATAAGTTAACATAAATTTAAAATTTAAAAATAAAGGAAGAAGTTTAAGTGTGTTCAGAGTTTAAATGTAATAACGTCAGCGATCGATAAGCGCGTAGAAAACGTGCGGTCGAGTGTTGGAGTGGGGAGGTCGTAAGTTAGGACCAGTTACAACACAATTGATAAAGTTTTGTTTGAAGAGGTATAAGAACATGATTATCTGTGTAAAACGAGTAAATAAGACTATTTTTTCTTAAAAATCCTTTATTCAGATTAACCTCGAAAGGCTTGAGGAACAAAACGTTAATGAATTATGCGCCGAAGCGAGAAAACGACCAGTGTCCGGGAACTGAGGACCCGGAGCAAAGTTGAAGAGTCATTTGCACATAGAAATGAGTCGAAGAGCAGGCGAAAGAAAAACATTTTCAATGAAAAATATCCTTAAAGTTCTTAGTCGAATGAGCTTTTTAGCATTTGCGGGTCATTTTACAAATTTTCTAACATTAGTGTAGGTTAATTAAAACAAATTATTATTAGAAGATAATGAAGGAATTTCACATATTTAGAAGCATTTGCGATGGACGATGGATGGACCGGACTCGTCGTACTCTTGCTTTGAGATCCACATCTGTTGGAAGGTGGAGAGAGATGCCAAGATGGATCCTCCGATCCATACTGAGTATTTGCGTTCAGGTGGAGCAATAATCTTGATCTTCATTGTGCTATAAATCATGTTATCAGTATTTCATTTTCAGTATCGCGTTCCTACCTTGGAGCCAAAGCACTGATTTCTTTTTGCATACGATCAGCGATTCCTGGGAACATGGAAGTTCCTCCGGAAAGAACGGTGTTGGCGTAGAGATCTTTTCTGATATCAACATCGCACTTCATGATGGAGTTGTAAGTGGTCTCGTGGATTCCGGTGGATTCCATTCCTAAGAATGAGGGTTGGAAGAGGGCTTCTGGGCAACGGAATCGTTCGTTTCCGATGGTGATGACCTGAAGAAAACTCTTTAAAAAGGCACAATTATGCAAAACACACTTGTCCGTCTGGAAGTTCATAACTCTTCTCGAGAGAAGAAGATGAAGCAGCTGTAGCCATTTCTTGCTCGAAATCAAGAGCAACATAAGAGAGTTTTTCCTTGATATCACGAACGATTTCACGTTCGGCAGTGGTGGTGAAGGAATATCCACGCTCGGTGAGGATCTTCATCATATAGTCGGTCAAGTCACGTCCAGCGAGATCAAGACGGAGGATAGCATGAGGAAGAGCATAACCCTAAACATCAAGTTAATCAATAAGGTTTTAAATTTAAAGAATTACCTCGTAGATGGGGACAGTGTGAGTGACACCATCTCCAGTATCAAGTACGATTCCGGTGGTACGTCCGGAAGCGTAGAGAGAGAGAACGGCTTGGATGGCGACATACATGGCGGGAGTGTTGAAAGTCTCGAACATGATTTGAGTCATTTTCTCTCTGTTAGCCTTAGGGTTGAGGGGAGCTTCAGTAAGGAGAACTGGGTGCTCTTCTGGAGCAACACGGAGCTCGTTGTAGAAGGTGTGATGCCAGATCTTCTCCATATCGTCCCAGTTGGTAACGATTCCGTGTTCAATTGGGTACTTAAGGGTAAGGATTCCTGGAATCGAAAATGTAAATTACAAAAAAGTTTATAATGATTACCTCTCTTGGATTGAGCTTCGTCTCCAACATATGAGTCCTTTTGTCCCATTCCAACCATAACACCTTGATGGCGAGGTCTTCCTACGATGGATGGGAACACGGCACGTGGAGCATCATCTCCAGCAAATCCAGCCTTGCACATACCGGAGCCATTGTCAACGACAAGAGCGGCAACGTCGTCCTCGCACATACTTAGTTTCTGAGAAATGTTGTAGTTAGTAAACCATTATTTGCGAGAGAAAAAAAATAATGCGAAGAAACAAGACAAAAGTACGAAAAATGAAAAGTTGAAACTGACAAATGAAGGGGGCAACCTTCATGCATCAGATGCAGCCAAACAATGCCGATGAAGAGAGTAACTGTTGCTGGTCCTAGTTGTCGTCTTCTTAGAGGTAGATTCGAATAAATCCGCTTGACAAACAAGACGTTAAACGAACAGAGAAATGAAAGAACCAGCCGACTTAGAACAATTCCCAGAAATCACGGCCATAATCCGTGCCGTGCAAACATGAATGGTCACGCTATTTTAGTATAGACTGTCGTGTTCAAAGATGTTTCATAAGCGGCGAAACAGCGCTTAGACCATCGGTGGTTCGTGCGAGCGAGAGAGAAAAAGACAGAAAAATGAAAACAGGCAGCTGGATAGTAATAATTCGCTATAGATTCCAACAATTGATGGAAAACTAAAAGTGTAGAGATCATGCTCACATTACAGGCTTAGAGACAAATTGTTCAAAACAAAAAAAATATGAATGTACATACATGTTGTTGGAATGTGAAGCAGATGGAAGATACATGCTAAAACAATTCTAAGTCATGTGTGATAGAAAGGAAATGAGGACGCAAACAGAGCAATCAAAGCACAAAAACGTTCATTGTTCTGCGCGAACTAAAAGGCGCCAGCTGGCGTCACGATATCAATTCGTTAAAAGCATTTTGGTAGCCCGTTCGAAAAGTCTATGCTTTTAGAAAATGAAAGCGAAAAAAGAAAATTCGAGAATAGCGTTCGGAACCATTAATGGGGAAGACAACCCTGAGAAAAAATACATGAAAGATTGAAGATATCAAAGAGAATATTCTTAAAATAACGTTGACATAATTTCTGTCGGACGGACGTTGAAAAATCGCGGCGACTAAACCTCAGGCACATTGGACCGCGATGGCTAGGCGACAGGCGGAGCGTCGACGTCCATTTACGGGCACCACAGCGTTGACGATGGCGGCGACGACGACAGATCCACGCTCCGCCTATTTCCCTTTGGTCTTCCATTCAACGTAGCAATCCGAGGCATCAGTACAGAAACAAAGATACATCACTGCCAGAATTGAGCACATAAGCAATCTGCCAGCAAAACATATGGACTGAGATGTGATTATGAAACGTATGACGTCATATTTCTCAGCACTAGAAGATTTTGAAATTAATCTGATGAAATAAATAGCTAATGCTATTAAAATACAAGTTATAAGTGAAACAAAAAGTAACTTTCGCAATAGTGAGCGATCTGGCAACCAACGTCTGCCTCATGATCATCATAAGGAACATATAAGGACAATGTGGTACCCACGCTATGAGTCAATCGCATCGTGGTTGGTGTCCAGATGAGTCATCGCATGTTTAAGGCACACGCAGCAACCAAATACATAACACTGAGTTGAAACAGTCATTGAAAATATGACTGTAATGGAGAAAAAACAAAAAAAGAAGAGATGAGAAAGGTGTATGAACACATACAGCTGAAAAAGAATTGGATGGTATAAAAAATGAGGGAATGAGTAACAAAAACTGAAAAAAAAAAACAACACAATCACCTCTCACAGCAGAGTTTGAAATTCGAAAATTAAACAATCGAAGAACGCAACCGTTCAATTCGATGGCGCGCAACAGAATGACGCCACGTCGTTGCAAGAAGACGTGGTTAATTAGCATATGACACAGGTAGGTTGTTTTGAAACGCGATTTTCGGAATCATTCAAATTTAAACAGGGCGATCAAATGTGATGAGAAACCGAAAAATCAATGAAAGCGTTTGAAATTGTTTTGACAAGCCAATTGGAAATGTAAGGAGAGCAGTTAATGGAGAAAGTAATGTCGTGTGCCCCTATTTATAAAGGTTTTTCAGGTATTTGAAAAAAATACGAGAAATGATAAAAATAGAAGAAATGTGGGTGGGAGAGAGATATGACCAAGTATTTCCTGTCATGGTATGATAAGGAAATAGCAATGAGTCATTGGCCAATGTTTACGAGCTCGAGGAAAAAAAGTTTTTCATTTTCCGAATTACGCAGACGTTGAGCGATGAGTTCACCTAGGTCTAGTCATGATGAAAAAAATCATGAATTTAGAATTGTTTGAGATGGAGGGCAAGAGGGCCGAAGACAAAACTGACGAAGATACGAACGTGAGGATGCTGGTAGGACGTCTCTAAGACATGGAAGAGCGAACAACATATTAGGCGATATTATGTGCGAATGTCGTAATGGAGATGAATGACCTGCTTTGTCGGCTGGATGTTGATCATGACGACGAGGACGGACGACTTCGATGATCGTTATGATGACGACAATGATGATGTTTATGACAAGAGAGAGAGAGAGAGAAACACGAAAGAATTACGAGAGAAACTATATGTATAGAATTTGTAACGGATGCGATAGACGGATTAAATTCATATATGGAAGGAAAGATTGAAAGTCATCGCTTCCTGCGAAGTATATCTCCTTCCTTTTCAAGATACAACAAAGAGAAAGATTATGATCCATCAGTGATGAATTCCGTGCTACTTTCGTTCAATTGTGACTGTCCATCATCCCATTCTTAGCGTTCCATTCATCGTTCTTCATTATATTCTGACGTTTGGAGAAAAGAAAGCGATGAAGGCGATGTGTCAGAATTCCAATGTTCAACAAGTATATTCATCAGAATATTTAATCATCAAAGAACACTAACATTATGAAATGATAGAAACATGTGCACAGTTCGTAAGATCATCATCAACCTTCACTGCTGCTGGGTGAAGAGATGGAAGGAAGACAACGGAGGAACGATTAGCCTTGATGGTTTTCCTTCTCGTTTTCTTTTTTTGTTCTTTTTTTCTATATAAAACTCATCTTGAAAACTCTTCAGATTCTCATGATGCATATAATCTAATATACGTATAGTTTGGGAAACGGATTTGTACTCCTTGACCTATACTTGGCCATGCATTAATCATTCAGAAGGTTTTCTTTCCACCATTTCTACATTTCTTTTCTCTGCAACCTCATGAACGAGTATGAATCTGTTCAGTTTTTAGTACTCAACGGGTGTTTTGTTACATCGAAAGATTCAGTTTCAACGCTTCACAATTAGATAGATAGCTGCCAAGCTGCTAAAAATCCTTGGCAATATCTATATAAGGGGATGTCTACGTTCTGTCTACAGAAGATGAACGATGGAAAAAAAGTTTTTCTAATTCGTTTTGCAACTTTACTTTCGCCGTCAACTAAACAATGGGGTCTTCTGAAATTTTTGTTTGAGGAAGCTTAACCGGCTAATAACCACCAATGTCGTAATGGTGTGACTTTCGAAAGGCGAGCGTTAGATTAGACAGAAGAACGTTTTCAAGCAATTTCAAGAAACGTCTGTCTGCGGGTTCAGAGGAAAAATCAAATACAAAATTTCTTGGTTAATAGGCAAATAGGGGTGGAAATGGAGATGCAAAAACACATTCAAAAGAGCATATGCGTCCATCAGCAGATTGATGATTCATGGATAGCCAGATGCTGCTCGGGATCGTTCGCGCTTTTTCCAGAAGCACTTTTATGAATTACAAAAGAGGAAATACAGAGAGAGCAAGAAAGACGATTGACGAAAAGGACTATGATGATGATGATGATGATGATGATGAGAGGGAGCATCTATAATCATCTGAAAAAGCTTTCGATATGTTTATTAGATTAGAGGATTGCGTTTTGTCTATTAAGCAACTGATTGTTCCCCAGATCTACTTCATTGCTTTTCCTCATTCTTTCTCCTATTTGCTAGTGGTCTTTCGCTTTCGCAATATGGTTTAATCGAAATAATTCTCTCGAAAGTTCCAAAACTTTTTCCTCAAATGAGAAAAAAACTTAAAAACATTTTTGAAGTCATCGTCTCTCTAGCAGAATGAAGATGTGATGTATAGATGGATACAAATTTATAAAAATGAAAAATAATAAGAAGACCAAGAGATTGGGAAAAAAACAAAACAAAAAACATTTTTTGTCTTCACAACCAAGATAACGAAAAAAAAATGGACAAAGAGCAAAGACACTAAACTTCTTCTTCAAACTGAAGTTCAATGAAGCCAATGAAGAAGAGACATAGTTATCGCTCGGGCTACTTCTCTTCTCATTCTGCTGTTTTGTGAATTTTGGATCTTTGGCCTAAAAGGAAAGCAGCCGACACAGAGAGACATACTTGCACAAATGGCTTTTCTTCCATATTTCCAAGTGAAAATAGAAAAGACATCGATGAAGAGCCAGAATAGAGAAAAAGAGCTGCAAGACGGAAGAAGATGAGAAGAACTGTGGTAAGAATAGTGAACAAAAACGAAAAGATGCCAATGATTGGTATGAGAACAGAGCTAAAGAGTAAGACCAGCACAAAAAAAAACTTCTCCCTCTTCGTCTTCTTTTTTTTTTTGCAGCCTTCCTCTTTCTTCCTCTCCCTCTCTCTCTCCTTCTCTTACTTTCTCTCGACTATAAACATAGATTGAAATTATTATGCCTTCATAAAAATTTCTCATGCTTTTCTTCAAATTTTTATGTGGCACTGTGAATATAAAACTTTTAATATTTTATATTTCTTTGCCATGCAGCTATGTGTCATTTAATCGCAACTTTTCTAGTTTGCTTATCTCTAAACTTGGAAGGAAGTAAGAGAGGAGAGGAGAAGAAGGGGGGGGGGCAAATAAAAATTCAGAGGAAGAAAGATGAAATCTCTGACATACAGATAGCGAAAAATGAAATATGGAAAAAACTCAACCGCTTAACAAGCTGCATGTCACAAAATGAGGACAAGACAAAGCATTTTCACGTCGAATACTCACGTAACAATGTAGGATATGCAAATTAATATATATATCTTTGAGAAAAAAATCCGACTTAGAGAGTCTTTCCTCAGATTAGTTCTCGATGCTTAATCACTGTTGATTTAACATGAATAGACCAAAACTGAAAATCGTCTCTCAAAATACACTCACGACGATCATTCCTAATCCGCTCGCTTATATGCGCTTCACGAATTACATATTTCAATCTCCTTATCATATCAAGCGAGGATTGAACAAATTGGAGAGCAACCGTTACTTTACTAAAAATGACACAAGCAGCTGCGGAATTTTCAATTTTCTGTCTAATCCCACACAGCAGATGAAACATGAGTGGACTAAGTTCAAAATTTAAAAATTCGTTGATATGTAATGTAAATGAATGAGAAAAGGAGCAAAAAAAGTTTAAAAGTAGATAACGTTTCAGTCTAGAGTGACATGGAAGGCCAACGATTCATTTATAATTCGTGAATCGCGTTGAAGACGAAGTTCAGAGAGAGAGAGATAGAGAGAGGAATGAAAAAGAATCTACAATGATAATCGTTAAAAGGATTCCAAGTTTTTACAAATAAAAAGCCCATAACGCTGGTCCGGTAGAGTAGCAATTGGACATGATGACCAATTAGACAAAAAAAGAAATCTGCACTATGAAAGCGGAATGACTGATGAACGAGTGAGCGAAACAAACTAGAAATTCGAAGTGAAATGAAATTTTTACAAAGAACTCAACTGTACGTACTTTCGACGAATCTACAATGCTAAAATTGCTTTCTGGTCAGAGAAAAATGAATGGAAGATATGAAAGAGACAAATATCAAAAGGACAATGGCCGCACTAGAGAAGAGGCGTCAGGATACATCGAGTCAAACGTGAAAAAAAAAGAAGAGGAAAACTCATGTAGAGACCATGTCCATAAAAGACTAAGTCAGATTCTTCTTCTTGCTGATGAAGACAACCAGGCACAGACGGGCACGTCTTTCTCCTCATTCTGTCAGATCCAACGTCCACTCTGCATGGATGAGGAGAATGAGATATGCTGGATTGTGGTAGAAAACAGGATGAAACGTCCTGTAGTTCGCCATTTGAGTCTCTACCGCGACGTTAAGTCAATTAGGCAATAATGACAAAAGTAACGAAGCTGTACGATGTTAGAAAAAGCAAATAGCTACAAATCTCGAAGAAATCCAGATTTCTGAAGTTTTTTTTCTGGAACACATCTCATCAGCTACCAGATTTCTCATTAGCTTGACCGATGTTCAGAGTAAAAGAGAGAAGATTGCCCAAAATGGTATTTGAGACAAAAAATCTTGCAAATAGAGAAATGTTCGTCTTTAAACAAGAATACATTCCAAAATTATTCTCTAAATAATGAGTGACTAAGCTCGTTTAGAACATCGAGCCTTTTTTTGTTACAACCAAAAAAGGAAAAAATGGTCAGAGACTGCGAGCAGAGCTGAATGGGAAACGAGAGGGAATGGACAGATTAACTATGCTGAGGAAAGAGCGCTGCTGGAGAGGAATCAATTCAAATGGGAATAGACTCAGGCTTCCCCATTTTTTCCTCACAGCGATCAAAAAAACGTTCCAGCAATAGATTTTTAGAGTCAACGGATGAATCATTGGTTAGACCTTCTTGATATCTCTTCCTTATTTGCCCCGAATTCCCTACTGGTCAGAAATTCGTACTTGCTTTGAAATTGAAAGCGTCTGGTTACTGAATCTGAGTCATGACTCATACACAATAATAGAACGCAAAAAGGGAGGCAACAGAAGCAAACATATTGCGAAATTTTACTCTTTCGCTTGAGTCTTTAGCAAGATCTTTTTAAATGAAATATGTTCAAGTAAGATGAAGCAAGCTCAAATAATGAGATAGTATCAGGAAGGGGATTGTGAAACAAGCAGCAAGAGAACAAATGGACAACGAGGAAGTGAGCAGAGAACTTGAATGCAACCGCTCCAATTGAAAGCCATTTTCGAAATGACCTGTTAGCGTAAATCGCGTGCTCATGATGGCGCGTATATGGCGAGATCTTGGTAACTCTCTGGCGCAAAGATAAAACCCAAAAAGGCATTATCTCCCAAAAGCTATTCATTTATGAATATAAATAAGCTTTATCGTATTTTACTGTATCATATCATATTACGGGACAATTAGCGAATGAAAGAAGGAGAAGAAGAAGAAGGAGGATAGTTCTATCTAACTCGCTTTTTGAAACAAAAAGTTGAATGACGAGAAGGGAGACAATGGTTAATCGGCTTTTATAAACTGCAGGAACGAGATGTTTACATACCATTTTCCCATGTAAAAAAGTATTTAATCGAGCATATTATTATAATTTTTATCGATCTTTTTACGAAATAGGAACTATCTATGCGCCATGTTCGTTGATTGTCTTTTCGGCGATCCTGTTTATCAGATAAATGCATTTTTTATATTTTTGTTTCAAAGAAAAGATATATATGCGATTATAGGAGAGTAGACGGAAGAAAGATATTGTGCTATTGTATAATAGATTAACAAGGACATATAGTTAACAGATTGAAATAATTGTATTGACAGTCTGTCATAATGATCTGTGAAAGTAACGGAAATATAAATTGATAAAAAGTTTCTATAAACCATATAATTATGACGAGAACTATCAATTAGTAATATCTTCTTATACGTATACATATATAGGGAGAGGGACGAATGAAAAAAGGATTTTCTCTTTCAATCTCGGTTGCAACCTCTCAATCGTTGATGTTCACATACACACATACTAATTGGCTAATAACTGAAGCTGTAGGGATTCTTGAAAAACCATTTCGTCTAATCTGGTTATTGTTATTTTGGTTTTTAAGGAATAGAAAAGACGAAAACTTGTTGTTTACCTTCCAACTCTCTACTTACCACTCTCTCAGTCCCTCTATGGCCTCTCTCAGACTTACTCTATCTCTAACTGGATATATGTCTAATATCAGCTTCTTTATTCTTATTTTGAAGACTGAAAGAGTGAAAATCATAGAATTTTAAAGAATCTTTTCTTTTTTACAGCTTAAAAGCGAAGTAAAGTAGGTAGAGAAGAGAAGGTTCAGAAGTCGTTTACACGGCTGGGTGAGGGGGTCAGAACGGGCATCTTGCAACGAATCGCAATAAAACATTTTCCTATGAAGAAACTGTAAAATGGTCGAAGCGATTTCTTATCTCTAAGAACAAATCGTTCTTGCAGCACAAGCAGAACCATATTGTTAAAGGAAATCTTGAGCTTTTGCTTATAGTTCTCATGTTCATGATCAACCATTAGAAATTGAGAAACTTGTTCGTGTTGAAGCCAAATACACATCTGGCTGATTGAGTCATTGACTTAACCTCTTTTAGCTTTTTTCCTGTCCTTCTTATTGAAACGTTTCTTAGGTAAACTGTCTATTGTGCAAGAGTAAATAGTTAGCAACGATGCCTCTGAAGCATTCCAGCTATAACCACCCCACCTTGTAAGGTCATCAAGCTAAACTAGTGCTTAGCTTTTTTTTCTCAAAAATGAGAGAGAGAGATAGAGAGATTGAGATGGTAATAAAGAAACAGAGAGAAAGATAGTTAGAGATAGAAAGTAAAGGAGGGGGAGTTGAAAGAGGAAAGTATGTGTCAACCACTTGTCAAGCCACTTACCTCAACATTAAGTTTAAACTTTTCATCATTCTGTGCTTCAAAGCCTTGTTCATTTATTAATTCAAAATATAATATTGTGACAATAGTATGGTCTTCATACAATACATGCCACACCAGTTTATGATAAACTAGAAACGAGAAGACGACGACCGTGTCACTGATTATCTGCTGTTGCCATACATGGACATTCGTCCTTTCACACATTTTCTTTTTCAACATATTTCGAACATTTTATGGGATAAAAACAAAAATGATGATCGTCGTTTTCTGATTATTACACTTCTCTCTTAAGTGATTTCTCGATTTTCTCACTTCGTCTCATTCCCCCCCCCTCCCTTGGAAAAACTTTCCAATTCAAACATTTTTCGTGTTTTTCTTATTTCTCTCACCCCTCTCTCCACCTCTCCCCCCTCAATCATTCTTCTCTTTATTGTTTCAGAGACAAACATCTTTTATGACAAATTAAAATGATCTCGGTACGTGATCGATTTCAGAGTTTTGAGGTAAATTTCCATTTTTCTTTTATTCTCTCTATTTGGACTACATGATTGTCATGTTCAGCAAATCCATCAGATGTACAGTCCGAAAGATGTTCAAGCAGATCCAATGCCGCACTCTGAGATGGTAACGACTTCTAATTTCATTTCAATCTCTACTGTTACTTGATAGCAACACGCCTCATCAACATCCAATTTGGCCCTGGAAACAGTGAGTGGCCGACTTCTTTTGTTTCATTTTCTATGTTCTTATCGTTATTGCAGGTTGATGAAGAAGAAATGTGTGCAACTGATGGAGAATGGATTGAATTAACAGATTCAGATATTCAATATTTGAGAATGGCTAATCGGCCGGAGTTAGAAAAAGTTTTAATCATGTTTGTCTTTGTAACATTCGTTTCTTTTAGTTTTTAGGGCAAGTAACGGGTATACGAGAGGATCTCAGAAACCTTCGAAGCATTACCAGTAAGATACGAAAATTTCATGAAAAACTCCGACACATCATTATGCTTCGAGGAGCCGAGCGAGGTAATCCTTCCACATACACATTCCTCTCATTTCCGCTCTTTCAGATTTCGTGCGAATGATAATACGAGAATTGGATCGAGAAGTTGAAAAATTCCAATCATCTTCCCAGAAAATTTGTCAAATCGTTAACAGTTAGTAGACCTTGTCACCCAATTCATAATCAAGAAACTGTAGATATGAACGATAGATTCAAACAAGAAAATCGTCAGGAGATGAGTCAAGCAGAGTTTAGAATTCGACGAGATCAGGTGAACTCGAATGACTTGACACTCGAACAAACGTATTTCAGATATTGTGCATTGTAGAGGGATTGAAGACTGTGATAAATCATTTTAATTATGAACAAATCCAGTATGAGACTGAGAATCGTCAGAAGGCTGCTCGCTTAATCAAAAGCCAAAGCTTAGGTTTGATTTTGCGGCTCCTTTCGCATTGTCCATCATTTATCTCAGAAGCTCAATACTCCAACAGGATAGAGAAGGAAGGGCTGCTACCATTCATAGCTGATCAAAACAATTTGCCAGCAGTGTTGGATGAAATTAAAGATCGACATGTAGCTTGCTTGAGACTTGAAGCTAGTACAGATGAGCTATCACAGATGTTTCATGAATTGAAAATTCAACTGGAAGTAGCCGTAAGTGTTTCATGTCATCTAACTTTAAAACAGAAAATTGAAGAATCCAATGCTGGATGATATCCAATGTAATGTAGAACAATGTGAAGAATACACAGAAAGAAGTATTGCGAATATTCACAAAATTCGAAAAAAGATTGAAACAAAACGGAAGTTGGAACGGGGAATGGTAAGGCAATCATCCATCCATATAGCATTGAACATACCAACTTCAGACAGGAATCGCACTGTTGATCATCATCGGACTGATAGGTGCTCTTCTATTGAACTTTAGCGGAGTTATATTATTATTAATATTAAAATAAAGTTGTCAAAATTATTATTAAAAATGGAAACATATGACAACACAACCGCTCATCACGTTAGCAACCAAGCAAATGGAAATTCAGATCAAGATCATGTTCACGCGGGAAGTTTGAATAAATAACTTTTCCAAATCAATCGATAACTTCAATTTGTATATAAACACTTGATTGTCATTAAAACCTGAATCATATAACCTCTACCCCTCCTATGCAACTGACAAACTCTCCCCCCCTCTCTCCCCGCTATCGCAGCATTGTAAGCTGAGATTTATTGTTTTAAACTTTTAGTCGAAAAGAAAGTTTCATTCATAATTGCAGTCTTTCAAGAGAATAGAAAAGCTTGATATACCCATTGATACATCCCTTTTCTATCCTTTTCCTCTTCCAAATAAGTCCCTCGAGGAATGATGTCAGAAGGCAAAGTGACCATCGATAACTCGCCCACCCTCTATGTTTCGACAACTACGAGGATGGCCGGCTAGTCCTTTGGCCATTTCGTATGGCTCAACGTTCAATGCCTGATTGAGTACTTTTTCATTTTTCATTTGTAAATAAGTGTGAAAAAGCATTTTTCATGATGCATATGTTAGCCAGCAGAAAGCATAGAGAACATGCTTAACCATGCTAACTATATCGTTTTCATGTGATTCGTTTACTGAAGCTTTTCCTTCCTTCCTTGATAATAAGTTATGTCGGCATAGTTTGTTATACATTAGGATAGTCTAATGTCTGTCAATGACATAATACTGTCTGTAAATGGATGTGTTCTTCGCATGTGAATTCATTGACAGCTTCTTCTTTGACAAGCCTTTATCCGTTTCAACATCACATCCCATATGGTCGAGTTGTTAAAAATTTAGAAAAATCTTTGCTTTCCTCTAGAAATCAGATGGTCAAGCCTCATTCGCTAGCTTCGTTATCCGTAATGTGATTTTCGTCTTTCATCTTCTTACTGACCAGCTTAATACCAATCATCATCATCAGCATAGCTGTTGTAATGTAAGCGAATCAGATGAGTTCGTGGTGCAATATGTGTTCGTTAACTCATCATCATCGAAGAGAAGAAGATGCCCATGCAGCTTCATCTCATGTATCCATCCATTGGTCAAACCATTTATGACATATTGTATTGTATTAGATTGAGAAAAGAAACTTTCTGATGAAGCTGTTCTTGTACAACATCCATTACATCTGTTGACCAGACGTTGATCTTTTATGATTTTTTAGCCAACTGACTCTAACCTTTGACTCTCATTTGCATATATTTTTGGAAGTCATGAATCTTGTTCGATACAACCGTTCTCCTTTATTTGAAAACTGAAAATGACGCTTCTCATTGGACTGTCTTCATTAGCATAACCTGAATTCATGTGCAAATGTGTGTTTTGAGAATGATTTTCAAGTTTTTTTTGTCAATCTTATTTCATCATTCAACCTTCATCCTCAAATCCTGAACCTCTTGCTATTTGCATAATGAGAAGACAAGGATGAAGAAGGCGTTCATACGACGATGTTCGATTTGTGAATTTTCGTTTCATCGATTACATCATTGCGCTCATCCTCCTTCTGTCCATCAAATGGTTTGTTCTTGAATAATTTGTTTCCATAAATTATTGAAAAATCATTGTCTTCTACAAATCTGCCCTTTAGACGTTGCATTCGCAACGCTTCTCAATGAACATCTACACAGATAGCGAGAAGAATACGACATCTCTCATTTGCGGTCACCTTATAAATCTCTCAATTATAATTTATTAGAAGACTGAAATAACAGCAGATCGCATCGTATGTACTTGCCTTCTGTAATCTGTAGCTCTACTGTTCTCTATACATTAAGCGACTGTTACAGCTGTCTTCTCTCTCATTCTCTCTTTCCTTCCCTCCCTTTATTCTGATTCTTTCTCTCTCTCTCTCTCTTCCTCTCTCTGCTTATTAGACAATTATGTTTTCATTCATTTTCGACAGGTTACAGATACTACCATAGAAACATTGCTTAATTACACTTTTGGCTATATATTACCGTCTTGTCTAACGTCTTGTTGTCCACCTCTCCAGAAGTCACTTTTACACTCCTACGTATTAGTCATAACTTCTATTCACTTCCTTCAAATTTATAATAAACTGTAGAAGAACAGCTTCCTCCGCCTCTCTCTCTCTCTCTCTCTCTCTCTCTCTCTCTCTCTCTCTCTCTCTCTCTGTGAGTCAGAGCTGTTCATGTCCGTTTCCATTCTCTTCAAATCTTATTGAATCATGTTTCTCAAAAAGCGAACACACAAACTTTAACTGTTTCCGCAAATGGAAAATAAAAATGTTCTATTATTCAGCAATTAGTTTGAAGAATATTCGTTGAAGTCATTTACGACAAGTCGTAAAGTGAGATTGAAGCTTTTCCCTAGCCGATGGTATCGAAATGGTCAGTTCATGAAATCCTTTTTGGAAGAGGAGGGGGGATGAGAGACGACAATCAAAAGATAAAAATCAAAGCTGTGTGATGACATTAGCTGTCTAGCGATTATGCAAAAGTAACACTTCACTGACTCATCTTCTACATATTGTCTCTGTGAAGTATGGGGTGAAGCTCAATCGTCTAATATCTCATCCGATGAAACAGTTTCCTTGTGAAAAAATTTTTTCTCCAAAATCTCCTACGTCTCCTCCTTCTCGCCAAGCCATTTGATGTTGTCCTTATACGGTTGTTATCGCAAAATGAAATCACAAGAACCACACCCAGTGAAAGAGTGAGAAAACAATCGTTTTCCTTTCACTTATATACTCATTCTTCTCACCTCTTTCACCTCCTTAAACGGTAATTTCAAAGATAATTCACTGACAAGGTCATATTGCCTTAAATGGACAAGACGCATTCTTAACTATAACATATCATTTGCTATCTGAATACCATGCATGCTACTACTAGCCCATCTCTATAATGCAATTTCTTTTGTACATACTAATTGGTCATCCTAATCTTCAGACCAGACCATTACCCAAATAAGCATATCATATATCGTTTTCTTCCTTTTTTGTCTTCTTCTTCATCTTCATCGTCTTCACAAATCAATAGCATTTCCTTCTCATCATTGTCACTTACGATTCTTGTCGTTTTATCATTTTTCTTCCTTTTTTTTCCTTATTTGATCATCGTTTTCTCTTTTAACCTACTACTACTATCCTACCTTTCCTTCATTCTCATAATCCTTCCAGACTCTCTAATCGTTTTTATTTTCATTTCATCTCCTTTTATGGAGTCAAAGCCATTCACTTCAACTTCAAATACCTTTTTCCATTTCATATTCTCAATTCCTCTGTCTCCTTCTCTTTCTCTCGAATCCCCCTTCCTCTCTCCTTTCTATTTCTCTGCATAAGTATAGATCATCTCTCTGCTTTCCTTTTTAGGTGGTTCAAGAGAGAAAAAGAGAATTAGAGAGAGAGAGAAAAAGAGAGAGAGAGAGAGAAAAGAGAGTTAGCGAATGACAATTAAGAAGCAGAAAGGCTTGTTCTTGATAAGCAGAGCTTTCTTCTTTTAACTTTTTATTTGAACGCAACCCAAATACGGGTCAGATGAACATATCCTCCATCCAAATCCTAAAACATTTGTTCGTCGGACATCCATCTTAAGGGATTTAAATTTTAAAAAATCAGAAAAACACATAATCTATTGAAATTTAGAAATTCAGAAAACGCAACCCAAATACGGGTCAGATGAACATAAGCTTCATCTAAATCCTAAACTGATAGTTAACTACCGTTATTGATGAGGGGTTCATATTTTAAAAAACAAAAAAACAGATAATCTATTGATAAGCTAATATGATTAAAAATAAAGAAAATTCGAAAAACGCAACCCAAATACGGGTCAGATGAGCATATGCTTCATCCAAATCCTAAACTCATCATTATCTTCCATTTATTATTAAGGGTTCATATTTTAAAAAAACTGATAATATATTGATAAGCTTATATGATTGAAAATAAAGAAAATTCAAAATCGCAATCATCTGCATCTGCGATTCGTTTTGCTGTGCTGCTGCTGCTGGCTCCGCCCATTTCTTCAATTTCTCGCAATTGTCATTTGTCGTTGTTAACCTCTCTCATTGGCATTAAAAGCGATTTTATTATTAAAACTTCATAAAATCAAAAAAAATGAAAATGGAATGAGTGCTGCTGTTGAGTCACTTTTCACAAAAATCAAGACCATAACCACGATTGAATTTCTATAATAAGTTTCTATATATATATTGAAGGTGCGAATAGCGCTCGCATCATCTCAATGACTGCGTTCTCTTCTCACACCTCAAGTTTGACTTATTAGGTAAACATTTAGAGAAACACCCTTTTCATTCTCATTTTACCTTCTCCTTATTCGTCGTTCAAATTCTCTATCAACTTGTTGTACCTTATAATTCTCTTTATATGCACTTGTATCGTTTAGCTATTCATCCTTGTTCACCTTTAAACTACTAATCATAGATGGCTCTAACTTCATATGCTTCTCCGACGCTCAAGCTATCAAGCATCTCCTTCTCTTTACCATCTTTATACAATTATAACTATCTGCCAACTATAATACTTTCTAAACTTACGAACTATAAAACTTTGCCATTTTCTATCTTCTTAGCTCTTTCACTTTGAGTTTTGTCTGTGGGGGCGGACGGCTGGATCGGTGAACCGCCGGACATCCGAAGACAGTTCAGATTTTCCGGAGAGAGCAGACAATTTAAGTGTTGAAATAGTATGTGATTAGGAGAGATTTAATAGAAAAGGTGAACAGATGTCATCTACCCCCTCCTCTCTTGGTTATTCCCGTCATCCTACTACTGAAGCTCCCTCATTTTATCTTTTTTTCTTTTCCTCTATGTCTCTCATGATATTTCAGTTTTTTTATTTTTCTCTCCAATGCTTTATTCTCTCAGTTTCGTTGAAGAATCTCTATGAGGACCCTGAGGCCCTCTATTCCTCCTACTACTGACTGACTGCTGCCGTTTCTCAATACAACACAACTTTCAATTGTCTTTTAAGATCTTCATACATATCTAATCGATTAACTGTAGTTTCATATAACTTCTTCAATAATTATTATAATGTGTGAAATGATGAAGTGATGACCTTTTAAGGTCTTCAAGATAAATCTCAATTTTTGTTTACATTTAACTTCAGATGTTTATGCTTCTGCCAGCGCTTTCAACCTCTTACGTCTCACTCTCTCACACTCATCTACAACATTACCCTATATGTCTTTTGAAAAGATATTCTAACAGTCTCTCTATTACTCTCTCTCTACCTTCCTCTCTCTTTTTCTCTCTCTCTCTCCCTTACTATCATAGCCCTCTCTCTCCCATTCTTTCTTCGCATCCACATTCCTTCGTTCATTTTGTTTGAAAACAGTCTTCATTCACTTCATAACCATTTCTTCTATTCATATAAACCGCTGATAATTATGCTATTCATTATATTAAACTAAGCAACCTTGATCCATGTTTGGTATTCATTTTCTTTTGTAATTATCCTTTCACACCATTGACCGTGTAATGACTGATTGACATGTATGTTATGTGTATGTTTCATTGGAATTTATTTCTCTCTGTCTCTCTCTTAACCTCTTTATAAGCATCTTCATTCTAATGGTGATCATGTTGTTTGTTATATGTTTGACTGTTACTATTAACCTCATACTTCTATCATTTCGTTTCTCAACATGTTTTCATTGATTCTTACAACTTACTTTTGTGAGCATTGTTTGGCCGTTCTAAGCAATCCTCCCTCCTTTCTTTCATTTCATTTATCTTTGCAACTTTACTTTATGAAAAATTCTTTTTTTTTTTCCTATTTTTTCTCCTTTTATGAAAACTATATTATACTTACCTGTTATTGGCTCAACCGGTTGACATGTCTGCAACTATTAAAATGATGCGTTTGCATATAGTTTACGTGGGAATTTCACGTATGCCATATTCCCACGATAAGCTTTTACGTGAAACTTCACACGTTTATTCGATTCAGCTTCTGTTATCGTTTTTTTCGTTTCTTATACCTTCTTAGAATTATTTATTCATATTATTTTTTTTACTATTTAAGGTCATTCTAAACCACTTGATAACAACAGCCTGTTCCGGCGAACGTGGCCGACGTCTGGTGACGTGATTATTCCACCAATCAGCTTGACCTCGTCAAACATCAATTATCAACTAGCGTATCAGCTTTGGATAATCATTTGATATACACGTGGTCATCAGATGATGAGGCGAACCACAAATGGACGAGCATTTCGTCCGCTGCTTCTGCTGTTGAGCCTGCTGGCAGGCTGCCATCTGGTCAACTCATTTAATATAGATACAAAGAATGCTTTAGTTCATACAATGAACTCTGGATACTTTGGATATTCACTTGATTTTTACAATGAGCAGAAAGGAATGCCTGTGTAAGCCTTTTCAATTTTTTCTTTAATTTGTTCAAAAAAAGAGAGATTGCTGAGTTCGCTAGCAGGATTGTAGAGGGTGGAATGAGATATAGCATTCGAATGGTGTGAACTGTTTTCAAATATCTGAACATCGTTGACTATTCATCAAACTCATTTGAGAGTTCGTTGTTGAGATCATTTGTCTTCTTCATTTCATCCAGTTTCTTCTTTATCCTCTTACTTTTACACTTACCAAATACAATCCGGCTCTTCGGCCATGTCTATGTGAGACGGAACACAAGTTGCCGACCCATAATTCAGGTCAACAATAGGCTTCTGCTGACTAATACAGTAAAGCAGCTGTTCTTAATGTTTTTTTCGTGTTCTATATGAGTCTATGAAAACAATTTTTGAAACTCTCTTTATTGTTCGTAATTGACCATCTAGAGAGTTATATGAGAAGAAAAGAATTTTTTTTTCCTCTATGATCTGTTTGCAAATACAAATGGCATCCCTCCTTTCCTAATCAACAACTGAACGGAGTGTGTGTTAGAAGCTGGATGATATTAAAGAAAGAGGGAGAGATATATTACAAAAATAAATGAAAGAGGAGATAAAGTGGAAGCTCAAGAGACAAAGAGACGAAATTATTACAACTGAGTGAGGAGGAGGAGAAGATAAGAACTAGGGGGAGAGGGCTTTGATCAGGATAAACGGCAACAAAGGGATATGCCAACCATCCTATAGGATGCCCTCAAGAATAATATTGATTTTTTTCAATCAGAACGAACGGAATGATACATTGATTGACTTATTTAGGCTTGTTGTCGGAGCTCCAGAATCTGAAACTACCAATCCAAATCTACGTGGAATCCGAAGACCCGGTGCAGTCTATGTGTGTTCTGTAAATCGACCAACTTGTCGTGAAGTTCACATCGATCAAAAACGTAAGCGGAACTTTTATATCAATGTTTGAGGAAGATAAATGAGAAGCTTTCCGTAAAAGAGGAAACCATTAGAATTGTTGCGAAATTAGTGTCGAGCAGTCTAAAGGAATAGCTTTCCCATATTAGGAACAGAGCTTGACTAAGCACGCGATCTTGAATAAGTTATTGAATGAGCTATGATGAGTCATGTTGAGAATATGAATGAATGAGGGATTTAGGGTGCCATACAAATGTATGTTCAAGAAAATTCTTTCTGTTTTCAGAGGGAAATGAGAAACGACTCAATGGATCTGTCTTGGCACCAATCGAAGACAAGTCTCATCAGTTTTTCGGTGGAACTATCCGTTCAAACAAGAAACATGATAGGCTCATGGTACTAATGAACTTCAGAATGAAGAGCAATATCGAATTTTCAGATGTGTGCTCCCAAGTACAAGTACTTCTTCTCCAAATTTGAGGTCATTGAACCTGTAGGAACTTGCTTCTATGCCGAAAACGGATTTTCTAAGACTGAAGAATTCCCAGCTTGCAAGCAAGAACGTTAGTTTCTCTTTACAACCCTATTTTTTCAACAAATCCTGACGCTCCTGGTTTTCACTTCATAATTCGTTTTCAGCTGCTCGTCACGGTAGACACAGATTAGGATATGGTCAGTGTGGATTTTCAGCTGCTATCCCTGATCGAATGAATAAGAACGACGAACGCGTAAGAACTCTTATGAATGATCTCAGAAAAAACTTTTTCATTATATTAGGTCTTCATCGGTGCACCTGGTGTTTGGTACTGGCAAGGAGCTATCTTCAGCCAAAGTTTGAAGAACTTCACTGACAGGCCCAATACTGATTATGCTCATGAGAAGAAATACGATCATGATATGATGGGTATGGAGAAAATAGAGTTTGAATTTGAAATTTCATTATTGTTTAGGATATGCCACAGCCACCGGTGACTTGGATGGTGATGGCATCGATGATGTTGTTGCTGGTCTACCAAGAGGAGACGATTTAGCCGGAAAGGTTTGGATTTTTCAAAAGTATTCGAGTTTACAACTGTTTTTCAGCTTGTTCTTTACACTTCCGGTCTCAAAAGAATCGTTAACCTGACTGACACTGTTAGTGCTCAACCAGGTCAGTACTGTGGAAGTTCTATCATCGTTACCGACATCAATAAGGATGGGTAAGACAGCCATTTTATGTGTTAATGTTACAACTGGCCTTTCCAGACGTGATGATATCATCACTGGATGTCCCTTCTATACTGATTACGTAACTGTAGTGGATGCTAAAACTCAAGAGAGAAAGCCACAATATGATGTAGGAAAGGTTCTTATTTATCTTCAAACCGCTCCAGTAAGATTATTTGGAACCATTCACTTCTTAAACCTCATGCTCTTAGGGAGTATTCAGTAAGCCACAAGCCGTTGTTGGTGAAGACCAATATGGACGTTTTGGATATTCTTTAGCTGTAGCTGGAGATTTGAATCAAGACGGATACACTGGTACTCAAGCAGCTTTATCACAAGTTTATATTACACTCATGTTTCAGATATTGTTGTCGGAGCTCCATATTCAGGAGAACAAAAGAGAGGAACAGTTTACGTTCTCCACGGATCTAAGAACGGAGTTCGTGAGAAATACACTCAAAAGATCCAAGCTCACCAAATCGGACCTAACATCAGAACTTTCGGATTTTCTCTAGCTGGTGGTGTTGATGTTGATGCTAACGGAATTCCAGGTAATCTCAGACACTACAGGGCGTTTATAAAAATATTCCTCATTGCAGATATTGCTATCGGAGGATGGAAAAGTGGACATGCCACTGTCCTGCTCAGTAAGCCTGTTGTTACTGTTACTGGACAAACTGATGCTGATGCTAACATAATCAATGTAGAAGAACAAAACTGTGATGTTGATGAGAAGTTAGGCAAGCAAACTTGGTAAGCCATAACTCATATTGAAATTTCAATCTCATTATCTTCAGCCGAACAATCAAAACTTGCCTTCGATATGAAGGAAAAGGAGATACTCCTTCCGATCTCGAATTTATTCTTCATTTCAACTTAGACGATCATTCCCCTGAACCTAGAGCTTATTTCCTTCAGAAGGATATTGTAGGCTTAAGCTTCTTCTCACACCAACTCAAATGGAAACATTTCAGAGAGCTGACCGTGATATTACCGTTTCTAAAACCTCTAAAACCAAGGATCATCCTAATGTGATTGAGAGAAGAGTTCGTCTCGAGAAAAACCGTCAAAAGTGTTTCCAACAGAGATTCTTCGCTTCCAGCACCATGAAGTTAGTCAAGAAATCTCTAAGAAGCTAACTGACTTTGATTCAGGGATAAGCTGTCTCCTATTCACTGGTCCGTCAATTATACTTATGTGGAATCAAAGACTGGTAAACTTCGAGGTGATAAACTCGAGCCAGCCATCGACACAACAGTTCCTCTGACTTTGGAGAACAAGGTAGGACAATGAAACTCCTCGTTCAATCTTTACTTAATCTCTTTTAAGATAAACATTGCTAACAATTGTGGAAAAGATGACTTGTGCGTTCCTGATCTGAAAGTAATTGCCAAGGCGTAAGCAACCCGTTCTTGTACCAACCTAACTCTTAAACTTCAGTGATCGTGACAAATTCCTTTTGGGAACCAAAGACAACACCATGCTCATCAATGTTACTGTTCGTAATGGCGGAGAAGATTCGTACGAAACTAAACTTTTCTTCGACGTTCCTGAAGGTTTTGAGTACGGAGGTGTTGAGTCCGATGACAAGAAGGTTACTCCAATCTGCTCTCCTACATCGGAAGAACCCAATGATGAAGGAAGTTGGGAGTTTGCTTGTGAGCTCGGAAACCCACTCCCAGCCGGCAAAGTTGTCAATACCGTCGTTCGTCTGAAGGCTAATGAAGATAAGCCACCTCTTAAACCAATCAAAATCAACGCTCATGTAAACAGGTATCCACTTGAATCCAAAGCAAACTCTCAAAAACTTATTATTTTAGTACAAACGATGAAGAAGAAGGAGCTGACGCTGACAACAAAGTTACCTTCGAAATTCCAGTTGACTTCAAGAACCAATTGAACTTGAATGGCAGATCAAACCCAGAACAATTAGATTTCAGTACAAAGTATGTGTTTCACTTCATTATCATTATATCATACGGAATTTTAAGAAATAAGACTGGACCTGAACTCTTCTACGATAAAGAAATTGGACCTGTTGTCAGTCATTTGTTCCAAGTTTCCAACAGAGGACCTTCTGACATCGATTCGGCTACTCTTGACATCTTCTGGCCTTCTTTCTCTGTACATGGTGGTCATCTGTTGTACTTGATTGTGGAGCCTGTCATTTCCGATCCTTCAAAAGGAAGATGCCGTGTTCGTCAAATGCAGAACATTAATCCTGACAACTTGAGAGTACGAGAATTTTCCAAGAAGTTGAATGAATCTTTCTTTTAAGGTTACAAATGAGCATGTTCCAACTGAGCCACCCACTCCCGTTGGACATCACGATGAAACCCATAATGGAGACGATGACTACATTTCTCAAGAAGAAGGAGAACATGAGGTACTTCATTCGCTTGCCTTTTTTTCTTGAATACTCCATTTTAAGCAAAACCATGATGGAAACGATGAGGAGATCGGTCAACCACATTTCGTTTATGAGGAAAAAGAACGAAAACCAGTAGATTATGAATATATTCCTGATGAGGAATATGAAACAAATGATGATGAATATGATAAAGATAAGAGGGTAAAGCGTCAGAACACCCAACGTCGTAAATCTAAGAAAACTGGCTCCGAAAGAAAGTCTGAAACACGTGGAGGTTAGAATACTGTCTTCTGAACCATTCATACTTTTTTTTTCAGAAAGAGCTCGTTTCTCCGATTTAAGAGCTGCTGTCAGAGAATCCAAAGAAGGAGGTGGAGCTATCGACTACAAGGGTATCATCAGTCGCGCTACTGTTGACTGTAACTCCCTTCGTTGTACTCATATTGAATGTGATCTTTATGATATCCGTGAGAACGAATATGTGTTAGTTGAGGTAAGCATGTTCTCTTCGAACTCATCTTACTCTGTTGTTTCCAGGTGTTCGCACGCCTTCACACTAATACTTTGGTTGATGAACATAATCCTGGTGGAGAAATTTCTTCCTTGGCTTTGGCTCGCGTAACATCCACAAAGTACAACTGGCCTCATAAACCTACTTTGATCACAGCTGTAAGCTATTTTCAGCATTTTTGTAGTATTCTGCTTTTTTCCAGGTGACCACAGTTTTGAATGCTGTCGATGATGATAGCTCAGGAGCAGGAGTTCCATGGTGGTTATACCTCATGGCCATCCTCATCGGTCTTGTGATTCTAGCTTTGTTAATACTTCTCTTGTGGAGAGTGAGTTTAAAAGAGAAATAAGTTTTATCTAACTTACAAATTTAGTGCGGTTTCTTCAAGAGAAACAGACCTCAAGCTGAACATGCTGAGAGAACAGCTCACCAAGACCCTGATGCTCATTATGCTGACACGCAAACCCGGTATGCTTCCAAAGATACATATAACCCCAACAGCCATGGACCAATGTTGTAAATTATTGCCTGGAACAGGAATATTCTAACTAATAATGTTAAATCTAGTCTCCTCTCGAATATAATGTCACAATGAGTATGTAAACACCCCGTCTGTAGTTCTGTACGATGTCTTTATAATTTGTTATTTCCATTAATATCATTGTGATAATAGATTAATTAAGAATGTTAGTGGAAAGTAGCTCAATGTGCCTTTTCTGAAAGACGTGTTCTCAGATCATACTTGCCTTTTAAAGTTTATCAAAATCATACAAAATGCTTTAATCCAACTGATTAATGCTCTGTTTATCATCCTCATCATCATCAAACTTGTTTTCTTTTATTTTTATCTTTCAAATTGTACTCTCAAAAACAATAAAATTTTATTAAATGTACAAAACAAAATTGTCTATCCTTATTTAGAGAAACCGAGACACTTTTTAAAATGGTTAGTTTACAAAGCATTAGATGGTATGGCATTCACATAGAAGGACCCGTTTTCTTCGCCAGAATAGATACTAAGGCCCGGAGGGAGCAGCAGCTTTCGCTCTACTCCTGGTTACTTTTACTTCCACTGTTGCATCGGGTACTTGTTGTCTCTTAATAATATGGTTTGATCACTGTACAGCCAACTCAACTTACCTCTAATGCTGCAAGCTTCTTCTTTAGCTCTGTATTTTCCGTTTTCAGCTTCGCGAACTCTTTGATCTGAAAAGGAGCTAGAAAACTCTCTTAGTTAATCAACTCACTCTTTGCTTGGGATTAGATTGACCTATAAAATGGGTGAGCTTATCCATATCTTCATTATGTTGTGCACTGAGCAACTCATTATTCTAAACACATATTTTGATGATCCTCACGATCAGCTTCACTCACAGTTTCTAATAACCGTTTCTCTTCCATCATCTTGTCTAGTTTCTCTCTCACTTCAGCTAATTCCTCTTCAACTTTAGTCAGTTTCTTTTCCATGCTAAAGAAACAATGTCATACGAAATCTAAAAGCCTAATCACCTTTTCTTTTTGCAGATGGCATCTTCACACATCTTCTCAGCTTCAACTAAACTCTCCTAAAGAACACATATGAGATAGGAAATCATAGAAAGCACGCACCAACTTCTCATTGGTAGTGTTGTTCAACTGTTTGATTTCTTCTGAGTGAGAATGACGCATGGCTTGCTCTCTGAGAGGATACATTATACATTACGCATATACATAATATGATTATCTTACTTCTCTAATAGCCGATCTATTTCCTCTCGTAGTCTTTGACAATCTACATTTTGACGTCGTAGCTCTTCCTGAATTAAAGGAAATGACGAAACGTTTGCCTCGTGAAGACGAACCTTCTGCCTTTCAACAGTACTCTCAATTTGTAGCCGTTCCTCTTTGTACTGATGAGAAGAGACTTTCTGTGTCATCAACTTATCATCTAAACTAGCAAGCTTCTTTTCATAATTTTCTTTCTGCGTCTCCAATTCCCTCTAATTTTACACAATGAGTAGAAAAACATGAAGAAATACCATCTGCAGTTTCATCATGTCGTCATGTAGCCGTCTGTCCTCTTGAACTCTCATCTTTGTTTTTTCCAACTCTTTCAGAAGACTTTTAATCTCTTCTAAACATTAAATGTATTTCACGGGCGAATCATTTGGTAAACAGTACTCTTAGCTTTTGATTCGTTCGAATTACTCGTCTCGCACATAAGTTTCAAAGATTCTATCTGAAAGGAACAGTGAAATAAGTGAATTAATTTCTTACCTCTCCGTTGGCTGCTAGCACTTTGGCTTTGGCCTCGACCAATTCCATTTCATACGCTTGCCTTTCCTCTATAACATGAATATCGGATTGAATCTCAGATAGAGTACTCACTGTTCAAGTCAATTTCCATAGCTAGCATCTTATCCTCGAACTCCATAACTTTCTGATTCAATTCATCGATATCTTCTGAAACATAAACTTGAACTGAACTTCAAAAGCTGGAACTTACCCTGCATTTTCGCTTCACTACTTGCTTTATCCTCTAACTGTTGTGACAGCACGTTCTCCTAAAACCTCAATAGTAGAGCAACAACACCAATTCGAATGATTACCATATCAGCAGACGCCTTCAACTTGTCACTGGTGGATGCAAACAAGTCTTCCAAAGCTTTCTTTTCCATAGCGAATTCTTTGCATCTATAACAATATTATTGAGGAAAACCCTTTTCGACTGACTGTCGTGATAGTTCTTGGTTCTCTTTCATTAGCTTAGAATTATTTTCTTTTAAAGAAGCAGTGAGCTCATCTTCTTCGTTTTCTTTGTTTTCTACCTGTGATCAAACTTTTTTTTAGATAATTGAAAAAAGAAGCAAACCTCGGTTTCTATTTCTTCATCTCCCCAAACAATACTAACTCCTCTCTTTTCTTGATGTCTCTGCAGTGTATCTTTCTAAAAAAACAGCAATAGTTTGATTTTGAATCTGGGAAAAGGGGACCTGAGATGATAACGTGTATCGAGTTCTCCTTCGTTCTTTTTTTTGTTTTGGAGTTAGTTGCGGTGGAAGGTTATTGTATTCAACATTGTTCGTCTGCGAAGAAACTGTCGATGATATGAACAAAACGAAAACAAACCCCATCAACATAGGAATCATTCACGACTTTCTTCATATGGCTTCTAAACTCAGACTGGTTGGTTTGAATCTAAATATACACATAAGAGCTTATCAAAATGAGAGAATATTACCATGTCTAACTCTCTTCTCAAGCCTTTAATGACCTGTTCCTGATTGTCAACCTCTATTTGAGTCTCTCTGAGAGCATTTTCAAGCTCTTCCACGATTTTCTTGTGGGCTAGAAGAAAAGCAAGACTATGAAGTATAAAAACGAGACTCACCAATAAAATCTTCTTCTTTCAAACTGATCAAACGAGAAATTTCTTTTTTGAGAGAATCCACACTTTCTCCGCTAACCTCGCGATTGGCAGAAGCCTTGTTCTTAACCATCTTGCATTGCTGTGCGAACCTCAAGGTTGATATTGTCTCCGCATAATAACTAAAGAGGAGAGGAGCTCTACTACTTTTTTTTATATTCGCTCACGTTTGATCAGGATGAACAGAGGCAATTACTGCTGTTCTGCTGTTACCTCCCAAACTGTCTTTCAATATATGGGTAAGTTTAGAATCTCTGTAGGGTACAAAGCCATCTTTGTCTTGTGTGAGAGTGCGGATGACTCTTCCTAGTACAGTTAAACTCTAAAATTCCAAACTCAAAACTGAAATTGGAAACAGCAAATACCTGATTGATGTTACCGGCTTCTTTCAAACGAACTCCAGTAGCCAAACTCTGTGACTGTCTTTCAGATCCCGCCAAGTCAACCAAGTTCAATGTGCAACGCTTCCGATTTATCACTCCTCCACATTCTTCTTCCATGGTCACCTGAAAGGTATTATTAAACTCTAAAGCAGTTTGAACTAACAAACTTCAATTATAAAGATGGCATGCGACCTAGATGACTCGATGTTCATGGCAGTAGCGGCTTTAGATCTTCTTGCTAGTCCTATTTCAACTGTCTGAATTCCAAATAAGGATCAGGGAATCAACAACACACTTACTCTCATAATATCGACGTCGGAAGTAACCAACTCTTTAGTCACGTCTATTAATGTTACAACCTAGAAAGGAAATTGACGAAACGTCGAGCCCGTTGCTGACCTTATCATCAGCCCGAAGAAGGATTTGTTTCTGATCCTCACAGAGGAGATCATATATAATTTCATTATAAAGTTCTACGAAGGAAACACTGATTTCAAAATGAAAAGTGCTCATCTGAAGCAGAAAAGTACAAAACGAATTTGTTTCCCGAGTAACTTCTCTTTTTTTCTTGTCCAGTAAATCCACCAATAGTTCGGCAGACCTAGGAACAATTCCCTTTTGTAAGTCATTATAAAGATAGGACAAGCTCCCGCTCTGACCCATCATTGTGTGGGTTTTTCCTGACCCAGTTTGTCCTACAACTCGATATTAACATGGAGAAAACCAACTTCAACAACCGTAAGCAAATATCGTGCCATTATAACCATCTACACAGCTTTCAACTATTCGTTTACCGACACAATTAAACACATCAACCTCGAAAGGAACGTAATGAAATCATAAGAGATAGAGCCTACCTGGGAGCAATCCTCAGATAAGACGCCATCATAGGCGAATGAGTTAACGTTTGTTAGTGTTTTCACCCTGGAAAACGGAAAAGCATGCAAATGAAGGTAAAGCACTTACTCAAGGCAATTCCCATTGACAACAAGTACTTTTGTGTCTGCGTCGGATGGTTTAATCCTAGTATATACTCTGATATACTCAGTGGCCATCTAAATTTTGAAATTTTAATTATATACATCATTAGAATATAGCTTGAATTAAGTAGAAGGATCATTCAATATATTCTAAGAAGCATCCATTTCAAACGGGAAATTCGTCCATACAGGCAAGAAAGAAGGCATTGTCGTTTCGCGCCAATAGATCATTTTTGAAATCGTGGGTGCTGTTCGAAAGTCGTCGAAGCCTTTACGGCCTTCATTATAATAAGTATAAAGAGAATATTCATTCATCGGTTAAAGTCATGTTTCACAGATATTTACATACACGGAGAAAAACATCTGAAGAATATCAGATCATTAGTTTATCTTTGATGTCAACGTCTTCATCGATTATTTTGAAATCACCCAGAGCCTCATCGCAGATGTAGACATTCGTCTGAGGATGACACAAGTAGATACAACCATTGGATATCTTAAGTTCCTGGCCAATTCCCACAACTTGGTTATCAACCAGACAACCTGAAGAGGTATTAGTTAGTGTTTTTCGATATCATATCTTACCTCTTTTGATCACATGATTGTAGCTGCAATACATTTCTGCTGATCGTTTTGTGTCGTTCCATTTGGAGTCATGAGGGAACTGTCTACCATCTACTTCACAGGATAAACCTGAACTCATCTATTGCTTCAAATTTCACTCAGCGTTTTCCAACTTTCTAATTCAGCCCGTTCAATAGAGACCTGTCCCAGCTCATTTTCAACGCATTTAATGAATGTTCCGTTGTATTCAGCGAATTCACCAATACGAAGTCCTAACCTATCGACAACGCATCCAATAACATGACTCTCATAATAGCTGAAATGAGGTCTGAAGCATTGCATCAAACGTCCAGACAAAGTGACATCAGACATATCGGATGACTGAAGATACTTTAGGATAAGATTCTCTCAAATCACCATACTGTTAATTGTTTCAATCTGAATTCTTTGACGATAGGTTCTACCCACTGCTGGTCTTCTCCATAAATGCTCTCGTTGAAATAACATCCAGCGGCTAGAATTTTGATTATAATCTCACTCCGTTAGTACCATACCTCTCTCAACAACTTTCTTTAGAGCTCCACCGAAGATGTTACAGTGCATCACTGCGGTTCCGTTACTGAGCTTCCTAGTCTCACCAATTCCCATTTGACTTCCGTAGGCATCAACGCAAGCTTAAAAATGTTTTTTAATTGACGATAGCAAAGCTACAGTACCGATGGCTTCATAGTTGAGGACTCCATCTTCTCCTTCAGCACAGGCGAACACGAAGTCGTGTCCTCTGAACTGCTCACCCGAAGCCAAGACAGCGCCATCTTCGGTATTGGAAGGGACACATCCTAAAAGTATCAGATATAAACTGATTTCGATTAAAAAATAACCGATAGGAGTAATTTTCGCCCTCTTTCCTTCAAATGTGTATTCGAACTTAATGAAGTTCTGAACCCATTTCTTCTTCAAGACATAAGGAGCTGTGAAGTTGCGATCGAAAATGGATGCGACGCATGAATGGAGAATAATAAAGAAACAGAATGCTTTAGGAATCATTAACGACAATTTACTTGAACGGTCGTTTCGGTATGAGTATATATAGTGACCGCACATGGAGTTCATATTGTTTAAGTCCATGTTTGGGCAGCTTGATTGTATACAATGTGCTTTTCATCCTATTTATCGGTTATGAATGAAGATATTTCTATAGAACCTCTTTATTCGCTAAATACTAATCTATACAAACTATTGTTTTTTAATTTCTGATCAACATGAACAAAAACATTCCTCCGAAAGAAAATCCTAATAATCCCAATAAGTATTTTCGTTGTTCAGCTTGTTCTTTAGCACGTTTTTCCTGAATCATCTTTTCGAAGGTCGGCATAGGATATTTAGATTGTAGGCGCTCCTAAATATAGCTTTCATCACGTTTCCGTTACTCGGTATACCTTTTCCCTCTCAATTTCCCTTTCCAGCTCTTCTTGTTCCCTCCTCCTAGCTCGACTGTCTTTGTACATACTTGATTCTTTAGCTGTTTTCTCCTCGAATTCACTTCTATACACTCTTTCTCTGCCACCAAATTCAGTATAAAACTCTTTTGGCATCTCGAAATGTGAATGGAACTGTCGACGTCTCCTATGAAAAGACAATTTCCTTGTATAAGAGAGGAGCTGACAAACCTAGTGCTTTGTTGGAATTGCTCGAAAGTTTTGTAATCGATATCAATGTCAGTATATTCTTTCCGATTTTGTTGAGATCGCCTCTGGTGGAATGCACTGAAACAAAACCATTTAAGATCTCTGTTGAAGTTACTCAAACCCTGTATCTACTGTCCTCCTTATTCTAGTCATGTCATAAACTTTCCTCTGGTCTTCGGATCCCAAAACTTCATAGGCTTTAGCTACCTGAACTCGTTTGCTAATCATAGTTAGCTCGGTAGTTTCACCTCATGGAATTTCTTGGTAGAGTCTTGATCAGCCGTACGATTAGTGTCAGGATGGTGAAGCTTTGACAGTTTATAATAAGCACTTTTGATATCCTATCAAACAAGTATTGAGATGAGAAGATCTCGGGAAAAAAACTTTAGCTGTTGCCTCTGGCTTCAATCCTAATACAGCATAATGATCAACATTAGCATTTGAACTATAAAACGTATAAATGGGAGATCGTGTGGTTGCAGTGCGAAGAAGTCTAGACATTTGGAAACATAGGATTCTCTTCAAATAACATTCTCATTAGGCTAACGAAGGGAGTAAAGATATCCGTCGAACTTTACGTTTGTTATTTCGATGAAGAACACATATACAGAAAAAAAATTTATTTTAAAAAGAAATTATGCGTAAACTTCAAGACAATCGTCGTTCTCCATGTCAAGCTCTTCAGGCGTTTCATCATCATGCACCTGAAAAGCAATGAAGTTATTGACACTGTCTACTACGCTATGAACCTGAGCCGAATCGAATACCAGCTTCGTGATGACTGCTAATTTGAGTTTTTCTTGAATCAATGTCTTGATTGATGAGAATTTAGAACTCTGGAAAATGCATATACCCCTTGCCTGATAGAGAGAACTAACCTTGGAGAACTCTATTTCTACAGGCCTTTTATCAGCTTGTAAGCATTTAACCGTAATTTTGTTAGGATCTTTCTTCTTTTCTAATCCTACTCGGAAAACATTGATAAGTTGGACCTATAATCACCCAGAGTATCAAGTATAGTTGGGACCTAGTCTTACTTCATTTGGCATTTTCAAGCTAACAGGAGTATCGGAATCTTGTAAAGGCAAGTTTTTACATGTAATTACAACTTCTTTTATGTTACAACCCCATTTAACAGAGTACTCTCGCCGGAGCAGCGAAATTGGATCATTCTGAAATCGTGTACTTAGTTTGTTCTATTATAAGAGAAATACCATCTTCCAAGAACGATAATCTGATGCTTCCGAAGGAGTTTCCAAGTTTTTTATCAAAAAATGTACACAGTCGTCTTCTTCCTGAACAATTCATTAGAAAGAGGTTAATTATAATGGAACATACTTCAACAACCGGTACTTCAGTAATGTACCGATTTGAAGTGTCGACCTTGCAGGTGTGAGTACAAGCTTTCACTTGAGCATCTAGTGATTCTAATAGTCTGAATGAATATGAATATAAATGATTAGACCCCTCTTCGAGCTTACTGTAATTGCGAGGCAATTTCAATTTCTTTGTGAGTTGGAGTTAATCTTCGTGCTGCTCGAGTCCGTCCCGCAACTTAAAGAATATGTTTTCGGAAAAATTTATCATGCCTTACTGCTTGTTTGAATCGGGTTTTTAGAAACTTTCTCAGCAATTGCTTTTGCTCTTGCATTAGCTTCATATATTTTCGATTTGGCCTCTAACTGAAATCCAGAAACCGTTATGATGAAAGCAACAAGTCTTACAATTTGCTGAATATTTTGAGATTCATATGAAACTTCGTCGTCATCAGTATCTTCATCAATTACAACCTCTTTACTTCTCTTCTGAACCGGCTCTGAAATTGAATTAAAAATGAGAAAACCGTAAGAAATTTAACCTGAGATGATTGCATCGGTGTACTTGGAGAATGAGTCGTCACCCGTTGCATCGTCATTAATACCAAATCCATTAGTAACTTTCCTCTTCATAGTTTTAGTTAGATTTTGGTAAAAATCATCATCACTAGACGAATCGTCGAGAGCGTCAATTGCCTACAATAACCGGGAATAGGAGTGTTGCGAGCACAAGAGCAACTTACACTCATAACTTCATTCAAATGTATATGTTATAAGCTATCAAAGGTTACTTCAAGGTGAAGTCTGAATAAAGAAATTGATTGGGGATTCAGAAAAACAAAATTTGTGAATAAATAGCAATCAAACAACATTCAATTTCTCAACCTGAGAATCTCGATTAGACACTTCTCGAGTATTGTTTGTGATTACTAAATACATGCATCTTGACAACTCATAAGTAGAAAACTCACTTACAGTTTCAGAAACTTGATTGGTACAATCCTAGTATTTTCGAGTAAATCCAGCCTCTACAGCTGAGACTAATTATAATGTAACGCTAAGCTCTCTCAGTGCCGCATCATGAATTTTAGGATTACGGTATCTGGTTTTAACAAAAGAAACTTATGATGGAAGACATTTTTTATCCTTCACTAATTTGAATATATTTAATCTCTTATCTTCTTTATATATTTTCTCGAAAACATTTAAATATTCAGATGGTCGGTGCTAATAAGAAGAAAGGTGCTAAACCTAAAACGAAGGTTAAGAAGGTTCCCAAACAAAATCCGTTTGAGTTGAAGTTCAACAAACTGAAATTTAATGTTCGTCTGTTCTGTCTAAATCTCATTATTGAATACTTTTATAGGTATTGGGAAAGAAAATCGGTAAGCATGAGCACGGAAACATCAGCGTTAACAGGAAGAAAGCTTATGAAACGCGTGAAGAGACTTTGGGAGTCGAGATGAAGACTTTCAGAAAAGCGAATAAGGTAGATCTGACATTCACTCTATTGTTTCACCATATCCTTACAGTTAATCGATAAGCGTGTCGGCCAGAAAGATTTGAATAAAACTGAAGAGGAGAAAGATTCCATGAGGTTTAGTTTTTCGAATCTAATAACTCAACTACCACGGCTCGCCATCTTTGAGAGAAATCATTTTTGATTCCGATGCATCTGAGACCCGGTTGTGCTCTATCATCTCAATCTCGGTTACTCTGAGATATACTCATTTTCCTTTTTCAGGTTCGCGATGGAGCGAATGAGGAACTTCAAAGAAGCTAGTAAATATAATCTCGCAGATGATGAAGAAAGTATTAATTATTGCTCCAGTTTTCTAAATTTCTTTTTTCTTTAAGTGACTCTTACGCACGGCGGTAGTGCTTTAACAGATATTCAGAGATATGATAGAGTAGCCCGGGATGAAGACGATGAAGATGCTGGGTACTTAGCAGCCGATTTGGTATCGTACCCAATCATGTTTTCTATGTCATAGTAATGCAATTTCAGGTTAGAGATGCTCACTTCGGAGGAGGGGAAGAGAATGCCCATAGATCTAGGTATACTTCCATTGCTTTCCATTAGAAAGAAAATGTCCGTCGTTCAGAAAAGATGCAGTGAATGAGTTGATTGCAAAAACCAAGCAATCCCGACAAGAGAAGTTATTGGCCAAAGATGAACTGGTCAGATGATCTCAGTTTTCTCAAAATATCTCCAGTATTTAGGAAGCTTTAACTGAAAGTGTGGATCAGAAATTCAAAAACCTTCTGTCAAAGGTTTCAGGATCATTCAGAACGAACACGAAGAATGATCCTAAAGATGATGATGACTACGATAAATTAGTGAGTTTCTACATTTTCATAGATTATCATTATTCTTAAATCAGGCATTTTCCTTGAAAACCGAGGCTGATAACAGAGCAACACCTTCTAATCGTTTGAAAAACGAAAATGAGCTTGCTGCTGAAGAAGTGGACCGTTTGAAACAGATGGAAAAAGAACGTTTAGCCAGACAGAACGGATCGGTTCGTGATAGGTTAATTATGGAAATTATATCTTAATCATAGAACACCAAAAATACACATTTGTCTGCCGATATGGATATTAAGGGGTTAACGGAACCCATAAAGAAAAAGAAAGGAGATTTTGAAGTTAAATTCGACATGAAAGGATCATTAATGAATGAAGATAAAGTACGTGGTTACGTTCAATACTTTTTCACACTCAATCACTTAAGGTTCAAAGAGCTTCTATCAAAAAGGTAGCGTTAGATTCAGATGATGAGCTATCTGAAGATGAAGACGAAGATGAGGAAGAAATGGAGGAGTTAGATGACATGATCAATGATGGAGAAGAAGGGGAAAGCGGTGAAGAGGAGGTTGCGTTAGATTCAGATGATGTGCTATCTGGAGAGGAGGATGAAGATGGAGAAGACGGTAAAGCTAGTTGTTCAACTCTCGAACGCATGTTGTTTAAGGTTCTGAAAGTGGTGAAATGTCAGTGGATGGAAACGATAATGGTAGTTCAAGTTAATTTCAAATATCTTTTTAATGGATACATTTCCAGAAGCAGTTGATAAGGCTCTTTATGACTCAATTCCTTTCGTTTTTGAAATGCCAAAGAATTATAAAGAATATGTAGAGCTGTTGAAAGCTTATTCTAGTCCAGCAGAAATCAAACTAGTACATGAAAGGTTGCTAAGCATGTTATTTACTAACATTCACATGGAATGTTTCCAGATTAATAAAATGTCATCACCCAGGCTTGAAGCAGGGTAACAAGAAACTTCTTTCCAAGCTTTTCCTCTTCGTTCTGAGATATTTCGATGATATGGCCGTCAAGAAGAGAGTGGAAAGTAAAAGAGTTACTTTGATTGGGATGCTAATACCTATTCTCTTCAAGCTTATGAAGGTATCTTTGTAACTGTGCTCATTCAATTAACAATGATTTTCTTAGTATGATCTTGAATACAGTGTTCGTTGTATCCGTGCTATGATCAATCAGCATTGGAGAATGCGAAGAGAAAAAGATAAAGGAGGAGCACCAAGTTTCGGAGTTATTGCTTTAATGAGGTATATTTGGTATTTGATCTACAATTATAATATTTTTCAGATTGGTCTCTGCTCTTTATCCAATGAGTGATAAATGGCATCCTGCATGCACACCTGCACTCTTGTTAGCGTCTGTAACTATCTCATCAGCCATGATCACTTCTCTTTCGGTGTTAGCGAGACAAGTTCTTTTAGTTACATTTATGGGTGATGCGGTGGAAGAGAGTAAACGGTATAGAAGCTTTTCGAAGCCTATAATGGTATTTTTCCTTAGAATTTTCCCTGAAGCCATGGCTTTCCTACATGGCGCATTACTTATGGCAGTTGATCACAGCGATGACCCAATACGATTCCATTCCAATGTTTTCCCTGTTTCACAACCACATACACAAATGTTACATGTTTCTGAAGTACGTACGATGTCTAATTCCCGTATTCAAAGCTGAATTCTAGGCTCTTGACAAAAATACTGAGGTTACACGGCTTACCCTCGAGGAGATTTACGATGACAATAATCTGCTAGAAGACAGCAATTTGAACAAATGCCGTGTTCTCAGAACTGTAATCGGAGCTTTGCAGAAATTTAGACTACTTTATGCAATTCACGAGCACTCATTTACAGCTCTCTTCAGGTAGGAGTTCGTAATTGACTCTTAACTAACCAAATTTTAGTCCCTTTGTTGCTCTTCTAAAGAGAATACCGAATGATAATCTACCCACATCTGTGTCAGAGGAAATTGAAATGCTAATCCGCTCTATGGAAGCCGAATGTAAATCTCGCAGCAGGCTCACCCAGCTGTCCCAGGTCAAAACAGAGAAGAGGTATAATACAAACCGGATTGGCTAAATTTCATAATATAACTGTAGTATGCTCCAAATGCTCGAACCCATGTACGAATGGTCCTTCGATCCTGAACGTCCAAAGAGAGAACAAAGACTTGGAGAGAACAGTAAGCTCCAACATGTCTACAAGAGAGAAATGCGTGGAGCTATGAAAGAATTAAGAAAAGACGCTGTATACATCGGCCGGTTCGCTTCAGCTATAATTCTCTTGCACGATGTGTAATGTTTCAGAAAACAAAAGCACGATATTATGGAAAGAGACAAGGACCGCCGTGAAAAAACAAAACGACTCATGCATGGTTTGGATACCCAGCAAGCGGAATGGAGACAGGAAAAATACGAAAATGGCCCGAAAAGGAAGAGAAAGTAATCCTTCCTGCTACCCTTTATTACTTGTTATGGATTTGTTATTTCGCATCTATCTGTTATTGTTGTTACTTTTTGCACCTCGTTGTTATAAACTTTTTAAACCACTGCATTTTGAAATTTTAAACGAGAACCTATCATTTGTTCAGATGAGCAACAATGATAGCAACTGATAAGATTTCATCCTCGAGTCATACGAATGGCTAGGTTTATATACTTTTAATTGTTGCCGATGCATTCTCATCGCCTCGTTTTAGTTTCTATAAAATTCAAAAATTTTATCTCTCGCCACAAATTATGAGATATGTACTTCAATCTTGATCTATTGATTCTCTTCGTTTTTTTCAAATTTCTCTTCGCGAACGCTGAAAACGATGGACTAGAACGATAATTTGATTTTCGCGCCCCAGCACATAGCGCCCTGCTTTGCCTGAGTATCCTATGCACTCATGCTAGCCAATAACCCCGCCCACAACCAAATCAGCAGCATCCATTTAGTTCTATTAAATAGCGTTTCATGTTTAGTTTAGAGGTGGAGATTTAATTTTTATTTGTAATTTTTTACAGCGCTTGGAATAGATTAAAGTTCCAAAATGAGCGTTGCTACCGATACGAAATCCGCAGTTAATACTGAAGACAATTGGAAAGCCAATCTTAACATCCCTGACAAGGATAGACGCTTCAAGACCGCTGTATGTTTTTTGTTTTCAATAATTTTTTAATTATTATATTTGAAGGATGTCACCGATACTAAAGGAGTCGAGTTTGAAGATTTCTGCTTGAGCCGTGACTTGTTGATGGGAATCTTCGAGAAAGGATGGGAAAAACCTAGTCCAATTCAAGAAGCTTCCATCGGAGTTGCTCTCTCTGGTTCGTAGTTTATTGAATTATTGGTATGTAAAAATTATGTTTCAGGTCAAGATATCTTGGCTCGTGCCAAGAACGGAACTGGAAAGACTGGAGCATATTGTATCCCTGTTATCGAAAAGATTGAACCTTCCCTTAATAAGATCCAAGCTTTGATCATCGTCCCAACTAGAGAACTCGCCCTTCAAACATCTCAAATCTGCATTGAGCTTTCCAAGCATCTTAAGCTTAAGGTACTATTCTAACTAAAACATATATATAACTATCACTCTTAGATCATGGTCACTACTGGAGGAACTGATCTCCGTGATGATATCATGCGTTTGAATGGACCTGTTCATCTCGTCATTGCTACCCCTGGTAGAATCTTAGATTTGATGGAGAAGAGCGTTGCTGATGTCACCAAATGCAAGACATTGGTTCTTGACGAAGCTGACAAATTGCTTTCGCAAGACTTCCAGGTAAATTAAACACGCAACAATCAATATTACTGCTTTCTTTCTTAGGGTATCCTTGATCGTATGATCTCTTTCCTTCCAAAGGAGCGTCAAATCATGCTTTATTCTGCTACTTTCCCCATGACTGTAACTGAGTTCATGAAGAAGCACATGAGAAAGCCTTACGAGATCAACCTGATGGAGGTAAAAAATTAATTCCAATATTATTTTACGTCTTATCGTGCAGGAACTCACTCTCATCGGAGTCACCCAATACTACGCTTACGTCCAGGAGAAACAGAAAGTTCACTGTCTCAACACCTTGTTCAGAAAGGTCTGTTTTCGAATACTTTTGAATCACTAATGTTATTTTTTGTAGCTCCAAATCAATCAATCTATCATCTTCTGTAACTCTACTCAAAGAGTAGAGCTTCTTGCTAAGAAAATTACCGAGATAGGATACTCCTGCTATTATATCCATTCCAAGATGGCTCAAAATCATCGTAACCGTGTTTTCCACGATTTCCGTCAAGGAAACTGCCGTAACCTTGTTTGTTCTGATTTGCTCACTAGAGGTAAGAAATGTTGATTCAGGCTCCTTACTGATACATGAGTTATAGGTATTGATATTCAAGCCGTTAATGTTGTTATCAACTTCGATTTCCCAAGAAACGCTGAAACTTATCTTCACAGAATTGGACGGTTTGTTATTTGTGTTTGTAACTCCTCTCATTCATCATTTTCAGTTCTGGACGTTTCGGTCATTTGGGAGTTGCTATCAATCTCATCACTTATGAAGACCGTCACACTCTTCGCCGTATCGAGCAAGAGCTCCGTACTCGTATCGAGCCTATTCCAAAGTCCGTCGATCCCAAGCTATACGTTGCCGATCATCAACTGGTCGATGATGACGATGTCAAGATGCCTTAAATCAATTGTGAGTCTACATAATGTATCATCAGAAGTTTAAGCATTATTTTTCAGAAATGTTTAGAAAGCCGGCAAAGATCTCAATTTTGTCATGTAGCCGGCCTGAAACCGTTTATTGTAATGATTAATTAATTTTATAGACCAGTTTTTATCCGCATTTCCCTCGAAAAATCTTATTGGCATGTTTCTATTTTAGATATCTAGAAGTTTGTCTTTTGTATATTGTGTACGCTCTTCCGAAGTCTCTAGAAATAACGAGAGCGTAGATCATAGTGGTGCATGCCCACTATTATTGTTTTTACGGGCTTTTACACGTGTAGTCAAAGAAAGGTGTTTCGTTGACTAGTCCTTCTAGTATCAAACTAGTAGGGATCTTGATTTTATCAGGTTTACTACCATCGCAGCGGTTTTTTAAACTAATGCTAGCAGTGAGAAATTCGTTTTGAGCTGATTGCATCGTTATTTTCCGTTGAGGCAGTTTCCTACCCAACTTGTCATGTTCAACCCTGTGTAATTAAGTTCATGTAAAAATGATTGTCCCTTCCCAACTCGGTTTGCCTTACCGGCATAATAATAAGGGTCTTTTTTTTCCGGACCCGCGGTCGCGTTTTGGCTGGCCATGTGTCTTGCCCCTCGCGTGCTCCGCATTTTCCCTGTTTTCATTTGTTGTTGTTCTGCAAGTTGTATTTTCTGCCGTGAATCTTATTCAATGAATATCGATTCAAAAGTCTTCTCTTTGATAATAAGTTACTCTCTTGCATACCTACAGTTCGAAACTAGAACAATTATTCTTGTGTTAAGATGTCAACTAGAAGTATGAGTGGAAACAGGAGATCGGAAAGGAAACGCAGAGGTGCTGCTGCGGGTGACAATGTGATTTTCAATTTTTTCTTGGTCTCTTCAACGTAGTGGTGTTCAGAATATGGACTTTGAAAGTCCAACAAAAAAAGGAAGTTCGGAAGCGTCAGATGAAAGTCCACCTAAAAAAGCGCACGGAATAACAGATGAAACTCCGTCGAAAGCTTTGGCGAAGGGTCTCGCATCACTTGATGTAAATTCAAGAGATTAATTCCTTACCTCATATTTCATTGAATTGCAGATGAATAGTTCTTCGAAAAAAAAGAATATTTTAACACGAAAACAGGTTGGTTGCGAATTGAGATCTGGAATGATCTGTAGTTTTTAAGAGAAACACCCGTCAAGCATCAGGAGATGAAAATGTGAATCCGATTCTGCCGAACATTCCCGAAGAAGTAGATTCTCTCTCTTATTTTATCAGTACTTTTCAATCCTTGTAGGTCAGTAGCACTCCGGAAAAGCCAAAAAAGACGACGAAAAAAAAAGGACAAGACCTGTTCTCAGCGAAGTTGTATAGCATTGAAATTAGTAAACGAGCGTTTCGTCTAGGGCTTCCGCTACGGGAGATGTTCTTCCTGATCCTGAAGCTGCCATAAAGGCAATGAGGAAACTACGTGTGAAACCGGTATCATAGCAGATTGTAATGCTCTAGATATGTTCCGTTCCAGATTAAGATAAAGCTGACGGCTGGTGTTGCCGATAAGTGCGAATACAAGATTATTGACGCTCATCCAACCCCCTATAGAGCTGAGCTTGCCGAGTACTCTGATGAGGATAGCACTAAGACAACCGAGTCAGTCGTACTATTATAGTAATAAAGCTTAATGTTTCTTTTGCAGACGTTCAAGACGGGGTCGAAAGAATGTGCAGAAACCTACTAAGGTACTTATGAAGCGTTGAACTTATTAACAGGTTTTATATGCAGACCAAAGAGAAGAGTGCTACCTTGTTTGATTTGAGAAATCTACTTCATACTTCTGAAGTTCCTGAGAGAATGCCGTGCAGAGAGAACGAATTTCAACAAATTCATAGCTTCTTGAGTCATGCCGTATCTCCTGTGAGTGAACTTCTTTCGTCCAATTCTGACCAGCATTTAGAAAGGCACAAGTCAAGTTATGTACATAAGTGGTGTGCCTGGTACAGGTAAAACTGCCTCAACCATGGCAGTAATGAGGAAAATGGTTTCTGAAGGAAAAAAGTTCATCTCAGTTTATGTAAATGCAATGGAGCTCATGGAGCCAAAACTATTATATGTACAGGTTTATAATGGGTACGTTCTAACATGTTTGGAGAGAAGCCAGTTCGAATCTTTTCCAGAATTACTAAAAATACTAAAAAGATATCACCTAGCGTAGCTAGTAATAAACTCAATGCCATGTTCCAAGTATCTGATAAGAAAAGATTACCTATCGTTTTATTAGTTGATGAATTGGATCAACTCGTTACTAAGAAGCAAGAAGTGAGTCTCATAATCATTTACATTATCATTATGTGCTGCTTAGATTGTATATGAAGTCTTCAACTGGACTACTCTTGACGAAGCAAGAATAACTGTAATTGCGATCGCGAACACATTAGACTTCCCTGAGAGAATGTTAAGTCATAGGATTAATAGCAGAATGGTTTTGTCAAATTTCAAGGCGACCCGTTCATGAATGTCGTTTTCCAGGGAGCTAATCGTATGCTTTTCCAACCCTATTCTTTTGATCAAATTTCACAAATTATCCGTGATCGTCTGTCTATTTTCCCAGATGATGTCGTTGCTCCTGAAGCCGTCCAACTAGCGTCCCAAAAGGTTTTTAGTTCTCGTTGTCATCATCAAAAAAGCATCTGTTTATAGATAGCTGCTGTCAGTGGTGATCTTAGAAAAGCCATGGATATTCTTCGAAGAGCTACTGAAATTGCTATGGAGAAAGCTTCAACCAAAGTTGAGATATCCCACGTATGTAGAGTCTTCCGTATGAAGTTTAATGGATTATTTTGAGGTGTTGGATGCTTGTAAAGAAGCTGCCTCAACCGTTAGAGTTGGCTTAGTCTCTAATCTATCTAGACATGCATTGCTTATCTTTAAATGCGTCGTTAATAAGGTGGCGTTCGCTTGAAAAAAGAAAAATGTGTAATGTTCTAATCCTTTCAGTTAGGAATCACTGGACTCGACGAGGTCGTTTTCTACGATTTGTATAAAGAATATTGCACAATGTGCCGTAGCTTGGAGAGCATAGAAGCGTTCCATAGTGTTGGAGTCCATTCGATTGTAATGCGGATGTGCAGGTTTGAGTGAAAAAATGGAAGGATGTGTATCTTATTCTGTTGTAGCAATCGACTTCTTCTTGCATCACCGGGAACAAATATGATGAGACGAAGAATTAGTCTGGGGATGGATTCTAGGGAAGCTCAATTTGCTATCAAACAGGCTGATGATATGATCAAAAATGGACTTATCACTTACAAGTGCTGATATAATTGTAATTGTTGTATATATACGTATATGGACATATCTGTTTTAACTCGGTATAACTTATTCACTTTCACTTGCTCACCTTGCCAGAATATCGTTTTTTGAATACGTGGTACGCAGTATAAACATTTTCGCAGTCTTCGGTCTTTTTTTTTTCTTATGGATCAAGTTTGATCTTTCATTACCTTTATCTCTAATGTCATCCATGTATAGTATTCTAATACGCATTGTCTCAGATGAGTAAAAGAGACGTTGTACTTGCTCCAAATGCCAAGCGTTTAAAAACAGATGAAACTCCCTTGGAGCGAAAGATTTTATATGTCGTCCTAGAAGGTTGTAGCTTGGAGACTGCTAAGGTTATCTCTCTCTTTCTGCTATTGTTATGCTTATTTAAAAGTTTCAGATAGGAAAGGAATACGTTATCCTATGCAGTGACAAGCATGCTAACTTTTTGAGGAAAAATAAGAAGGACCCCTCAGATTACAGACCTGACATTCTTCATCAAGTTCGTTTTCGCTTCTTTATTTATTAAACATATATTTTCAGTGTTTATTGAATCTTCTCGACAGTCCCTTGAACAGAGCAGGATTACTTCAAGTAATTCTTGGCCATCCAGTTATAGTACATATGCTATTTTAGGTTTATTTCCGAACACAAAAAAATGTTCTCGTGGAAGTTAACGCACAGTGCAGAATTCCAAGAACTTTCGACAGATTCTGTGGACTTATGGGTTTGTTTCCTTTCTGTGGAGTTCAGAGAATGAAGACTTGATCTGTTTCAGTTCAATTATTACATAAGCTATCTGTAAGAGCAGCTGAATCAAACACCAAACTTCTGAAAGTAATTCCATTTATACTAAGCGATTGCAATATTCATTCTTCAGGTCGTCCAAAATCCCGTTACCAATTATGTTCCCGTTGGATGCAGAAAGGTTTTGATGTCTTTCAATACAAACGAACTTGTTCAACCTAATAAACTCGTCGAAGCTGGCGTTGAGCAACCTTTACTTGTCGTTATTGGAGGTATTGCTAAAGGAAAGGTAGGAAACCTGAATTGATTCTTCTTGACTATATATCTTGATATTGCAGATTGTATGCGATTTCACAGAGGCTGATATCAAAATCAGTAACTATCCTTTGAGTGCTGCCCTTTGTTGTGCCAAAGTTACAAGTGGGCTAGAAGAAACTTGGGGAATCATCTAAAAATCTCGATAAACCAAAAAAAGAGTTCATTACTAATTCGGTCAAATGTCCTAATGCGTTTTGTAGGCTCACTGAGTCCGTTGTTACGAACAGTTGTTTAAAATAGAAATTTTCCTTGTTTTTGTTCTTGTTATCTTGTTAATAAACAATTGTTGTTGCAATTCGTTCTTATTAGATGCCTTTCATAGCGAATTCAATTTTCACTATCATGAAAGTACTTTAACGATTATTTTATTCATAGTCCGTTCTATGCGGACGATGAATATTGCGTTCTCGCAACATTCTAGGTCAATGCGTTTCCATAAAATTTCTTCCCGGCGTTAAAAATCCTGTTTAGGATTTCATATCTCTCTTCACTTTTACGTATTCAGCGTTATATGTTTTACCTCGTTTTGATTATCTACTAAAGAATCTTCTGTGCCAGCTGCCGCTGTTTCTTCGTTTGCTTCGGTACGCTATCCGATGTCCGAATAATAATGGAATAGCTGGTTTGTTCATAAAGAGTCTTGAAGCTTGATGTTGCTTGTCTTGTAATCTTAGAATAATTTTCAAATTCAAACTTCTCTAATGACTGAACTTTGCGCATATTGTGTCCTCAGCATTATACACATCATCACCTGAAATTCCTGCGTTGTCTTTTCATTCTCTTGTTTGCGGATGCGTGAGCGGTTGCTTTTTTTATCTTCTTGTTTCTCTCCCGCAAAGTAATTAAGATTGACTCAAAAACCTGAGCAGGGTGAGTCAGTTTGCGATTTTTTCCCTCTTGAGTTAATACATTGTTCAATGTTATGCTAAGACTGTCCCGAAATGGAAATTAAAGCCTTTCATTAAGCTATTCTAGATGTTCTAAACGTTCGAGAAATATTTACCCCTGAAACATTATACTAACTACATGGCTAATATGATCATAGCCGTTATATGCAACCGTAGAAGGGCATCTACCTCTCCCTCTTTTTCAATTTGTGGCTTATTCAACTAGTTCTCTTTGAAGGTGAAGGAGAAACATGCAAAAGTTTCAGTTTTCGGACACCTTTCACCTTCAAGCTCGAATCGTTCGCACTTCAAATTTCGCGGCTATTTTTACATGAGTACTGACAGTTTTACGACGATCTACGTTCATCCTATCATGGATTAACGATGGTCTCCTCGATAGCAGTTTTATTAACTTCTTTTGAATTATTTTGATTGACAAACCTTACTGTATGGAAGTTCATTCGCGAATTACTGTTCAGAAGAACGTTCATAGAACGAAATGAAAAAGTTGCGCATGAATCGGATTTTGTTTCCAACTTCTACATCGGAAGAATAAATGCGATTTTGAAGCGGATTCATTCGAAAACTTGGAATTAGATGTTTGGAGTTCGCACATTATACTTAGAAAAAGTTATTTTAAGAGAGTGTGAGAGAGAGAGCAAAGCTGGTGCTTTCACTATTTGAAACATTTTTTTTGTCTGATTTTTCAAGTGTTGATGATGTTTCATTGAAAAAAAGGGAAGCGCTATCGAGCAAACTATTAAATATAATAGAATTTGATCAGAAGAATGATTAGTGAACATCGAAATGAATGAAATGGATGAATAGATTGATGGCACAAGAAGAGAGGAGAGTCAGTGGCTAGTTATCGATCGGCAGAAAGACACAGAGAGAGTGTATGTGGGGAGGCGCAGTACGCACATACACAAACGACGAACAGACAGCCAGTACAGCAGTCAGTGAAAAACCTTTATTTTTCTATCTTTTAGCTGTGGATTCAGTAATCAGGTGTCATCTTCTCAGATAATGACAGCTTTTTAAATATAACATCATTTCTCATTTCCTTTTTGTTATCTTTAACTTTGTTTTTGTTTCTTTTTTTTTGTCTGTTGTTTCATTTGCCAGTTCAATAGCATGTCAGTTGCTTATCCATTGTTAGATTTCATAGTTTGTCAATTAAATTATGATTTGTGAGTTGTAATCATCAAAGTATCTGCCGAATGCGTCATCTAGCATTTCCTTTCATGTCGGTAAAGCCGTAAAAGATCTGAATGTCATTTAGAAAACGGTTTTTTGCAATCCTCACCCTCACCAAATCTTCTTTGATAATTCTGGTGCCAGCAGCATTTCGTTCAACTTGTCCTTTTGCATGTTACATTACATTTAAAGATGTCTTCCTTTCTGTTCCCTATCTCTCTCTCTCTCACTGACTTTCATTCCCTTTTCCTCTTTTTTGTTGTCTACTTAATGTCGTTTTGCTTGTCTTCCGTTTTTATCTAATCGCCTACCTTATTTGACATGCAGTTTTTCTTTCTCTTTTTTTCTGTGTCTCTTTCTCTTTCGGAATATTTTTATTCCTGAAATTCCGAACACCTAATGAAACATTTTTGATGCAAAATGCAACCGTTCATCATGTTTCATGAAAATCAAATGAATTTAATTGACTTTGACCACGTGGATTTGTATTCCTCGCCACGTGCGCATCTATCATAACGCTAAAACTCGTGTTCAACACTGCGAGAGAGCGAAAGATCGCTCTAAGAACATCACTATTAGAAGTTCATTCGAACCATTTTGGAACACTTTTGACACCTTTGCAACTCATTGTAACATCGTAAGCCGACATAATGACTCTAAGCATTTGTAATTTATTATTCATCTTCTAACAGCTTTTATCGTCTTCTTCCATCTCAATTGCATTGATCAAAAGCTTCATTTCCTGCAATTATTCTCCAGATTTCAAATATTTCATGCTTGAATAAATTAATTTTTTTGTTCTTTTCCTTCTCCTTTTTTCTTTACCAACAACTCGTTACCTCCATCTCACTTACCTGCTGCTGCTGGCTCATTCATGGCTATTGTGCTGCTGTCACTCTGTCAACGCGGCTCATCCGTATTGTTTCGGTAGCTTCTTCTGATTATTTAGTTCATCTTACCAATACTATATTGATTATATGAAAAGTTATTTTATAATTGACGGCATCTTCAATCACTAAACTTCATCGCAACTGCTTCATTTTATTGGCGGTAGTGGCCTTCTTTCTATAAATTAATTACATATGGGATGGACAAAGCCTCTGGTAGGCCGGGTGGTTCCATCAACACCTTTAAACAGTTGTATGTCGATTTGCCTTTCGCTATTGCCGAACAAAGACCATATTTTCTGTGCTTTTTCATAAAACACAAAAATCATTCAATTATCTTCTTGAAATGTATTGTCTTCACTCTCATTCCGGTGTTCAGTGGTTCTGCGTTCCTCCCAAACTCTGCTGATCAGCAGTCGTTTGATTGAAATTGCAAATTCTTCTCAAATTATGCAGTGAATCATCTTCATTTTTTGTTTCATTTTATTGTCTATTGTCTCAAGTTAAGCCTTTCATCCTCTTATATACCTTCCTCTCACTTCAATCTTCTCACCTCCATCCACCTCATTGTTCTTCCTCTCTCGTATAAAACTTGTGAAGAAAGATTTGGCTGCTTTCTGTATCCATCCGTTCGTATTCCAGACTACCGGAATCCATCAGTTGTTGATAGTAAAAGATTTTTTTTCCTTCTGTCTGTCCAATCGAAATAGTTCCTGTCCTTGTCTGACTTTTGTCTACAATTATAACCATTTTGCGCTTTCACAAGGCTGTTGATACAGCATCTGCCGGGCCGGATTTACTTATCTGAAACCAAAATCGGTAGCCCATATGCCTATTGAAGCGAGGTTAATTATTTGCTATAAAACGAATTTAGAAGAGAATTTGAGAAGATTGAGATGCCTTATATACTTTAATTAAGCTTTATTTCTTCTATAAAAATGTTATTTTTACACAAGGAAATGCTATTTGGATCTAGTTTTCAAACCTTCCCCCCCCCCCTTTTTGCAATTTCTTTCTGCAAATTACTGAACAGTACCATCTGATTTCAATGATCAGACAGTTTTCAGCTCGCAAACGACATAGGGCATCTGATAGAGAAAGAAAGAAAGAACGATAGAGAGAGAGAGTTTGAAATAGTTGCAAAAACAGTTTTTCTCTTATTTAAATCATTTTATGACTTAAATGAGTACAAGCAATTAGCAATGGAGCGCACTTTCAACTGAGTTTACAGAATTTCCAAAAATAACATTCGGTAAGATGCATTAGAACAATGTATTTCTTTGAGGATTTTCGTTCTTATCAAAAAAAAAAAGATGAAGTGACTGTTGATGTTAAGCAATTGTTTGTGTTTTAGTGTTTGTCAGCTCATTCAACTAGTTCCTTTTGCTCTTATCTGCTCTGCAAAAATTGAAGCAAAAATCTTATTTGATAGTGTCAACGAACAACTTGCGCGTGTGCATGTGTATCTGTGTGTGTGTGAAGTATGTGTTAAAAATAATTTTTTTTTGTTCCGAAAGAAAAAAACTTTCCTTTCTACTTCCTTTCTGTCCCTCTTTGTCCTTTTCGCTTCCAGTCCTTCCACATGAACTGTGATTGAACGACAATCAGTTGGTCATTTCATTTACATATTGTACCGTTGGAATGATTCCTAGCCACATCTGCATTTTAGGAAAATTAAAAAGGCACATGTCTCGACGAACTTCTTTCTTTAGTTCAATGTCCTTCCCTTTTTTCATCATATTTAACATCTTTTTTTTTCCGAATATTTCTATCATTCATTTTCTATACGAAGGACAAGTAAACCACATCCTTACCACATTCCTGCACACACCTCCCCTTCTTTGTCTTCTCATCCTCTTTGTGCCATCATATCCTTCTCTTCACAACCATTTTTCTAGCATTATGATTTTCCCTCTAGCTGCCATAGACCACCCAAAATGGCTTCATAAATATCGTAGTGGAGAAAATAAATTTTGCGTTTTTGTCACTTCGATCCGCCACCACTCACACTCCAAACTGTCCTCCATCTCGACAAGCTTTTGTTTCTTTGGAAGATTGAAATATGAGCAAAGTCATAATTTTTGAATATCTGAAAGCCAAGCATACTGGCACCTGGCTCCCATATTCAAGCCCACATACTGCGATGAGATATTTATGGCTAGCAAAATAGGTTTTTCCATATAAGCTCTCTTCGCTGTTGAGTAATTTCATTCGTTTTCAGATTAATCGAATGACATCAATAAATATCCTTTTATGAACAAAAAAAATGAAAGAAGATGAATGAAAGATGGAAAAAAAATTCTTTTTTGACCTCATATTGATCCGGCTTGGAAAGGTCGAAAAAAGTTCGGATGTTTGTTCTTTAGTAAACACACAAACTCTGAGCCTTTTCGAGTAATAAGACATCTCTCCTCTTCTTCTCCCTCCTACTCCCCTCTTCAACACACATTTTCTTAAAAGAACTATGCTTTGTCTGAACGGTATACTCTAAAGCACGCAAATGGTTCTACTATTCAGACATGTCTGATGGAGCGTTTTCGAATTGAATGATTTGAAAAAGAAAAAAGTTTGGCGAAAAAGCGAATGAAGAGCTTCATTTCTCGCAATCACTCTAACCTTTATAAAGACATCTTCATCCATCAATCTTCATTGTGTTTCATTCAATCTGTGTTTGTTTGTGTTATTCAAGAAATAAACAAACGAATGACCATTACATACTAAGTACTCATAATCAGTTATTGATTGAAATAACAGTCGAAGGAGAAATAACAAAAAAAAAAGAAATATGATCCTATAACTGTTCAGCCCAATCAATATGCTTTATATGGATAGATGTTAATTTATGACACAATCTTTGCCTTATTCTCTTTCATACTCTTATTTAGACTGTCGATTACGTCATCTGTCCTTATTAGCAAATACAATCTCCATTATATTCTATTTAGTGTTGTGTTTAGTTGTTTTTGAACAAGCACGCAAACATACACATCTTTTTTCTTTTTTTTATATTTCTATTTCAAAGCTTTTATATTCCAATTTGCTCTTTCTCTTTCTCTCTTTCTCATTACCTTTCTATCTCTATCCATCTCTTTGTCATCTCCTTCGCATCTCTCTATCATTATCCTCTTCGTCGTCGTCGTCGTTTTCGTTGTGGTCGTCGCCTTCATCGTCCTCATCGTTGTCGTCATCGGCGTCTGTTCATGAAAACTTTGTTGTATATCATATTGTTTTTGAGAAATTCATTCATATTCATTCGTTCCTTTTTCTTCCTTTTCTTTCAATTTTCTTTGCTTTCTTTCGTCTTCTCCTTCATCCTCTCTTCTTCCTTCCCCAAGATCTTTCTTGTCATTCTTATGTTCTCCTTCTTCGTCTTCTTCTTCTTCTTCTACATCTCTCCGCTTCAAATTCATAAGTAAGTCAGAATTTCTTTCATTTCACACCTTTTCTTCCTTCCTTTTTTTTTCATCCACTCACTTCCATTATATGGCCATACAAATGAAATTATTGATTATATTTCTTAGCACTTCCGCTCATTTCATTCTGTCAATTGTAATTTTTGAAAAATACCAAAATTCACTTTATGTCTTTGTCAGTTTTCTCGTTAGTTTTTGATTTCAAAAACATGTGATGGCTCACTTGAATGTTGTTGCTTGTTCATGTTTCTCACCGCACTTCACGTCTTCCCAGCTTTCACGTAACTTTCGCGCCAGTTTTACGTGGAATTTGAATGCGCGTCATTTTAATTTTTAAAAAAGCACAAGCTGGCTGTTCTTCAGAATCTTCAGCCTTCAAATGACTTTGGCGACTTCATTGAGGTGTTTCGTGTTTTATATTATTTGAACTCTCGATATTGTTCTTTCATTATTGTGTTACTATCATGTTTTTGTATTTCATTGTATGTATTTCAGATTTGCAACATTCTGTTGTTTTACTGATCACATGGATTTAACACTTTAACTATCCTTGATTAACCCAGAGTTACAAAAGTCTTTTTCTATTTACGGTTGTGGACACTTTCGAAATTCGTCTTGATTCTCAAGAGGTAACGGCTTTTTTCTTTTTTAATTTTTCGGCGTTGAATACTGAAAGATCGCCCTATAAGGCTCCGCCTAGTTTTTTTTCGCGCTAGTTAAAAGCATCTATAAGTGATTGGGTTTCTAAAAAGCTAATACGGAGCGTATTATAAGATTAGAGTTTTTTATATATTAAAATAATCTTTCTTGCGCTGTTATTGAAAATGTATGAGACAGGGAAACTGTTCAGGGTTCCTAATCACAGTATCAGAGATCATACCTGAAAAACGTCATTTCGGAAGCGATCTTCGAAAGTTTCGAAAGTTGTGTGTTACTACTATGTGAGAAACTATATTGTAAGAAGAAATATCGTTTCTCAGCTCTATATACGTAGTTTACTCGCGAAATTGAACTGTATTAATCCCTCAAGTCCATAGTGGCAGCGGTCTGAGGGCAGAGGTCTCATGGTGCCGGGAGCTGTCATTAGGCAATAAATAATCCTTGCATAGTTAGTAAACGTTCCGTTGAGTTTGATGATTTCAATGAGAAAACTCAACAGATTCTACCAGTTACTAACTGAATAACGAAAAACTAAACTAAGTGAGATTTAACTATAGAAATAACATCATTTTGTTTAGTTATTACGTCTAAAAGTGTCATAATAAGAGGAGAGTCATAAACTATAAGGACGAGATTACCATGTCCTTCTAAGACTCGAATCTTGTTTCTTGCTCCCAGTGATCGCAGTTCGAAAATTTGAGATTGCTACTTTGCCCATATATGTTTGACATTTCCAAACCATATTTGGATTTTTCTGACTTTTCTTTCATAACGTTCCATGCGGTTTAATATGGAAAATAGGAACTCGATTGTGAACTGCTGTGATGAGACTATTTGTCTTGTTGGTTCTCCTATTTTCACATGAGCAATATTCAATCATCTTGGCGAGTTTTCGATCCCCTCAGAAAGGTAACGGTGTATCTACTTGACTCAAATTGCATTGAGGCACCACAACTGTCAAATATCTCTATTTTAACCGGATTTCGAAGTCTTTTTTCGTCTCGTAATTTTCTTTAGACTGCCTTGGCTGGTTAAATTATATTGTATATAACCTATAGTAGAATTTACTACCTGTTCTTACTATTGAATTTCGTTTTCCCCGTAGAAACCTAATTGACTCTTAACGTCTATTATTTTCAAGTTTAGATGCGTTACTCAACATCTTCTTTACATTCATATTTCTGCAGCTTCCTCAATTACCCTCTTCTACTTACCTATCCCTCAAGTCTTTTTTTCTGTCATCAAGTTTTCATGTCTAGATCTATCCTTGCTTCTTTCATCTATAAGCTTCTCCGTCTTCTTGTTCTGAAAGCTCCTCTTCTATTCATCCCTCAATCAAGTTTAGACAGTAACTGTAGTGTTTTTGCCGCCGCAAACTGTTTGAATTGTTCATTCACACTCGTTCCGTCTGAACTGTAACCATCCAGCTTGTCAAGCAAGTGCCACATTGGCTAATTAATGAAGTTTGAAAATTCAAACTTTCCTCACTCTATAGCAAAAGATGACATTGCTGTATGTCGTTTCGCGGACTGTTCGTTTAAGCACATCCTGCAGATCGTAGTTTTTTTGCTTTGAAAATTGTTCAGCAAAGAACAACGAACTGCCTCATCTTAATGCTTCCGTTCCATAGACTTTGAGATTCGGTTAAACTGGGGTATACTGCTGGCAGTAAGCTCTGCAAAAAAACAATGCGAATATAGAGAATCAAACGTTGGGAAGAGAAATTAGAACTTTCTGTATCTCGATTATGCTGAAGCAGAGGCAAGCGAAAAGCAGGAATGCCTATTGAGTAGTAGACTTAAACTAGCCAGACAAAAAACTCTTCCTTGGCTCGAAGTGGAAACGAATGGGAACTTGCATATCTCACACGGTACCTGAATAGCGAAATATTTGAAGAGTTTTACGTTTTCTGATTTGACCTTGGGAAAAAAAACTTTGAGTCCATTTCTGCTGTACTTCAGCTAAACTTTCGCAATTTGTTCTGGACTGAAAATTTACAAACGTAAGCTTAGTAGAATTAGCGAACTAGAGGAACAACATATAGGCAGCCTCATAGTGCAACGTTTCAAATAGTTTACAGAAGACATGCCCTTCAGTCACACCTTGTCGCAATTCAAGTGGCGTCTTATGCTTCTCGTATTGTTAATGAACCTTAACACTTTTTCTACGACAACAAAGATACGCAAAGTAATCACGTGCGCACAGTTAAATGGTTGGAGGCAAATAGGTGTGATCTTAAAAGGGGAAGCTGAACCTCTGAAATTACCTTTCTAAGAAAGTATTCTATACTTATACTTCTGCCGCGGATAAATTGTTAATCGACTAATTCAATCGTACAACGGTTAATAACCAACTAACGATTAATTTAGTCGAATAATTAGTTGAAAGCAACTATCTCAAATTTTCAAAATTAATATAAGAAATTTTGCCCAAGTATACCTTTCTTAAACATGTACGTAACGTTACGCAATTGAGCGCGATAGAATGGGCGGAGACTTATTCTCGAGTTTTTAAAAAAAACAGCGATTGATTTTTTATTGCCTGTTTCAGTTAACTGCTGCGAAAAGCAGCAAAACCGTTAGAAGCATGTCATCTCGTCTGCTTCTCGGGAACGGAGCTGGGCCAAACACAGTAAATTCTGAACAAATCCGAATAGAAGTTAATCGTTTTGAGGGAATACATCCAACTATTTATAATGTGAGTTGTGCTGGTTGATGCATGGAAAATATAAGAACATATATTGTTATAGTTATATGATATGATACAAGATCTTCCTGATAGTGTAGGAGATTTACGTGCACAAATTAGAGATCAACTGTTATTAGTAGAAGGTTAGTTTATTTTATTATGCAAAACATTGAAAAACATTATCGGGACTATTCGTATTTCTTACGTCGCTACGCATGTTACCATAGATTTTGATTTTCACGACATGCTATTAAAAGAGGAAATATTTCGTGATGCCATATGAACATCATCTGTCTCTTTGAGCTCTCGTAATGGACTTGCATCCATGTTAAGCTGTTTTTCCTCTCTTATAGTTTTATGAGAAAAATACTGATGTTAACTCGATTTTGTTGGGTTGTGTGTGTGTGTGCTTTTTCAATTCCATATTGTTCATTTAAACTGTAGAGGGATGGATGGCAAATAGTCTCTAGATGTTATCGCATCGGATAAAACCAATTATGGTCTTTGTGTGCAGTACCTCATATATTCATTTGATGGCCTTCGTGTAGAAATTAAAACTTGTTGAGGATGCTACAAACGCACTTGAGTTTATGGAATTCGGAATTCAAGTAAAACTTCCATAAAACTCATCTTCCTTCTTCCTTTTTTTTTCTCACCCACATTTTCGCTATTTTTCTGTTCTCGAATGAATTATATTGAAGACGAGTCTATTAGCATATTGAATATATATTGCCCCATTGATAGACCACCCAGTTTTGAACAAAAATAATTAGCATTTCTTATGGCGAGAAATCATATAGTTAAGTGGGGCGGAGCTTTTAATTGCCTTTTTTTGATATACGGTCTAGTGAATGTGTTGAAAAACGTCATTTTGAATTGTAACCAAAATCATATATTTTGGTGTAAGAGAGAGAGTGAGAGAGGGTCAGTTTGAGGTTTGTCTTAGTTCGCATAAGCTACTTCTCTGCTAAAATAAATCGGATTTTTTCTTCTTTCCTGCTTGTATTTTTCTCTTACAAAATATAGAGAAGAATTTTTGGTACAACTTTTTAGTCTTTTTTGCTCATCTCTACGAATTAACCGTTCAATCATAAGAGCAAGCTTCTTGTGTTTGAGCAACGACTTAAATACTGTGAATTTGCACATTTCTTTTGCGATAGCTTTAACATTCTCTTTGATTTTATGCCTTAGGGCTTGTTCCGACTTCTGCAAGCAGCCTTTCCGCTCACTCCTCTATTGTTATATGAGCTAGATAGTTGCTGTGCTTGTGTCTTTTGCACCATCTGGAGTGAGTTGATAGACCTGAAATAATTAATTGAATGAATGAAAAAAAGAGGATGTATTCTACTTTTGAATAAGTTTTATTGGTTTTATATAACTGTCTCAGATTACTGTTGATCCGTCTTTGTGATGCAATAATCTGTTGGCATTTCGGCCTTATCACGCTTTTTTTTCATTTTGCTTGACCTGCTATCGTGTTACTCAGTTTGTCCTGAAGTGACCTATTAAATGCTTTTGTTTATTCAATTTCTAATTATTATTTTTTCTTTTGACAGCCTTATGAGGACATTAAATGCAAATTTGCCATAGATGAACGGATAAAGAATAAAAGAATTGTATGAGAGTAATGATGTGCAAATCCGTGATTTACCTTCTCTTTCTCACACATCTCCTTGTTTCTTCATACACATGGTCTTTATTTCCATTTTTTTCAACATACACAGAATACTTTGCGGTGTATTAGCTATATAGACCAACTTTTCTTTTTTTCTTCTCACCTGACTCTTTTTTTCATTATTACCTTTGCATACTTCATTCATGTCTCATCTTATGAATATATATATACTTTGGCAGATACTGAATAGTTACTTGATTATTCATATAATATTTGATTATAATGTTTCGCTGCTCGCTCCTCATATTCATCCTTTCCATGTCACATCTTATGCATTTATGTTTTGATAGAACTTGATTGTTGTGTTTTATCCTCAATATTTTGGCCTCTTAATCATCTTCCATCAGTTTGCACCGGTCATCCTCAGACTGATAGTTCCATGTTAGAAAGATGATTTTTTTAACATATTAGCTTATATCCTGCATAATAACTAGTTTGTTTAGAAGCTTTTTTTTGTTTTACATCTGTCCTAATCAGCTTCTTCACATACTTTAATCCTGCTTTTCCGTCAGCCTGTCACTATTCGTCAGTTATAACGGAATCTGTCTGGTACATGTATTATTAAACCACATATAATTATTAATCTGCAATGGGTCAATCAGTAATCCATCTTTGACCTGTCTGCTTCTAATTCCCTGTTTCCTTCTCTCTTGTCACTCTTGTTATAATGTATTTTCTGCTTACAGTCCACCTGTTATGCTTTAGCTGTTGTCAATAAGCCGTACAGATTTAGTTACTTACATGACATCTTCTGTTTCTCAATTCTTTATGCAATTTTGAAATAATTTGGTATTGCTTGTGGACATTTTCAAATTGTGTTCATAGCTCTTTCATGCAGGCAGTCAACTCTCTTTAACACGATTTATCCTCGCTTAAAAGAGAAAAGTAAGTAGGCTGAAGAGGACCAGACAGTTTAAAATTGTAATTGCATGAAAATTAAACGAACCATTGAAATAGTTAAGACAGCTGCGCAGTTCCATTTACGTTTGAGTGCTGTAATATTAGAAGACAGTCAATGTTCCAAACAGCTATAAATGACACACATATATATGGTTAACTTGAAAGCAGCAGGTCCAGGTGTCGACAGTCGGAATGTCATTTGTGTGTAGTTTATCGCTACTGCTGTTCTTGCACAATGGCATAATATTCGGTCATGTCGTCTGTCCGACACCCATGTTTGACATATTCAATTGTCTGTCAAGCTAACATTAGATGAAATCTATATTAAATAGCATTATTATATATAACATTTGTGTATTTGATTAGATTGATGCTCTAGTTATATATATATATATATATATGTCTAACTATATATATATATATAACAGAATATGCAACCTGTTGTTTTTATGCATATTCAATTTGTGTTATGAGACAAGTCTTACAAGCTTCTTCTTCTCCTCAGCTTCAGCTTTATTTCTCCTGCTTTTGCTTCTTCTTCTTCATCTTCTACACAACTTTCGTTCTTAAATCTTCAAAATCTCCTGTTTCATCCTCATCCCTCTTCCTTGCTCTCTCTCACTTTCTTGTTTTCAAATATTTTTCGTTTCTCGATCATTTACAAACATGACCATTCTTTTGGTTACAAGATCAATGTGAATCTGTCCCTCTTCTCCTGATGACCAGACTGAGGAATTAAATTTCTTTAAGTCAGTTGTATTTCTTGTTCTTATTCTTCGTACGATTTCCGTATCGTTTCTTTAAATTGAACGATATGCATCAGAAAGTTTGTTTTCTTTCTATTAATTTGCATTCGATTCTCTTCTCATACTCTTTAAACAATATCGTTAGCATCTATTGAGTTTGAGCTCACATACAGGTGTGCCATTTGGCTCCTCTTCCTATACTCACTCATATCGTCTCATAAATAAACTGCCACCACTTGAAAGTTCCATATGCCACGTTTTTTGGGTATCATGCCTTTCATCTTACTTTCAATGTTTGTGATATGTAGAACATATTTTGATTGAGTGGCCAGCCTAGGTTGAAGCTATTTAGCCAAGTTGAACTGGATGCGGCCTTAGTCTCTTTCACAGCATCCTCTTCATCTCTTTAACTGTGCCGCATCACAAGTGGATTAGATAACCAACCGTTCTAGTTGCGGGTCATCTGGCTCAAGTTACGTTCTCGCCCTGTCTTGTTGCCTTTGTTGTTTTTGTTTCTGTTTAATTGAGCTCATAATATGTTATAGAGCTTCAACACTTGAGTAATTCAATTGATGCAAAGCTTTTGAAACTTGAATGAGCTTGTTCTCCTTCTTCATCTGTTCTCATCTCTATTCGATACATAAGCTGACAAAACATTATCTCACTTGTCTATCAGTCTTCTTGATTTGTCTTCTTCATTCATTCTTTTTTGAACCCATCAGTTTCCTTCAAGAGACACAAAAAAAACGTTTTTGAGGGAAGTTGAGTTAAGCTCATGTTTTGACTGTTGTTTGAAAGAAGCAAGTTCAAGCGAAACATTTGCCAATTTTCGTTTTTCCCTCTTCTCCTTCTCGTCTTGTTTTACTCGCCATCATCAGCTGGAGGAATGAAACCGAAGTAGCCAAAAGTGCTCTGGCAAATGATGATTGTTACCTACTAACTGACAAAGCAACTGTTTTTCAACCGTTAAACAAGGTTTTCATGCTTTCTCTATAGCTCTTTTAAAGTTTTAGTCCGCATTGATGGCGTTTACCATTTTTTCTTCTTCTTCTTCTTTCTGGCTTGCTCGGATTTCTAATTCTTCTTTTTTTTTCTTCTTCTTCTTCTTCTGTGTTTTATAGAAAAAGAAACAAGAAGAAAAAATTGACATTATTTTATTGTTTCTATACATCACATTATACCATATTCAATTTTTGTCTTCTACAATTCAGGCCATTCATTTATTGCATTTTTCTTTTCATTGTGTCAAGCAAGTAGCCTCTTTCTCTCTCTCTCTCTCTCTCTCTCTCTCTCTCTCTTTCTTGATCATATTCTATCGTTATGCCTCATAAGAATTTGTAGTTCAGACAGATATCTTTTAAGATTTTCCCTTACTTATAGCCATTGACAAATATCTTTAGTCTTCTTTCACTAATCTTTATATGACTTATGTAACATCTGTTACTTCTTTATACCTTTAATTATGCCTTTATAATCATATAAAACTCTTAGCGATTCTTGTCCATTGTGCCATAAAATGTCTCCATCTTTCCTTCACCTACAAACGAGACATCTTCTCCTCATCTTCTGAGTATAACTATGTGTGTGCATGTGTGGATGTGAGTGTCACGGTGTAAGTGAGGGTGTATGTCTGTGTCTGTATGTGGGAGTACTCTGTATCCTAGTATTTGGCACCAAAATGTCTAACGAATTTATGGACTTTCACAAAAACTTTTTTCACATTTGACTTTTCTCTATCTCCAACTTTGTCTGCATTATTTGAGCAACTTTATCTGATGACGATAGTGCTGTCAACTTCATTCGTCATTTTTGAAAATACAAATGTTTTCAAATATGCCGATTGTGACAGACAGCTTTGGCAAAACATTGTTCAAAATCGTATTTGATATATCGGATGGTTTATTACTCTGACAGTTACCATTCGCCCTTTTGAATAGTTTGAACTTTTTTTTTTTCTCAACTTTGCTCATTTAGCATATAATTGAGTTGCCTAATTAATCTGAAATGTATCATCAATAGGTTTATCCGCTTAGTCTTCTTCTTCTCATTTTCCTTCTGGCTTCAAATTGATCTAACTCACTACTCTGTCACCATTATCACAGTTGTGCGGCGCGCTTTCAATAATCGTAAATCAATGCTGCTTCTTTCATCTATAGATAGATATACGACTTTTGTAAATGTTGATGAAAACATTTTTATGAAAGTAATCATTCTAAACTTTTATCGGACAACAGTGTACTTCTTCGTTCTCTAAATGATTAAAGACAATCCACTCTACTTCTCATTTCCACTCTCCCTCTCTCTCTCTCACTCTCTCTCTCTCACTCTTAACCATTACTATTTATCACTCTTTCTCTCTCTACTCCTACCTCATTTATTACTCCTGAATGCATTTAAGTATGATAATGCTTAAAAGGACATATTTGGACGTCTCTTATTACCATAGTCTGTTATAAATTAAAACTATGAATATCTATCTTTATTCATACCATATGAAGTCTATATATACTATGCTAATGGATGTATGCTTATATATATGTTTTTGTACGATATAAGCTGACAATGATGTCTATCTATGTGTGTGTGTATGTGTGTGTGTGCACTTAGCATATTTTAGTGTAATATAGATAGATATTATAAAGCACTTTCGAACCATAAAAGTAGCGGCCGATACCCATTGATGAACATTTAAAGATTTTTACACTAAATGGTTGTTTATTCTAATTCTTAATGCGATTAAGACAGCTTTTTTTGCCCACCTATTCACATATATTATCTGCTTACAGAGATCTTGAAGACATTTTTCTTCTTCTCCCCCCTTCCATTCCCTCCTCCTTCTTCAGCCTCTTCTCCTTCCATTTTCTTCTTCTTCTCCATAGTTGTGAACTTTATAATGCTGTATTGTGCTTGAAAAACAGTTATTATCTGATTTGTATCGTACATCTTGTTCACTAATACTAATAGTTGTAGCCCCTTTGCGTTAGTTTCAAACACAACTACCATCTTAATTCATTCGCATAACGAGGAATGTAGATGAAGAACTATCTTTAGACTCACTAACTAGCTATCAATAGCCAGTCATCAATTGTTTCGAGTTGAAAAAGGAAGAAAAAAAAAGAAAAACATCATTCAAATCGTTTTCACATTTGAGTGTCTGCAAGAAACTATTCAACTCGAAATGATGTTCTCATCCTCATCATCATCAACTCCTTACTCTCTGTCTCCTAAATGAAAATTCAGTGAGGTATGAGGAAGAATATTTGAAAATTTTCTGTCTCTGCTCATCTTTCTAACATTCTCTAAATAGACTATTAAGTTGAAGTAATGATTGAAACAACTCATAACAGTCATTTGTCGGCTTTCAATGTAATTAATTGGCCTTGGTAGATTTGGGTGGTCTGACGACACACTGACGCCAGTAGCAAACTTCCTTTCTTTTTTAATTTCAATGTACCACACATTCATGTGATGAGATGAGACTGACAGTTACACCATAGACTTATACGCATAAGCAATTATGCTATGTGTCCTCTAGCTGAGGTACAGGCATCAGCCTGCTGCATGCAGATAGTTTGTTTCTATATATTCTATCATAATACTACTCGACTAGCTATTAACTATGCCATTAATTAGCTATTGTATTAGTAACTATTATATTTTTCATTAAGCTTTTTCGGCAATGTCCATTTCCTGATCCTTTTCTTCTATATTAGTTTCTCTTATAGTTCACCCTTTTAACATCTCTCTTTAATAGACAGATGGCAGTGTCACACCAGGGGGCAGGTTCAAACGAGATTGATGCTTAAGACACTAAAAAGCTCATGCCTTTTATGTAAATTCTTATTTATAGCATCTACCACCCTTGAAGTAAAAGCTTTTCTCTTTGATTTTTGTCTTCTGCTTGTATATCTTAGCTAGAGCAGTTAACAACTTCTTCACACTTTGAATCATCTCCTCCTACACTTTCTGTCTGCCTCCCACCCATCCCTATTTCCCTCTATAGTTCATATCATTCAATTACAATATATTGTTTTAATTAAATGAGTCATTGTTTTCATACATCTAATCGCTCACGTTCTTTTTAATACGACATTTGAACAGCAGAAGGGAGATTGGGAAAAATAAAAAAAATGAGATTTGTTTGATGAACTCATAGCTCATCATCAGCCTCTCTCATCAGTAGTATGTGTTGGATTTTTTGGAGATATGAGTTGCATCAGCTAGCTTTGATCAATCATGTTGATAAAAAACTATTTGGACTCTCTCTCTCTCTCTCTCTGGAAACATGTTCAACCTTCAACTTATTGACATGAATTGTGACAGTTTGAGATACAGTTGAAGGACAGATATATACAATCTATTAGATTGAAGTTGCTCACTGATGAGCTTGACAATCATTTTGCTCTTGGAATGCTCTTCCATTCTTCTCTCTTTGCATAACTATCTTTCTCTCCCTCTTTTTTTTATTCACAAAACTTTTATTCGTCTGTATTTGATATAACTTTACTTCATTCATTCTCGTCGTCTACATCTACTCTTCCTCATTTTCGATGATTCATTAGGCTTTTCATTAATTCTTTCAAAAGTTCTTTTTTCTCGTTTTCCTCTCATCTCTTCATTCATTTTTTTTCCTTATAAGGGCAACTAAGAGCTTATTGAATTAATTACGTCACATATTCTATAATATCTGTCTGTCCTTCCTTTTTCTTGTTGGTCATCTTCATTTTTTAACCTTTAGCTATTATCTCTGCAGTGTCTGCAAATGGCCAAATATAGACGTGAGAGAGAGCTTGCTCATCTGCCTAATGAATCTCAAGCACGTGTTTGAACTGATTAACCTTCATTCATTTATTGCTAATCTCCCCCTCTCCCTCCTACTTGAGTACTATGGTTATGCATATGTACTTATAGATTGTCTATTTACGTTTTTTTGTTCATTCCACTTGAATAGTTTTTAACTATATTAAATATAATTAGTTGAATACATATATGAATGTATAATACTCTTGAAGCTTTTCCCGAATAGCTTCTCATTCATCTTTCTCCTTTCATCATCACATTCACTACCCGCGCCAGCTTATTTCGTTTCCATTAAGAAGAAGATGATGAAAAAGTTTTTTTTTCTTTTCCTCCTGTATTGCTTCTCCAAGCTCTTTCATCTCTTTTCATTTATATTTTCAATCTTTTTTTTTTTCATTCAATCTTTTGTTAATTTAATTCAATTAAAATGTCGCACAGACCGCTGGCTTCATCTTTTCCATTTATTTCATTCAAATTTTGCCATTTCACTCTTATTTCCATCCTTTTTCTTCATCTATCCTGTCTCTCTCTCTCTTTCTCTCTTTCACTCTTTCACACTCACTTTCCATATCTATCACACAAACTGCTATATGCCTTTTTTGGTTACGTTCCGACCTTAATGCCATATTCGTCCATCTATCACAGTCAAGCTGAGAAGATAGCAGACAGGATGCTTGTTAATATCTTGTAGTTTCTGTCGTCTCGAACAGATGCTGACCACATTTGGGTGCAAATTCATGTGCCTCTCACTAGTGAAGTAGTCATTGATCACCTAAATATCTGCTCTCAGATCTGCTCTAGCGATTGATCAGACTGGCTGGTATTCAGTTTCCGGTCGACAGCGATACGGAAGTTATGCAACTCCACCCTCAATCTGCTTTTCACTCTATCCATTCTATTCATACTTTTTGATTCAGTCAGAGTCAATGCTTCATTTGTAGTCATCTTTAGCTCATTCGAAAATTCTCTGTTATGAACGTTTTTACTTTAACCGGAAGGATTGAAGGCTATTGCTTGTTGACTCATTCCGGTCTCGTTTTCACTGAAATGGTTGCCACATTGCTTTTATGGCAAATTGCCATGAAACTAACTACTCAACAGCTTACTTATGCGGCTATTTGTTGTATTCATTCTTTAGAATACTATGGCTCTGCTGTTCTTTCATCGCCTTTTTTACCACCCACTACTCGGGAAGCTTGAGCTTCATCTTCATCTCATTCTCTCCAATCCCATTCTCTATCTCTCTGGGCATTTCCTCTTAATTTTCTGAAATTTCCTCATATACTCCCTATTCGTTGTCAGTCTTTTCTTCTTCTTCTTCCACCCCCATCCTCTTTCTCTCTTTCTTTATTCTTCATCTATATATCTATCATTCACTGTGTTTGGAAGACATTTTTTTTCATTCATTTTGTTGTCAGATCGGATGTCTAAAAGTTGCCAAAAACGTTTTTGTTAGACTCAGATGGATTGTGTATTTCATCATCTAGTAAGCAAGAGAAAAAAAATATTTGAAGCTTTTGTTGTATGATGAAATCAACAAGCTCAAATTAGCTAAGCTATTTGTGTTTTTGAAGCTTTTCTCATGATTCTTAACTATATAGACATAGGTTAACTAATCTTTTTGCTTTGTCTCTTCTTCATTCTCTCATCCTATCACCTTCCTTATATTTAAGGTCATAGGGATGTTTTCGATAACCTCAAAGCTTCCTCGCTACCTATTGATAGCAGCATCAATTGCATCATATGCGGCTTCTTTTTGAATGATATCCCCCCTTTCCCTCCTGACTCTTTTCATTCGTCATATAAGCGTTACTCTAATGATATCTTGTTTGTGTTTATGCTTTCATCTCTCTCTCTCTCGTCTTGTATTTTTCATTCATTCATTTTCTTTCATTTCATTATAGGTTGAAATGCTGTAAATTACATCAAAAACAGCTGTAATCACTTAGTTATAATAACTGCGAAAGAATTTTCTTTTTCTATCCAAGTTGAACCGGCTTCTTTCAATTATCGGATAATAATGCCATTAACTCGCACTCGTACATCATTGGACTATGATGATTATGGATCAACGTCGTTCATGTGGCCTTCAGCTACAACTCCTTCTTTTCAAGAATTGAATAGAAGCATCTATCAGCCGCCGGCTGGATGTTCAATTAGCTATCGATTGAACATGACTGTCCATGACCCTACAAGTTTGATGGATGATGATGAAGCTAACAATTATCCTCTGAACTGCTCCACATATGCTACTCCTACTCGACGCAAAGCCAAAAGCGGCTCCAGAATATCTCGTGCACTCAAAGAGTTGCTCGGTTCACGCAATTCATTGGCTAAAAAGGATTTATTAAGTCAAAGCTTTACACTGTTCCGTGAACGTCGCGGAACTTCAGCTCATCAAGAGCGAACATCAGCTTCCACATGTATATCAACACCAATGCGAACATATCATCGAACACCAAGTGCTGATGCTGCTATTCTATTAGAATCACGAGCAGAAAAGCGTCGTCGTGCTGCAGCTGATTCAGCTATACCATACGCACGTGCTATTCCTTGCTCTCCATCATGTGCAACCACATCAATTCGTGTTCAGAGCTTTGCTGTACCAGAACCGCGTGTTGTACAATTTCGTGAGCCATCACGTGCTCGCAAAGATCATCATACACAGCGACCATTAAAAATCTGTAACGAAATGATTACTAAAGATAAACAACAACAACAATTCCAACCACCACAACCACCGCTACGACGTAAGAATTTGAATAGTCCAAATAATATTCAAAAACTTTATTTTTTATACAAAATAATATAATTAGATTAATAAATGATGTATTTCAGATGCTTTTGTGAATAGCCATGAATGGACACTTAGTCGAACAATTAGCGAATTACGTTTGGTATGTTTTGAACTTTTCATTCATTTTTACTCTCTCTCTCTATCTCTCTCTCTCTTATTCTCTTCCACTCTCTATTCTCTCTCAATTTGAATGTTTTGGTCATTTCATCATATCTTCATGATGATCATGACCAAATATGAAATTTGAACCAACGAACAAAAAATAATTTGAATGATGTAGATGCACAGAATCGTCTTTCTTCTTCTGCAACCTCCTTCTTCGTCTTCTTCTTTCTAACTATTTCCACATAATATTTCCTTATTTCCTTATTACGTAATTTGTTTTTAATCTTCTAAACCAATCTTAATCTTAATTGATTTGTTTCTTATTGAAAGTGATTAAGATGACAGTCGAACGTTTCTTTCCGCTCAAATAGTTATTTATTATTAGCATTTTAATTAATTTGTATATAGTTATGCTATTTGTGTGTACATATAGTTAGATGACTTGTTGAATATGTTAGTTTAGTTAAAATAGTCATTTACATACATAGTATTCATTAAATAACAGGTGTTGAGTCTCTTTTATGCAACAAGTATCTAACTCTCTCTCTCTACCTCTCTACCTCTCTCTCTTCCTTTCTTTTGTTTTAATTCTATGCCTGTATAACTATACCTCTCTCTCTCTATCTCCCTCTCTCTCTCTCTATTACTATCTATAAGTCTCCTCTCATTAATTATCTCACCTATTCGATTATTAATGGATTGAAGTGAGAAGTAGTTGTCAAGTAGCTTCATTTCATATCCTCATTTATAAATAATTTTATTTCTCAGAAACCATTTGCAGCTGATATGATGATTCTCAGCTTATCGCATTCACTTTCCTATCTTTATCTTTTTCTCTTTCTATATCTCTCTCAATCTCTCTCTCTCTCTTTCTTTCTTCCCCTTTCTCTCCTAATCTATCTGACCAGTATTTACTTAACTTTAGCTGCAAGTTGACGTAATGGTCGATAAGTAGTTTTTCACGTAATCAATGTGTCATCTTGTGTAAGTCTTGTTTGAAAAGGATCAACTTTGGCTACTGTCAAGTGCTACCTTCATATAGACATGATATGTTGCGTTAATCTATCAATTCTATAGATACTAACACGTTTATACACACATACTGACACACACACATACACATATACACCAATTGAGATACTCATTGGTTACATTTGGTTTAACAGTAGGTGATCTTCCAGAATTCAATCTCATTCCTTTTCTCCTCTCCTCTTCTCATCTCCTCTCATCTTCTACTTCTTCATTGCTTTCTTCTCAACCAGTACAGTTCCCGATCTTCATTTTGCTTTGTTTGATGCTGTATTTGCTCTTTTTGGTTCTTTGAGCAGGAAATAACCTTTTTTGGTAATGTTTTTTAGTTTGTTTTGTATGACATGCATTGTTGTTTTTCTAATTGTCATAAGTGAAGAGGCACAACACTCTTACACTTACCTTTTGCAACTGCATTTACTAGCAGATGTTGAAACAGAGAAAATGAATGAATATTCTTTCTCTACCTCTCTTTCTTACACCTATTATATTGTACTATCTCTCTCTCTCTCTCTACATACTAATTACTCTTCCTTACTTCTTTTAACATCTTGCTCGCTTCCACCACCAGCCTCCCCTCTCCTCGTTTCCATCTTATTCCTTTCTGCATGAGACTCATGTGAACAGGGTCATGTCCAAAACAATGACCAGTCTGAAGACACTCTTGTCTACTGTGTTGTACATGTTGAATGGTTTTTAAAAAAGAAAATTATTCGAATATAACACATCAAACAACTATCTATTTCTCTATCTTTATTTTGTGTGAAAATTGATAGAAAAAACATATTTGATGACCTTTGTCGTCGTCGATTGTTAGAAGTTTGTATTAATTGATTTCACAAAACACATTGGGATGTCCTTCAAGCTTTTTCAGCTGCTGCTTCTTATGCCTTTTGTTCTTTTTGATGTGGAACGCTTTACTTTACTATTCTCTGTCTACCCAACTGTCTTCCCCCCACCACCATCTCCTTTTTAGTTTCGTTAAAAGTTTCTCTTTGAAAATCCAAATATGGCCATCATCTGTATGATATCGTCTCTCACCTCAATGCATCCACTGTCTTCTATACGCCTGTTGCCTCTTCCCTCCTTTCTCTCTCACTCTGTTCATCTTCTCTTTGTATTTCTGAAGTATTAGTTGAAAGGCTTAGTTTATTTGAACCAGTTTCATTTTAAATTTTGAAACTTCACATACCAACTTTCTGTTTGTTTCAATATCCCCCCATCTCTCCCCTCCCTCCTCCTTCTCTCATCCAACAGATTGTTTAAGAATTATATTTATAATATCTTCTGTTTACTTCATACTTCTCAATCATTTTCTATATAATTTGAAACTTCCACTAATGGTATTATCATCTTATTCACTTTCATCTTCATCCATATCGCTGCTTTCTATCTCCTTCTTCCAACTCTCCCTCTCCTCCTCTCTCGCTGCATATATCTCACTCTCCTTCATCATCTCCACTATCATCTTAAACACTTCTATCTTTTGAACTTTTATTTATGATAAAATTATAATTTAATTAAATATCATTCATCCCTCCCATATTCTATTATATTAGATTTGAACTAATTTCCTCCTCTCCTTCCTTCATCTTTATTTTCGTTTGCCGACGTCTTCATCTTCGTCATCACCATCTCTTCGTATCCTAGTTCTTCATCTCCTTCTGCTCCTCTAAATTGCGGTTGGTTGAATTACTTTAAGAATTCCGCACTTTTTACTTCTTACGCCATCTCTCAGTATTCACGTAATGTCGGACTTTCAAAACGAACCGACGTTCAAACGGTTCCATTGCCAACACCAGACGACCATGTGCGTAGGCTCATATCTCATTTACAGCGACTTGTAATTTAAGAAATTAGAATCCATCCATCTATCAATCCTCTCCATACCATTTAGCTATATTAATATAATATCGAATCAATATTATAATTAAAAATGCATAATAACGTCATTTGGCTTAACTATATGAGATTATGCAATTTTTGGCTGATGCATGGCTCGATCAGTCAAAGCCTTTAATTATGTCTTCCCGACAGTTAGATTGAATATAACACCGTTAATGCTTATCTCGTATAAGCGTCAGGTCATCAATAGTCTTTATATATATTCTGAATATATATCCTAACTATTCATATAGTTAATAGAAGATTTCTTTTCTTTATGTCAGAAAAGTATAGGTTGTAGATCTTTTTGTTTTTTGACTGTACCTCCTTCATACATTTTGGTCAGTTTTTACAATCATCTGACACGTATTCAACATCTTACTTTCTCTCTTTCTCCCCACTCAACCTATCTTAACATCCGGCCTACTTTCACACATAGCTTCCCGAACTATATAACCTCTTGTCGGCATACTTTTATAATATAAAATGTAAAAAGAATACAGATCTCCTTTATTACTACTTTTATAACTATTTTTGTTTCATTTCATATGCCACTGGCTGTTTCAGTTTAAACCATTACCTGTTGGCAAGAGAAAATGGAATACCGATAGTTGTAACCTTCTCTCCCACCCTCTTACGTCCCCTTCCTCCCCTAGATACCTACCTGGCCCTGCCTGACGGCCTAATCCCAGCTAATCCATTCCATTTTACTTTATGTGTTATATCCAACATGGCATAATACAAAACATTTCCATGTTCACAAAACTATTTGTTGTTTCATTTTAATAGTTCATTTCATTTATTGTCTGCCTACACCATCTCCTCCTACTTCTCCTTCTCCTCCTCTTCTTCCTCCATCTTCTCTTCTTCTTCTCCTTCAACACCCACCGCCAACATGAACACAGTTTTTAGTTTTTATTAACCAACATTAAAATATTTGCTTAAGTCTCACATGATAATTCGGTGAAAGCTTTTATCTTTTTATTTGGAATATGGATTAACCATACTTGCTTTTGATGAAGCACACAAGGCGTCTGTCGCAGATGAACAGATTACCTGACATATTAGATGATTTGCATTTGGTTTTACATGTCAGGCCATACATTCGTGCATCCTTATAGTCATTCCGCTTAGTTTGTAGCGATATTTTTTTTCATTTCAATTTCATCTTTACCTCTCTCTTTACTTCTCTCTCTCTCTCTTTCTCTCTCATTCTTCCTGTCTATCGATACCTTCCATCATCTTGATCACGCAAACACATTCTTTCTCCTTCTACATCATTTTATCTTGAAAGATTATTTTTTTTTCTTGAAGTTATTTTTATTTTACTTATCTCTGCTGCTTACAGGGCGTCGTTGGTGCGGCTCACTCCGGAAAAACCTCCTTAATACATCGTTACTTGACAGGAACGTTTACAGCTGAAGAGAGCCCAGAAGGTAATTTTATTAAAGACAGTTTTCTGTATATGTATGTTGCACTGCACCTCTCTATCTTTCCCCATCTCCACCTTGCTCTCGCTATCACGTATCTCTCAACACGATGAATCTGAGTTTCAATTGTTGTGTAGACATGATGAAGTGAAGTCAGCAAGTTGGTTGTTTATGTTTTCATCTCGTCTACATGACACTGACACCCATGAAGTCGTTTAGAATTTTCTTCTTCTTTTCATCCTTCACTCTCTGTCATTCGTTAATCAAAACAGAAATCTTGAGCAACTATTACAATTATAAGATTCATATGGTAATTAGCTATGTCATTTATGACTATTTATGAGTTGTTGTCTGTTAGTCTTTCTCAGGTAATCTCATTTCACTCTCTAGCTTGTCCCTCTCTCTCACTCCTTCGTTCTCTCTCTATTTCTGTACCTATTCACTATCTCTCTACACCTGTCCCTCACTCCCTCTCTCCATATTTTTTCTTCTGACGTGCACGTGTCTTTTATAGTTTATTAGTTTGGATTACTTTTCACCTACCATCTCTTGAATTGTCACCGTTTCGTCTGATCTTTCTCTCTCTCTCTCTAACTGTCTCTCTCTCTCTCTCTCTCTCTCTCTCTCTCTATCTATATCCTAATCATCCTTAATGATTTATTTTTCCTTTTCAAACATAGAAAAACAATAATTTAAAATTCATCTTACAAAGATAGATAATGTGATGATGATGATGATGTTATGATCCTGTTCAGATGATCCTTTAACTGATCAAAGATTATAATCGTTTTAGCACATCACTTATTCTTTCAAGAATCGTTTGTCTTCATAGTCTCTTTCCTTCATACCTTATTGAGGAAGCCAACGGCATATGCTGAAGCATCTACTTGTGTCATTCCTTCCTTCCTTCCTACTTATTCTCTCTACCAATCTCTCATTATATCATTATGTCTATAATTTTTGATATCTAAGAAACCATAGTTCGGCTCTTTCTCCGGTCTATTCCACGAACAGAGGTGTGAACATTGGAATGACCAATAGACATGGAAATCATGAGAACGAACAGCATGAAGATCAATAGCATGTCTGCCTAACACCACTGTTTCTTATTTATTCTTATTCGCCATCCTTTACATCGTCTATATCATATCTAATTAATGACATCTTGTTCTGTTTCTCATCTGTTGCATTCCCCTCTTACCTCTTCATATTACTCATATCATTCCTTTTTTTGGCTTTCAAAACGCTTTTTTTTCCCATTTTTTCTTCGTCTTCTTCTCCTTTCCCGTTTCACAATCGTTTCCCCCCCCCCCATTATCTTCTATTCAAAGCACAACACGCACGCATTTCGGTATCTTATGCCGAAAGCGGATCACCGTCAATGCCCACGCATCTCTTTCTGCCCCTTAACGCTCTCATATACTTCTAATCCTTGAAGTTCAAAAAACATTGGAAACAAACTTCTATTTCTGATGTTGTTTTTGTTAGACCTTCTATATATATGTGTGTGTCCGTGTGTGTGTGTGTGTGTCTATGTTCTAATGTCGCTTGTCAACGTTGTGCACCCAAAATCATTTTCATTCCCTTTCTTTTTTCATTTTTATTTTTATTTTTCCATTTAAAAAACATGAAAAACTGTAATAAATTGTATTTTATGACACACTGAAACGATGTGTTATTCATCAATAAGCCCGATTTCATTATCTAATTATATTCTATTATAGGCGGACGGTTTAAGAAGGAAGTTGTTATTGACGGTCAATCACATCTACTTTTGATTCGTGACGAAGGACTTGCTCTTCCTGACGTACAGGTTAGTATTAACATATTGTGTATCTTGTAGATTGAAGCTTATGAGACTTCAAGCTACTTGTTTTGTTATCTTCTCATTTTCTCTTCTTTTTTTTCTTCCTCTCTTTGTATTTCTTATAACTTCTAGAATGTTTTGCTTCTTCAACACTTCTTCTTCTTCTTCTTCTTCTTCAACTGCTTCTTGCTCTTTTCCGTATTTTGTTGCTCAATCAGCTGCTCTCAAGATATATGTAATAGAAATGTTGCTAATTATTACATCTAAGTTATGTTGTCAGGTTTGTTCATCAGAGCATGAATGAATATGACATCTATCGCGCCTTGAGCATATTCATTCATCCCAACTTCTCATCATACTCGTGACAAGTCCATCTAAACACCTTATTAGAGACTTAACAGCGAGGCACCTGTCGCGAGCGTTATTGTTTCACCGCTTCACATATAGTAACCGAATTCTATTTGATTTGATTTGATTTTAAGCTTCAAGTTATACGATGCTTACATCAATGTGTTTCCTCCTCCTTCTTCTTCTTCTTCTTCTTCTTCATCATTTTCATCTTCTTGATGCTCTTCCTCATCGTCGGTTGACTATTGTCTTGCTCGTCATCTATTTTGTTTTCTCTTCCATCCTTTCTGTTAAGCTTTTCCTTCTTCTTGCTTAAAATTATAAATGTTAGAGGTCGACTGTGTGTGTGTGTGTGTATGTGTGTGTGTATACCCACTGTCAACACGTTCACGGTTAGCCACTTATCGCCTCAGGCAAATGTTTACATTTCTTTCAAGACATATTCTGATACAATTTTATTATTTCACTCTTCTTGACATTCCGTTCGTTTGTTTATTACAAACTGAGCATTTGTCAATGTAAATGTTTCAAGTAGTCAACCGATTTTCATATAAAAGAGAGGATGAGATATAGAGAGGTGTTGGCAGAGTGATTAGATCTCGAAGTTAGAATACTTCATCACTACAAGATGATCTCATTCATCCTCTCTCTGTATATCTGAGACTATCTATCTCTCACTGTCTCATCTGCTAATCAGTTTTAAACAACAACAAAAATTGAGAAAGATGGTTTTCTGTTTGCTTTTTCTATTTCTGTTCAACCTTTTTTAACCTTTCCAACTCTCTCTCTTTCTCTCTTGCTCTCTCTATCTTTCTATCTGTGACCAAAGAGGTCATATTTCATAGAAGATTGGCGAAGAGGCTATCAGTCTCTCTTCTCCTACTTATAATTTCACTGATACCTATACTAACTTACTGACTGTTATGATGTATTTCTACACATATCAGATTTCGTTAGGAGATTTAGATTTTTGTAACTCTCCTCCCTACACATAATCTTTCTTCTCTATTTCTGCCTTAACGCTTTTATGTCATCAGCGCCTTTGCCGTTGTTCTAGGTTGATTGGCCCAGATGACACATGCAATGGGCCATATGGCATTACTACTTGTCTTTCTCTTTTTCGTCTTCATCTTAACCTCTGTCTGTGCTCTTATTCTCATAGATCGTGACACTCAAACTTCTGTTTCCTTCGACGATCCTTTAGTGATGAATTTCTTCTTTTCTGAACTATTCTTTGCTATCTTTAACTTTCACCCATCTCAATCTCGCTCTCTTCTTCTATATCATCATCATCATCATCATCATCAGCATCGTCATCGTCATCTGTCTCTTCATCCAACACCTCTTCTCCTGTCTCTTTAAACATATTTCATCTCAATTCTCAATTTCCTTTTTTGATGCATTTTCCTAAATTTGCATATTTCAGTTTGCTCTCTGGTGTGACGCTTTAATTTTTGTGTTTGGCGTCGAAAATCGTGAAAGCTTTGAAAACGTCGGTCATTTATATAATCATTTGAGCAAATTTCGCCATCTAGGCGATATGCCTCTCTTGGTTGTTGGAACGAAGGTACTTACAACTCCTTATAAGTCGTTAATTAAATTGTGTTTTTCTCTCTTAACAGGATGCCGTATCAGACGTTACTCCACGTGTTATTAGCGAGGAAGAAGGAAAACAATTAGCGAATCATTTCAAACGCTGTAGTTACTATGAAACAAGCTCCAAATTTGGATTGAATGTTGAACGCGTTTTCAAAGATGGTATGTTTCTTGCTTTTTGTTCTCAACAAAAGTTTTTTACACATGTTTTTTTCTTTCTTCCATTCTTCTTCAATCTCTCTCTCTCTCTATCTATCTCTCTTACTTTCATTCTTTCTTCCTATCAATCTGACAGGGTGAAGCTGAAAGCCATTGATGATATGTTGATGGATGATATGATGAGATTGAGAATGATAGAACCTTATTCAGCTTACATCTCTCTCTCTCTTTTTGACTTATGATGGAAGAACAAAAAAAAAAAAGTGTTCTAAGATATAGTTCGAGATTTTCAAATTTTTGTTCTTCTTTTATATGCTCTTTTGCCATACCTCATTGCTCTCTCTCTTCCATTCTCTTTAAGAGAGAGTGTTGGAGAAATAGAGAGAGTGACAGAGATATAGAGAATCGTCTTAAACACCGGTTAGTATTGAAGATTGAAATGCTCAATGTTTCCTCAATTTGCGTATTTACATAGAAGCATGCATTTGACATGAATGGTTTGCTCTCTCTCTCTATCTCCCTCTATCTCTCTCTCTTGTAATAATTTCTCTCTTACCTTCATTATTTCATTTTCTCATGACTCGTCTGATAAGACGAAGAGGAAGGATCATTAAAGACACAAGCATCAGCTTTGAAGAGGCCATCATGATCGTTCGTTTCTTACGAAACTAAATGGTTTCGACAGATGGCTTAAGACAGAAGCTTTTAACCGTATTTGCTCTTTTGTATCTGCTTCAACTTACGGTATTTATGGTCATTACCACATAATTATTAAGCGATTATATTATGTGGTTACGATTGTATATGACGAAAGAAGATGAAAGATAGCCATCTGATGTCATTGGATGAGAGCCAAATGTCACAAATGCCATCTATACGCCTGAGGGGCACTCCACCACACTTGCATAAGCATAACACACACACACACAGACACACTTGAACTGTTTCTGTTGTTTTGGCAATCATATTAGAGTTTCTTGTGTATGTGTGTGTTTCTCTCTTTGTTTTTGACTGAACCTTATGGTCTATGTCATATTTGAATCGCTTATCGACAACTTTCTTCATGTTGTTTTCAAGTTCTGTCTCATTGGCTTTTCCCTTTTCGCTTATTCGCCAACTTGGCCAGCCAACACACACAAAAAAAGCTTCGAAGCTGATGATGATTTTCGATCAAAAGTTTTACATTCAATAAAATCTTCTTTTTCGTCTTTCTATCTCTCTCTCTCTCTCATTCATCTACATCTATCTCTCACGTTCTGTTATTCCTTTTTTTTTTGCTGCTAACCAGATTCGAGACTGTTTGTCTTGTCCGAATCGCGTGTGCTGTGCTGCCTGTGTGTAATTGAGCTGCTCCATCACCTTTTTTTTTGCCAGCTGTTGCCATAAAAGCACATCAGCTCAGCTTTTACCTTGCTGTTTTTCTGCTTTTACCATCCAGCCAACTCACATTCACCTCTCTATCGCGCTCTCTCTCTCTCTCTCTCTCTCTCTCTCTCTCTCTCTCTCTCCA